CCATAATTGCGACATCTTCATAATGTGTGTGGGGGAAACATGTGTTTTGAAAAGATACCAACATCACCATCCACATGGGGATGCTTGCATTTCAGGAGGCATGAGAAGCTTTTAATGTAGTAGTAGTAGTAGTAGTAGTAGTAATAATAATAATAATAATAATAATAATTATTATTATTATTATTATTATTATAATTTATAACCTGCCCATCTGGCTGGGTTTCCCCAGCCACTCTGGGCGGCTTCCAACAAAGTATTAAAATACAGTAGTCTGTTAAACATTAAAAGCTTCCCTAAAGAGGGCTGCCTTCAGATGTCTTCTAAAAGTCTGGTAATTGTTCTTCTCTTTGACATCTGATGGGAGGGCATTCCACAGGGTGGGAGATTTTAAACATTTTTTTAAAATTTCCTCATATATATTATTCCAGAATTGTTTGATAAGTCCACACTCCCACCACATATGATACATTGTTCCAGTTTCTTTCTTATATCTCCAACAATTGTTGGCTTTTAATTTGTAAATATTTGCCAATTTGGCCAGCGTTATGTACCACTGGTATAACATTTTCATTAAATTCTCTGATTGTATAACATGCCGTAGATTTGATATCATATTTCCATAGCTTCTCCCATTGTTCCAGCTGAATTGTATAACCTATATCACGTGCCCACTTAATCATGACCTCCTTCACCCCTTCGTCCTTTAAATCCTACTCTAGTAACAGATTACACATTTTGGATATATTCTTTTTAGAATTTTGTAACAATTATTTCTGTAATTTTGATTCTTCTTTTTCAAATCCTATTATTTTGTCCTGATTGAATATATGGGTGATTTGGTGATATTGCAGCCATGCCCTATTATCTGTACATACCACTTCAACATTAGGAATGCTTGAGGGATTGATCTTTGTGACTAGCCTGATTTGCACCTCTGAGGCTAACGTGCCGATCAGAACACAGTTAATTTTTGGATTCCGCATTTTGATGCAGTTCTCCACTTAAACCAATGTACAAAACTACATATCTTACAATAAACAGTTAAGAAATATTGACTTTGGGAGAAAACAAATTCAGGACAGTGCGTTGAGTGAAAAGATACATTTAAATATGAATTTTCATACAGATCCTTTGAATTTATAAACTTCACTGTAATACCTAAGATTTATATGTGGAACTGAGAGAGGCCAGAAACAGACTGTTCTGTTGATCTACAGACAATCTGTTCCTAGGTCACAGTTTTTAAGAGGGCCTAGGCAACAGTTCATGCTCAAAATTGGGAACAAGCGGTAAGCCATTTGGCTCTGAGTGGGAATGGTGCTGAGATACTTACTCTTTAAAATTCCAAAGTACCCAGTAAGGAAACACTTAGCTTCATGGAGGTTTGTGCCACTTACGTGTGCACTACTTCTGATCTCGTTATTGTGCTTTCACAACAGAACAGTAGATTTTCTTGAAGGATCTTAAATACCACGGTTCATATTGTCAAAAGCAATTAGATCAAAGGGGTGGCATAAACTTTGCTGCAAATTATATTTGGAGTGACAGTTTTCTCTGTGAGATGCAGTTTTAGTGTAGAACCCAGCAAAAAGCCCTTCTGCGCAAGCCCCGGTTGAATATTAATGTTGCTCAGAAGAGCTCCCCCCTCCCCACAGATCCTGTCCTTAATATACAGGAAGCACAGTGGCGGCAGCGGCAGCAGCAATATATATATGGTGATCCGATTTCTGCTGATCAGCAAAGAGTGCCTCCACTTTGCAGCTCCTTACTGGCGACTAAGTGCTTTTATTTACAGAGCCGGCTGTCACTTTCCTTTTGCTTAAAAGTTTGTGCATTATTTATCCTGGGAAAACATTTCAATTCACATCATTTGGTACAAACCCTGACCCATCGCTAGGCATAGCTTTCTGCTTTGAAATGCAGGGAAGCTGAAATTGTACCAAAAGCAGTGGCAGTGACCATTGTAGGGCCACCTCCTCCTTATTCTTTCTCTCCAAGCTTCTATGCTTTTAACAGCAGATTGACACCCATAAATATTTTTAGACAGAACCTGGAAAAGCCTCACCTGCTTGTTTTCTGTAGAGAATAACATTGGTGGCAGTCCTCTGGCCATATGAACCTGAGGGTTTACTCACGTGTACATCTACAAATAGAGAAAGAGAGATCAAACTCAAATGAGTTGATGAGCCAAGCAGTCCACCTGATAGGTTATACCACAAGCCAATTTTTCACTGACAGTACATCAGTTTTGTTGAGAGGTATCAGGAGGAAGCAGCAGAGCTAGTGGTTAATTTCTGTCCCTCGCTATCGAATCTCAATGTGCTGTCCTTGATAGTTTTGATTCCTCAAATCCTATTGCATCCTGCCTTCCCTCTAGCTTTTCACCACTTTTTCTAAGGGACAAACTCAATGTTACATCGGAGATACATCAACAGTCTCCCAAGCGTTTTTCTTTTATGGAGCAGCTGCCCTGGGAGGCTGCCGTTTTAAGCAGAATAAAGGGGGTGGGGGCTGCGACAGAGTCTCCTAGTCCACAGAAGACAGTTCCTATTTGAAAGGAATCTGCCTGGTCCAAGCCCACATAAAAGATAAAGACCCCTAAGAAGTTGAGAACAGGGACATTGAAGTTTGCCCAGTTAGCACCTAGCCAGCAAAGTAAGCTGCTGCCTCACCTGCTCACAGCCCTCCCCACTATTGTATTGAGATGTATCCTATTTCAATTACAGCTATCATTTAATGACATGCACCTTTTTATTTGTTTATATATTTATTTATAAATTAGCATATGTAAAGCTGTATACTTTTTTGTGGAGGGGGTTGTGGGGGGAGCATGTCTCCTGCCACTTATCTATTCCAAATCACCTGCCCCAGCTGTAGGAGAGAAAGATGCAGAAATACAGGATCCCACCCCAGCCTTCTAATGAGCAAGAAGGACATAGGGAGAGATGGATATTGACTGAGCAAGGAGCTGAATGGTTAATCAACCTCTCCACTCCTGCCCTCAGTCATATCTTCAAAGGCTGCTTTTCAATAAAACAAAACACCTGTCTGGAGATTGTTCACTTGGGTGTCACGCAGGGTCGAGGACCCTCAGACTCATGAGCCAAATGCAATTCCAAGCTGCTCTGCCTGGCCCTGGGGCTTCTCCCCACACCACCCACTCCCCAATCTGTACCCCTACCGGTATTCTTCTTGAGTGTTTTTGCCTGGCTGGAATGTGTCCTTGAGCTCTGATAATAACTCTTGCTTGCCTGGCTGGAGGATTAAATTAGTTCTGATGCTGTTCTGAATACCATTTCCTTCCTCCTCCTTTGCCTGCATATTTTTTGCCAATTACATCACAACACGTCATTGTGATGTGAGGTCACCTGATGTGAGGACTCCATAGCAACTTGTAAACAAAGAGTAGTGGGCAAACTAAGCTGAAGACTGTGAGGGCAAAGGAGGAGGGAGATGGTCCCAGAAGTAGCCACTAAGAGAGGGAACAAATGGGTGCCAAATAACATTCAAATAACACCAATGTTAAGTGTGAGTATTTTGCAGTAAACTGCCTGCACTAAATGTGCCATTTTCAATGAAATATCAAAATCTGAGAATATTTGCTCCAAGTATTTAGAAGATTTTCTCTAGGTTTGAAGCATTTGATGATTCTAAAAAGCATTGCATAGACTGAACTGGTGAACTGGTATCAGAGTTCTTTGGCTTCCATGGATATTCTTTAGATGTTTCACTGAGGAATTTCAAAGAAATTGTCTTCTTGCTTTGCCTTACCTAAAATTCCAGTGGAAACAGTTTTCCTTCCCCTGCCGGGTTTTTGGGCTAAACGAAGGCAGAGGTGTGCCTGTATATGCACCCTGACAAGTTAAACTTCTTTTATATGGATTGCTGGGTACATTATATTCTTGTATGATAGTGAGGGAATCTGTCCCAACCATAATTTGTCAGTTTCACCTCTGTTAAACCAGCCCAAAGTTAGCTGGGTTGCCATCAACTGTTTCAACAGCTGTTTATAATCTTAACAGTTTATTCTGAGGCGGTAAATCATTGTCAAAGCCAAATAGTCATTTCAAAGACGTTTTATAAAGAACAACAGAGTTTCTTCAGGCTTTTCAAATGAGCATTAAGGAACGAACACCTTTGAAACTGAGAAGATCAACCAAGCAAACTTAAAACATACAGTCCCATTTAAAATCACGTCATAAAGGGGGGGCCCTTTGTAACATGTTTGAGAAGTGGGGTTCCATTCTTCCCCCTTGGAAAAAGACTAATAAATAGGTTGTGTGTGTGTTTTTAAGTGGCTAATTATTTCAAAAGTTAATGTGCAACATTCAATAGAAGAACTGAGTATCCACAGATTGGACTGATGAAGCATTTTATTTGCTGATTTAAGAGGGACAGCAGAACATTGGGAACTGCGAGGATTGCTGGTGGCCTTCAACATCTGCTTTAACTATAGATGTTGTAGATAGAAAACATGGCCCAGAATCAGTCAGTTACCAAGATGATAATAATAATAATAATAATAATAATAATAATAATAATAATAATTTAATGTATGAATTGCCTCTTAAATGTCTCTCAAGTTGATTTTCAAACATAGTACAAACAGCAAATAATAGTTTTTAAAACTGGAAAAAACCTGAAGATAGGTTAACAATAAACAATGTAGCTTTCCAACAGGTTCTAGTTTGAGCAATCTTAAGAAAAAGGCAACGTTCCAATAAAGATAATTGCACTTAAACTGAAAATACACATGCCACACAGTTGCATGTTTGTTTTACACAGTTTTTAAAAAAATGAAACACAGCTATGGGAGGTCACAGTCATTAGCATAGCTGTCAACGTTTCCCTTTTTTAAAGGGAAATTCCCTTATTCCGAATAGGATTCCTCACAAGAAAAGGGAAAAGTTGACAGCTATGGTCATGGGGGGGGGGGGGGGGATTTACTTAACCCTTTTCCCTTGGCTGGTTTTTCCCCCTGCTCAAAAGCATACAAATACCCCAACTGCAAACATTTGTCCACAATGGAAGTTTATGTTGGTTCAAACTGCATGCGAGTGTGTGAGTCCTTTTCACAGAATCAGCATCCTTGAGGTGCCATTTCTTAAGTGGGCAAGGCCAGGCCTTTTACTCTGCTCTAAATTTTCACAGCCAAAGGGAGGCTTAGGCCTGATTCACACTCGTCCCTTAGTTGATTCCTGTATACTTAATTGCCGGCAACAGCATGTGTGAACTGACTCTTTGTGAAGATAACTGAGTTTGAAGGGACATACGCATTCCATCTATACTGTAACTATGTTGGCCCATTCATATGTGCAAGTATCATTTGATACATCGCTCTCAGTCGGTGCTGGCCATGCCTGCATGGTCAAGAATTTTTAGGGAAAGGGGTTATCAATATATGATAAAATTTCTTGTTTATCAGATGCTGCAATATTAGGAAAATGAAAGTTTGAAGTATATTGTATGCACTGCAGAATAATGTCGTCAAAAATATAGTGCTTACCACTTTTCTTTTTTTAGGATTCCCTCTTTAAATTTCTTATGTGTCTTTGCTGCTCCTCAAACCTGCTGATACTTGCTGCAATGAACCAAATCCAAAACATCACATACACACCTCAGTTGAAATAGAAAGTGCATGGTAGCTTCCTTGCCAAACGCATAAAGGCAATTATTATACTTAACTGTTTAGGAATTTATATGTATAAATAAGTATAAATTTATATGTATAAATTCCTAAATAGTTAAGTATAATAATTGCCTTTATGTAGTGGATTTGACTCTGAGTCGTAACTCTGAATATTCAGTCCAATAATTTTATTTTATCATCTAATGATTTAAGCTGTGATTTTGAATACTGCATAATAAGAACAATGCATGTCATTAAAAACTGATTCTCAGACAATAAAAACACCTTATGGCTTTGAACAGTTCTGAAGCTGAGCGAGAGGAGAAAGAGACTGAGCAGTAACATTTTTTCCAAAGGCATTATAAGACAGATTGCAACGTAACAGTTCAGGTGTATTTCAGCTTTCCAATGTTCAAAGAACAGTTTTCTGAATGACTTCAACTTATGGGAGTTTCTCCTGGGAACTGTATTTTAGCCACATAAGTGATCTTGTTGCGACGTCCATTTTCAATTTTTGTAATGGGACCTGTGACAAGATGGTGTAAAAGTAAATAAATAGAGAAAAATAGAAAATGAGTTTGGGGTTAGACAAACCTATGCAGGAGTGACTCTAGCACCAGCAGTGTAATATTGGCATAATGTAATTGAGATCCTATGCAGTCCCAGCAGTGAAGTTGACAATAAAATTATACCAGTTTAAACAGATAACACAGCAACCCTGACATCATTTCCATAGCATATCATACACACCCCTCCCAATCCTAGGTGCTGTTGTAGAAAGGTGCTGGGAATTGCAGCTTTGTGAGGGGTAAACTAATGTTCCCTATATTCTTTGGTGGGGGATGTGCTTTAAATGTGCTCTAAAGGTATGGTTTGTGGGCAGTGGAAGGTGTTGGGGTTTTTTTAATAGATTATTTGACCTCATGGCATCACTACCTCAGTTACTGCAGAACTCTTGGCATAAATGCATGATAAGTGGTGTGCCAAACACAAGTGAATTAGCCATGCCTCTGTTAGCTTACAACACAGAATTGAACATGAAGCTAGGGAAAGCCTTGTAAGCAGTAACAAGGCAGAGTTAACTTCGGCAAAAGTAGCCGGGAGGGGGGGGGGACATAGTGCCGAGATGCCTTTCTTTAAGGCCTAGCTTTTGAAAAAGAAGATAGAGGGGAGAGCTGCTCCCAACATGGCAGAATGGGCCACTTTATGCTAGCTTCCAGACTGGGAGCCAACCACCAGACTCCTGGGGAATCCACCTTCCCCATTTAACAGTGGATTGGTCTTTAGCCAGCATTTACGTTAAGCCGAGTTTCTGTTAACCAAGAATCTAAAATGGCAGTATGAAGTGAGTTTCGTACCCTGTGTGAAGAGAAACACAAATGTCGGAGGGAAGGGAATGTGCTTGCCTGAGGCTGGCTCCTCAGCTAACAGGGTGGCCACACGGTTTCTGCACTGCTTTAGTTGTGTGGAGAAGAGAACCAAGGGTCCTGAAAACAGATGGGCTTTTATGAAAATAGCTGGTTCAGTTAGAGACGCCTTTCTCACCTGCCACCACAGCCTCTCTGCTCCTAATTAAAGTCAAGCCAGCTCTGGCCAAATGAACGAGCTGAAAATGGGTAAAGGAGGGATATAATCTACTGCTAAGCATATGGTGGTATACATTAACTGCAAACATAAATAACAGTAGCAGAGAAACAAATGATGGCTCCTTTGTATTATTATTTGTTGTTCTGTATCTCAAAAGGAAAGCAAAACCTTTTAATATGCAGGTGTGTGCATATATATATATATATATATATATAACCTGATACTGAGAAATAAAATTTACACACACACACACACACACGCACGCACACACACCCTCTCTTTATGAGCATTAATTATATACCAGGCAAGGAAGCAATTGCCTGTGTGTTATGAAATATTAAATCAAAATGCTTCCTGTTTCCCAGATGTCCCAGAGATAAATACAGCAGTATTTTGAAGCCCCTCCCGGAGCTGTTTTGCCTGCAAATTTATAGTTTTGTCTCCGTTTTCCGAAAACCCTGTTTTATGTGAAGTATAGCACTCTTGGTAGTTTTTAAGGAGCAAACTCCTCTGGAGTGCCCTGTGCAGGCAACAATTCTCATGCAGATGGCTCACAAGGGAACCGAAGTCGAGAGGCTCCTTTAAGATGACAAATGGGTTGAAAGTGTTATTGTCTTTGATTGCATGCCTTACATCATCTGTATGTCGGAATAAGAGGGCTATGCTTTATCTTTAGCCATTTTATAAATATTTAAGCCCTTATAGTTGCCTAAAGATATTAAAGCATATTTTTACAGGATTTGGAATATAAATATTATATGTAGTACCAAAGATACCAAAGTGGTTTTAATGAATTCATAATTTTCTGTTCACTTTTTATTGGAATGTGGTTTATGTTCCAAAAGATCCATTTAAAGAACAGGACACTGCTCAGTTCCCAGACAACATATTAACTGATGGTAAATGTTATTGGAGCTGTTTTAAAATTATGGTAGGAAAGTTATAATAAAAGGAGGACCGGGAATTCCAAGACGTTCTCTCTCAATCTCCTTGTTTTAACAAATGCAGCTAAATCACACAGAGGCATAAACTCTCCATCTAACACTACTAAATACCTTGACTTGGAAGTAAGAGTGCTGCATCTGATGGAATTTACTTCTAAGTGAATATAGGGGAGACTTTGCTGTTCAATACAGTGAAACCTCTGAGTAAGTCATTCTTGGGGGGTGTCGATCTATAACCTGCCTGTGTTGAGGCAGACAAGTCAAATTTAGACCTGATTCATCAGCATTATCTTTATACAACTAAAATTGACACACATTTCATTAATGCTGGGCTTTAGCACAGTACCAAATCATATTTTCAGATGTCTAGCTATTGTCACAGCCAGCTGCAAATCTTTTCAGTTTCCAATAAAATGTAGAGAGTTTCCCCTTTAATATTTCACAAAGTTTCACTGGTTCCCAGTGGGAGCCTATTCTGGGTAATGCTTGCTAATTATCAACAACAAAACTAGACCTACAAAGCTGGCAAATTACCTGACCCTTTACATTTTAATGAGACAACAAGGGTTTCACGAAGTGATGTTGTTTCAGTGGTTAATGGTGTCAGCAATGTTGTAATTGTAGGTTGAGGCACATTAGCTGAACAACCCCCGAGTAAGAAGAGGGTTCTCTCGACAGGCCCTTTAGAGAATAGGACTAGGTATTATCATTAAGCCTGTGTCGTTTGCATGCCGCTAATCACTTACTTTATTATCTTGTGTATCCATTGTCTTTCTTTAATTGCTCTTTAAATTAAAATTAAAAATAGTTCCAATGCCCACAGCGGCTGTGATAGTATCTTGATTATGAAGATAGCTTCGACAAAATGGAACATATCGATAATATATTACAGGATTATGAGAGAGGTTTGATGTTATGGCTGATAGCCGGCAGCCCCCCGAGCATAATTCCAGGATATTTCCTTGTTTTGGCACATATTGTTTGTTTTATAAATGGTTATTTATGTGCATTTAGGCAATTACTTTAGGAAAGTTCATGAATTTAAAAATACAGTGTTTTCTCTTTGGCTTAGAAGGTTGTGCCTCCAAAGGAATATTAACTTCAAGATGTTCCCAGTGTATAATAGGAGGAACAAAGGGCTAGGGTTTTGTTGTGTTCACGTTAATATTTTAGTGCACAACTGGCAGTGATGGTGCATGGCATCCCATCCATGTGGCATCCGTTTAGTGCATTGTCCAAATGCTGGTCAATTCTAAATTCTTTTATACCTAGCGTGGGGAATATCGAGCCCACTGTTAAGTCTGCTAGGCCTCCCCATTTCGCCCACAAGGCCATTTTGGCAAAGCAACATGCATCTGCCCTAGACCTGACATTACACTGATACCAGGTGTGGGCAGGGGTGCCAAAAGGCTTTACTGGGCCCAGTATACTGTATGTAGATTGGGTCTTCTGCTGCATTCGCCAAAGAGGACATGCAAATCTGTACCTTCTTTCTCAGGTGGCAGTGGAACATTCAAAAATAAACCAGGGGTCACACACAAGTAATAAGAAGCCCAACAGACAGAATATCAACAGGTGGAGCATTCCCTAAAATTGTGGTTCCATACTGCAAAAGGCACATATCTCGTAAGGGCACGAGAGCCCTGCTCTCCTCCAACGCCTACCCTAAACCATAAAAATAATCCCAAGTTTCATGCATTGTAAGCAAGTTGTGTTGTTGTAGGTCTGACTATGCTACATTCAGTGTAAGACCAGGTGTGACATTTCAGATGGAGGGGATCAAAAGTAATTTACGATTTATGGCAGTTCTGTTCAGATGATCATGATTGGGATAAATTCAAGATTTATGGTAAATAAAGCAAGCACGGAATACATTTGTTGTGGTTATTTATTAATACTTAATAATAACGCCAACATCCTTCCCATTTTTGAGCAAAAATATTGAAATCCCTACTCAGCCATGAAGCTATTTTGGTGTTCCTGGGGCCATCACTATCTGTAAGCCTCATCAAACTCACAAGGTTGTGCAGATATAAAAGAAGGCGGAGAAACCTGTGTATGCAGTAGTAAGTAGCATCAATTGCAGTGGTATTTACTCTTGAGTAAATGTGTCTAGGATTGCAGCCTAAGAGAGTTACTCAAAGCTAGTTCAAGATGCTTCTTTAATGACTTTTAATGGCCAGAATAAGGTATTTTGTTACTGAGCATAGTTGGCTTGTGTTAAATACACCTTTAATCTTTGGGTGAGTTTTGGAGAGGGCACTTGTGAATTGCAACGTGGCCAGTAAAGGGAACCCAAGTCCGAGCTTTGCAGCTAGTTAACAAAAAGGCAACGGGGTTGGGGAGGGATGTTTTTTATTTTGCAAGAAGTTTGTATTATTACTTAGGAGGGAAATGTTGCATTTTTAGTAACATTAAAACAAATTGATTTATTCCCATCACCTGTGGCCATAGTAAATCAGCTGTGAAGCATATTTCGGTTTAAAGCGACACTTACATTTCCCCAAGTGGCTTCAGTTTACATTTACTTTTGCAATAGCAATCAGTGTGGAGAAACCTACTGCAAAATTATGCTATTTCTGGCTTGCCTTAAAAATTTCTCCCGAGGATGACTCTCCAAATTCACTTCGAAATTCATTTTAGGTGATAGTGAAATCTGATGACAGTCTAAGGATGTTCAGAACCCTCCTGGGAAATTTCACTAGGTGAAGATAAACTCTTGTATCTTCCTTGGAAATTTCTTAGATGATCTCCTTAATCAACTGTGACCTTCATCTTAGATGGAATTCCAGAGCTGTTTTAGCTGACTGATTCTAGTTCCACTGAATTTTTCAATGGTTTGTTCTGTTTTATTCAATGGAAGACAACTGTGTCTTTTGCACGCGCGCACGCACACACACGTGTATAATATCACATCTCACAGGCTTGAGCTTCCCCAGCACACCTTTGCTTACTCTGAAAGTGACTGAGGCTGGTGGCTCCTCCCTGCCCGCCAATTGCCTCTTACCACGAAAAGAATGGCCCTTATGCTTACTTATAATGGGTAAAATATATATTTCAAAGATCTTACACTACAGTTTAGATTATCATGATGGGTAATTAGCTTTGAGTCATTCTTTTGTATTTTAAATGCCTTATTAGTATGCTGCATTTTATGGTTATCAAAGGTGCACAAGTTGTAGTTATTAGAGAGAATACAGAAAATTTGTAGTGTGTGTGTGTGTGTGTGTGTGTTTTCCAAGAATCTTAAGACAGACTCAGAATCACAGGATCATCTAGTCCAACCCCCAGCAATGCAGGAATCTCAAGTAAAGTATCCATGGCAGATGGCCATCCAACCTCTGCTTAAAAACCTCCAAGGACAGACCACCACCTTTCAACAGAGTCCATTCCACTGTCGAACAGCTCTTACAGTCATGCTAGGAATGTTATCAGGAAGAACAGCAAGACATGATTTTTAGCATTACTTTGCTCCATGTCCAGCTGCAGCGCTCTGATCCTTCACTGCCATTCTTGCTGCATGGAGATGCTCTGGATGCTTGCTTCACAAGATTTATATACCACTTGATTGCAATAAAACCTCAAAGTGGTTTTCGGAAAGAATGAAACTTATCAGTAAAAAAGCATTTGAAAACATCTGTTTGAAATGTAGGGGGTGGGATATTTAAAATGGTAAGCTGAAGACCATATTAAAATCCTTGTTGACATTCTACTGGTCTGGATAGGCTTGCCTAAACAAACATGCTTTTAGCAGGCACCGAAAAGAGTACATTGAAGGTGCCTGCCTGATTTCCAAAGAGCCCAGTCTCCCTCCCCCAAGCCTGAAATGTTGCCATAGGAACATGGGGAGCTGCCTTATACCATGGGTCCAGCTACATTGACAGGCAGTAGTTCTCCAGGATTTCAGACTGGGATCTCCCCCTGCCTTACCTGGAGATGCTAGGGATTCAGCTGGGCCTGCTTTGTTCAAAGCAGGTGCCTTACCAGTGGGCTACAGCCCTTCTCCACAGCCCAGGGTACTGTGTCCCCCCTGCTCATTACGCTGACTATGCTCAAATGAGTCCTTCCTTCTGGTAGGCTTTGTCAACAGCATAACTGGAAAAGCACTGCCAACTACAGATCTACAGAGATAATATGTGTATGGGAAAAAGAGGCTTCCGTTGTTTGGCACTAGTGGAACAATGCCGCTAACTGCATAAAGAAATTGATGATTAGCCATCATATATAGCATAAAACTCTTGTTCAATAATAACAGTCATTATTATCCATCAGTCTGTACCTATTATCAGGTAACATAAATCCATACTCCCTGTAATACGTTATTGTAAAAGGTATTTATTTTAATGGAAGGCAGTGGCATAATAGGTATTTCAGCAAGGGGCAGTGTAGCATAATGTTTCCGATGTGTTTTGTATTTCAACATAGCCTCGTTTCTGCGCAATCTGAACATTCCCTTGCAGACTGTAAGAGATTTTATTAGCTCTTTTCATTCCAATTATTATTACTTATTTATTCTTAAATTTAAATACAGCACATAAAAAGTGTTTCTTTATAATAAAAAAGTGAAGAAAGAAAAATAAATAAAAGGGTACAATTAACAACTGCAATTTTTAACCTACTGTATTTTGTGTAAATGAGTTCCAAATTTAATTCTATTTGTCCATGCAAAGTTTATGTCTATAAGCAGTCCATTCATCGGTTGGCATGTGTAGTCCAGTCTTCAATCCATTGAATAAATAGAGCTGCACATTTATCTTTCCAATGCATCTATATCAGAATCCATTTTTGTTGCCCAGTTGTCAAATTCCATATAGTAGGTATGTCGTCCAAAAGAATATTATCCTCTTAAATTTCAGTTCCAATTTACTTCCAATTATGAGGAAGTACTTTTGTTTGTTTATTTATCACAGAGCACCTGGTTAATATGTTTCGCTTCCTTGTGGCCACTGCGAAGGAATATAACTTTAAGTACTTGCATTGACCAAAGGAAAAACTGGGACGCAGCATGCAAGGTTCAGCCTGTGTTCTGCATGCTTTCTCTCAGGGCTGGAACAAGGTCTTACTGGATTGGTCTGCACAGCTGTTGCTTTTTTTACTGTTGTTGTTTTTTAAGAGAAGCTTATCTCTAGTATGTTTGCTTCCCCATAAAACCAAAAGCAAAGCATCTATTGTATTCTGGTTACTCTTACTCTGAGATATCGGCTCATTCTTTCAGTATCTTCTTTGTCCTGTGTAACTACAAAGACTTCTTGCCCTTCACACAAGTTTAGGGCCCAAACAAATGTGATGTTAAATACACAAACGCCTTCAGCACGCCTGTTTTCCACATTGTCATAGGAGCAGCTGCAAGAAGGGTTTGTGGAAGAAAGCGGGATCGGGACCGCAGGGAGAGCAATAATCCTTTCCCCTCCCCATGGCATTCTCGTTGAAATTACACCCACCCCCCACTGAAGCTGTTATTAGCCTCAGAGCTCTTGGATTAATAGCTTTGAGGGTGGACAATTTCATAGCTCTAAAACCACATTTCATTCCAATATAGGCTGTCTGCAGTATCCTTACAGCCGCATTGGCTGGCCACTGTAGCTAAGTAGTGAGTAAGGAGAGGGCTTATCAGCACCCCAATACACTCCCCCCTCCCTCTGTTGCCACTTAACATCACAGCAGCTCCCTCTTCCTGCTTCACTTAATGCTCAGCAATGGCTACTTAACAGCATTTGGAATGTCATATTCCAGTTCCTCAAATATAGGCAGCCGCAATTTACATATTGTACAAATGGTTTGCTAATTATGCCAATTTTGCTCTGAGTTTTGTGTGGGGAAAGCATACTTTTTTGGAGTCTTTATGAACAAGTGCAAGGAATAGGTACACACGTCGATGAATCACAAGGCTTCTGCAGGCCATTGAACATTAGATTTGCTCTGAAAGGGCAAAATATTGGCCCAGGCTATTTTGGGCTGGAAATCCCTACCAGCCCATTGACAGAAAATGACCAGATGGGGCATTTTTTAGTTTTGTGTGCCCTTTGGCTTGCCCCACTCCCTGGTTCTGTACATTTGATGCTCGGAAGATTTGCCGAGCACCGGAAAAAAGTGTCCCACAATTTGATCACAACACAGAACCCAGAAAGAGGCTTCAGTAGCAGACACCATCCCATTGCAAGGTGGCGAGGTGAGAGTGCAGCGTGCAGGCCTTTTCCCCATGGAGACCTTGCCTGGCACAAGGGTGTGCTTTGCATTGGTTTTAATTGTGCCTCATTGCGTTTTTATTCATGTACACATCTGCGGGCCCTACCAAACACACGAAGCTGGTCAAAAACAAGAGAGGGGAGACGGTAGCACCAGAAAATGTGATGAATGTTGAGGTCCATAAAAATGCCGTTGAAGCACATTTTAAGGCTCCATTTGCCTTACCCTGTACACCTGACATTTTCATACTAGTTAAAAAGTAATTGTACTCAGAGACCTGGAATTTCCGTTAACATCATCTGCTAAAGAAATTGTTGAAATACGTATTGCAGAAGCAGGGAGGGAAGACTGCTGTGGTTATTACAGCTGCTGCTCAGGGGAGCTATTCAGATGCCTCATTTATTGGAGCTTAATAGATTAAAAGTCCAAATTGAGTCTCATGAAATAAGCCTAATCAAATTCTAATCTGCATAATTTCCCCATAAGTGGCAATGGGAATTTTTTTTATATAATTTATGTTTGAGCAGTTGCCAGTCATGTGTTAAACAGCATTGTTGTGTTTACTTAACAAAATATGTTTTGTTCTTTGTTTGCACTGATGTTTTTATTTTTGCTTTGCTTTTCTCACTTAAAAAGCCAGGTGCCTATAGAAGTCTTCCCTAAGTTGCATTTAAAATTCCCTTTCTGAAACAGTGAGCTTCCGTTTACAACTCATTGACAACCTGCCTTAGCAAACGTAAGGATTAATGCAGTTTAATTAATTTGAATAGGTGAGCACAGGTCAGAATTCCTTAATACCAAGACTAAATTTAACACTGGTTTATACCAGAAAGCAAACAGAGGTTGGATAAGAATTTCAAAATCATGATAATTACACTCAGATCTTGTTAAATGGTTCATTCATGCCAAGTGGAACATACCCACAAATCAGTATTCAAGTCTGCTGCTTGTTGCGTTTGCCCAGGTGAATGTATTTAGGCATGTATGTGATTTCCCAAGAAATTTCTTGCTGAAATTTCTTACCACCTCTGAAAATCCCTTGGATGTTTGACCAAAGCAGGAACCACCAATTTTATCCTGAAATTTCACTGTAATCCTATTTCGATGACAACACTTTTTTTAAAATGAAGGAACAACTAGATGTGATACTAAGAAAGCTATGGTAGGATTTCCCACTGTTCTAAAAAGTTTAAGAGCAATTCTGCATCCTTCCATCCCTTCATTTTCCTTATGTATCTGCTATTTGTCCTGCAGGAGAAACATAAACGGACCATAACATTGTTGTATCTGCCCCTCTCCACCCTAGAAATAACGGGGGTGGGGGGGTTATATGGAAATTGGGAGGGGAATTAAACACCTGCTCCTTAAACACTGTAGTTCAGATTAGATTTGAAGCCCCCATAGCAATTATTAAACTTTTAAGAAGAAGCAAGGCTATTAAACTTTTTAACAATTAGCCACAGGCAATCGCTTTGTCAAATGTGAAATAGCTCTGAATGACACATTTTGTGGGGCAAATAGATGAAAATCAGGGAGAAACTGGGTCAAATTTGTGTTCGCAAGCACATCTGTGTATATATGGGGAGGGGTGTCTTTGGATAGCACTGTGCAAAAAAACTGACCTTCCCCTTAACGTTTCAGAAGTCTTTAACCTGAATATATCTGCTAACTGGATTCCCCCACTCCTTCCATTACACATTGGGTATATATGTGAGGGTGCCAGCTAAAATATAGCTATTAGCCCCAACGGTCTGGTTAACTTTAGTTTGGGAAGCGGTAATTTCCACACTGGCTAAATACACGACTAGCTTTTGTCTCTCCTTGAAAATACTGTTAGTCTACTGTGCAGAGTTTAATACCTAAGGAGCACTCTGCCCTGGGGTCTGTTCCCCTTGGTGGTGGGTTAAGCGTTTCCCTGTTTGTAGCCTATGAAATTGGCTTATAAAACTTAGTTTCCCTGCTCTCCTGATGATAGGTGTATGATGTCGGAGTGAACCCTTCCTAAAGGTGTGTTCAGAGGGGTGCCCAAAGAGGTAGCAGACACCAAAGAGCAGAGGGCCCCGAGGTCAAGCGAGGCAAAAACAAGATTCCTATCGAGCATAAATGCCCTTTCAGTGAAGGGAAAGAATATATTCCTTTAAGACTACAAGACATAATTGTATGTGTGGCTTTTTGTTTTCGTAAGCAGCTTTAGTTTAGTGTGTTGTATAACTGGGATTAAGAGAAAATAATAAAGATGTGCTTGAATATTAAGGGGTTAGATCCAATCAGCCTTTTTTTGCTTGTGTCTGCGGAAGTCACTGCTTTTGTCTCTTGCTCTGCAGCTTCTGATCACCAGGACTGGCTTTTTAGAGGCTGCAGTCGGAAGAGGGCAGGAATCCCCATATCCTGACTTGAACATAGACTAAGAATCCAAGCCAATATCCTCGATACTATTTAAATATACTAAATATGGCAACTCCTTCCAACACTGGGTGCTAGCTATCAAACTGCAAGATGTCTCACACTGCCTTCAGTAGCTCAAATAAGCTTTTGGCACAATTAAAAATTAAATTGAATAAATAAATATAAATTTAATGTAATTATCCCCCCTAGCAACCTACCAATTAAAGCTGCCTTTTTCTCAGGCCCAGGTCATGTAATTTCCAGAACATGATGATGTTTTTGAAGATGGTGGTGGTGGTGCTGAAGAAGGAAAAAAGTTTATTTAATGGTCCACTGAGAGACTCCCCAGCCATTTTCAAGTGGTTAGCAGAGGAAGGGCTTGGAGTGTGAGAATGACTGTTCTAGACAATAAACTGAAGCAACTGCTAGCATTGTAGCTCCTAATTAATGTGGGGTTATTTTATGAACCAAAGGAAAATCAACAATAACAGTCACCCCTCTTCAGTTTTATGGGCCCTAATATTTAAGCTTGGATGACTGAAAACATGAGAAGGCGAATGAAAATGGATATTTTGAGTAAAGCGTGCCATTTCTGAATGAAGGACGGCTCTGTGAAGTAGAAGAGAATCTCTTCACATCCCCAAACAGCACTTACATCTCATGACTTAGCCTGTTTCTGGTGCTGTAATGAAATACTGCTTTCCTAATACCCTGTGACCTGAATTCCTTCCTGCTTTGTGGGTGCTATTCCTTGACGTACAAATCTGTATTTTCTCAAGTCAGCATTTGATGATGGATGTCAAAATACAGGCCATGTATTATGCATATATAGCATTACCGATTTAAGGTGTTTACTTGTCAAGTTGAAGAAATTCAAAAACTTCACATCCACTGAATTCGCACAGCTGTCACTTGCAGTTTTTCATACTTTCAAATAAAAGTTGTGATAAAACAGTTTATGTTTCCTTCACTTTTTTATTTTTTTTGAAGGAAGAAAATAGGCAGCATCTAAAATTTATGCTTAGGGCTGGCTAGAAAAGACTGCAAAGAGGATGTTCCTGGAGGAGGGAAGGAGGACCTACTGCCTACCTCTCTTCTCCCTGCCAGCTCTCTAAGAGAATGGAAATAATAATAATAACTTAACATTTATATACAGTGGTACCTCGCAAGACGAATGCCTCTCAAGACGAAAAACTCGCAAGACGAAAGAGTTTTTCGTTTTTTGAGTTGCTTCGCGAGACGAATTTCCCTATGGGCTTGCTTCGCAAGACGGAAACGTCTTGCAAGTTTGTTTCCTTTTTCTTAAAACCGTTACAGTAATACAGGGTGCATTGCTTGAAGAGGTGCAGTTGCGACTTGACTTTGGGGAGCAACTCATAGCACGCGGTGTGGTAGCCTTTTTTGAGGTTTTTGAAGATTTGAAAAAATTGAAACCGTGCTTCGCAAGACGAAAAAACTCGCGGAACGAATTAATTTCGTCTTGCGAGGTACCACTGTATATAATCAAATCATTTCCCCTGGCAACCCTGGAGTGGACTTGTTTCATTCCTGTTGCTCTAAAGGCGCATTTATTTTATTGAAATATGGCACCTCCAGACTGGCAAACCAGACGACCTTTATTAATTTATTTTGGTGAGGAAATGCCAACCAGCCATTTAATTCCATGCACCGAGTGCTCTGTTTCTGAGTGAAAAGATTACTCACAAATGTTTTAAAATAAATAAATACATTTGTATACAGTTGTGTAGAACTAGCTTTCCATTCAGGGAGAAAATGCAAGCCATTTAGTACTTTTTTTCTTCTGTGCATTTGCTTTGTGTATACAATTTGAAATTATAAAGCTGCTGACAGTCTCACAGAAATGTCATATGCGTTTCAAACAAACACTGGAGAGGGGATAGTGGGGGTGGGTGGGTTGAGGCTAAAAGCTGGCATGCTGCGGTGAGTAGGAAGAGTCCATGTATTTTTCTTGCAGCCACATTCTGCTTAGAGAAGAATGCAAAGGACTACCAGTTCCACTTTGGAGAATCTCTGAATTCAACTATAGCCTGATTTTCTCCTGTTTCCAAAAACTCTTTCCAAACACTGCTGGTCAGATATACCTAATAGACAGCAATAGAGCACAAAAGGTCGAAGCGTTTCACTTCTCGGCCTTGACTGCTGACATATAAATTTCCTCCCTGGGGCAGCATACAGATGTTCAGGGGGTGGAGCCTTGTAGAGCAAGTAAGGACAAGGGTAAGGATAGCAGCACAGCCCTGTTCCTTGTTTTAATTACCTTTTAAACCAATTAACCATTCTGTCGTATGATAAGGTCTGTAAGATAGCATGGCATGAAAGGCATATAGGTCAGTACAGAGATTTCAGTCCACTAATCTGAAATAACAATTCCAAGCTCAGTTGATGGTCTGCAGGTGCCATTATGTTGTCTGACGTTAATTAGGTCCTGTCAATGCTGCAACTCGGCTAGGTATCCCTTACATACCATTCTGAGCTTCTTGGAGCAATCAAAATCAGCATGGCTCTGATTTTTTTATTGTTAAGGAATACATGGGGGGGGGGGGGGAGATCCAACTAGGATTGTCCTCAGTATCACTTGATGTTCTTGTTCTCATTTTGAAAACATATTTATCCACATTCTGTAAATAAAAACAATTCTGTTGATACTGTACTATACAACACTACACTGAACTGAACTGTTTCATTGTTTCTTGGATTGTCCTTGAGACTCCTGCCACGCCATTGCCACACCCTCTGAGAACCCCTGGCCTAAGAAGATGATAATGGAGATCTGGACAGGCACATGTAGAGACATGCAACCCTTCTGATAAGCTGGCCCCATGCCACAGGGTTTTGAAAGCAAAGTAAATAAAATAAAAGTTGTGGGGTTTTTTAATATGCCCAGGAATAGACCAGGAACCACTGAAAGCTGTTAAATAAGTGGTAACCCAGTGTAACACCTAAATTTTGGCATGCTGTTTTCTCCACAGGGTTTTCACCACCAGGAATGGACAGATCATCACCAGACAACAGCCCGGTGCATGGCCTTCTACGTCAGCACTCCATCACAACAGGAATTGATATCCCTATTATAACAGAATTAGGTAAGAGAAATTGAAGGTGATCTGTTCTTGTTTGCTCATTTCTTTACCCTCCTTCTCTCCCTCTTTGCCAGCCTAAGGAAATGAACACAGGTCATACGTAGTACCTTTCATTTAATGTACTGATGTTTAATTATTCTTGTGAAGGAAAGGGGGGGGAGAGACAATGATTAAGCAAGCTCTTTCACTGAAGCCTGAACATAATTTTACTTCTTCCCTTATTTGGTGACAGATCTTCAGAATCTGCTCTATAAAACAAAGCCTGGATGCACCACCAGAGGGGGAACAGAAATCAATGCTAAGAGTGGGGCTGATCCCTACATTCAGACAGAAGTGTGGGTGGGCAACCTGCCACAGCTGGAAGGTCCACAGGCTACTGCCCACCATTACACTCTGTTGTTTGCCCCTTGCCTTTCAACAAAGCCACCTTAACACTACCCTCTCCCCCTTGCAGGTGGTTGTGGTAGTAAGAGCCATTGCATTGAGTGCAATTATCCCAGTTTACACTTGCCCGCTGGACGACAGCACCCCTGTGGGCAGATGCAGGATTGCACATCTGTTTATTAGGACTGATGTGCCAGAGTAGGTGTGGCCCTTTAGTTGCAGAGAAAATGCAACCCTTTGCCCCGTGTGCTACCTGCATCTTAACCAAAAATAAATATTTGCTTGTTCATTCCTCTGCTCTTACGCTGACAAATTAATAACTAATTTGTTCCGTAATGGCATTGGGAGTGTTATCATGGAGAATGTGGCAACCGTTTGCTTGTTTCCCATTTCTGCTGTGGCATTAGACTAGTGAGTGTTGTCAAGCAGTGTGAAGCGTGAAAGCCATTCTGTTTCTCATAGTAAAGGCAAGCTTGATTTGTAGTCCTTTTGTCCTGTTCACTTTCTTTCCATTTAGTTTTAGACCTTACCTGTCTTATCCCTTACTTTATTCTCTTTCTGTGCCTTCTTTCCCCTTCCACCCCAATCCCCTCCTAAACACTTTACTTATTAGCTAAGCCTGGCAAACTTCTGCCTTTGGTTTCAATCAGTCAGGAAAAAAACAGTGGAACTCACATTCTAATGATAACTGAACTGGGTAAGAAGTGCCTTTTTCCTTCACATCAACTGTCTTTTGTTTTATTGTTGTTCCTACTGTCATCAGCTTTCTCTTTTATTTATCTGGCTGTATCAGAGGGGGCTACCCTCAGAGCACCGCTTTGAATGTGTTTTATTTGTGATTCCAGTTGAAATCGACTGTCTTGTTCTGGCTTTTCTTAATGATTTTTTCCCCCTCCATACGCAGCATCAGTAAATCTTTGATCACACTCATTTGACCTGCCGGCTGCTCCCATAGTATCTTCACACCAATTCATTTTTCTTTGGTCTAGACATTTTCGCTCTCTCTCCCTCTCTTGCTTTGCTTTCCTTTAAAAAAAAAATCTAGCCACCTGTCAATTTGACTGACATGTCTTAACAGCTCTCAGAGGAGTCAAAGAAGAAATAAGAGACATTTTAGGTGGGGGAGAAAGAAACTCCAGCATCAGCTCTTCCCTTAAGCTGTTGGTTTGTTTTGGGGGCCCACTTTCCACACAAAAGCTAAGGGTTCTGATGTCCTGAAACCAGCTAAGCTTCTAAACAGGCTTCTTTGGGAAAGTGAAATTTTGATTAGCACTTCCTGTGGCAAAGTCCTGCACTCTTAAACCAATCCTACCTCTAGTCCCATCTTAGCTCAGAGACATTTCATACTAATCCTAGCAGGAGAATGTAGGCCAGGACGATAAAGCTATTGAGGCTTAGCCTTGCAACGTTCACATTAGATTTTGCTGCGATTCGGAAATTGTCACCGTGTAAAAGGTGGGAAAGCTTTTGTGTCAGGTATTAGCCTTGTGTGAGTTATTAGTCTTTCACGTCTGCCAGTAGGAAGTGGTATATACAATGCTGCTGAAGATTGTGCCTTGGTTTAATTTAGCATTTGAAAACAGACTCTTGTCTTCCCCAAAGGTCCATTTTTGAAGCGGAATGTACTCTCTCAAATAGACATTTGCTTCAAAAAGAAGAAAAGAATGTTAAACAAAGCAATTTTGTTATTCATTGACTATAAGACACAGAGGGATTTTTATAAATGGAGAATGTCAATTCCCAACTGCAGCCTCACGTTCATCCTTTTAGTGTGAACTAGGCTAACACATGTTGTGACCAAAATTTGCCTGGGATAAGGGAGTGCTCATAATAAAGCATGTAAAACATATTGTAGTGTTTCTGCTGTATAATATTAGGACCAGAGAATATGGCTCCAGAACACTGTCTCCATTCCTTTCTGACCATCTTTTTTTAAAAAAACAAACAAAAACAAACCACTTGTACTCTGCTTTGATGGCCTCTGGTCATGAAGTGGTTTATAAATCTATTAAATAAATAAAGCAAATCTTCATCACACTCATCCTATTTTTTCAGATATGGTTTAATTTCAGGTGAAATTCCTCAAATGTGCCACATCAGGTCTATTATAGGAAGCCATCTGAGCCTTTACTTGTCTTTGAGCTGAAACAGTATTTTGTGTGATCTCTATTTTGTAATGTAAAGCTGGAGTTGTTCCCTCCTACTGACAAGGCAATCTTGACTGTGCTCCTGATGATACCAAGAAACTCCTCACATGAGAACGTTATTTCACCTTTTGGGACATTCACATTTCATAACGATCAACTGGTGTTTGTTTATTTGTTTCCTCTCCCAACACTCATTTCAAACACCCATTTAAACTCCATTCTCACCAACCTGCCTATGTTTCTGGGGACACACACACACACACTCCCCCCCCACACATGTAGCATGACAAGGTTTTCTGCTGGTTTATTTTTTTGTTAATCATTATCTTTTTAGTGAATGATTCAAATGTTCAGTTTCTGGACCAAGATGATGACGACGACCCTGATACAGAACTGTATCTCACGCAACCTTTTGCGTGTGGAACTGCATTTGCAGTCAGCGTGCTGGATTCTCTCATGAGCGCAGTAAGTATCCAGTGTTTTCTATTTCCTCATTACACAGATGGTTGAAACCTGCCATTTCAACCACAGCTCTGCTGGAAAACAGACTGCTCCTTTTACCTGACCCATATTTGTATGTCTCACTCTGCCTGTACATCCTTAGCTCTTCGATCAGCGCTGGTAGAAGTAGTACAGTCAGAAACCAGTGGCTCATAGGTTGTAGAGAACACACAGCTTTTCAGCTGGGGAAACACCTCCCAGTGCCTCATTTGCCTTAAGAACTACAGTGTGGACAAACAAGCAAGGTGGTCTGAGAATAGGTTGCTCAAGTGCCCTTGTGACATTAAGCTAAGCCTCTGTCCTTCAGCCCACAACTAGGTGCATGGTTGAAAACACCCACCTCTAATTTTGCTCCATGCTGTGTAATTCAAATATTGTCTCAGCTCATGTGTGCAGCCTACATCCAGGATGGAGAATAAATGTTGCATGCACAACAGGCCTGGAACGGCTACTGCTACTATAGGAACAAATGGCTACAGGAGTGGTAAGACACAGGGACTCATTCTGTACGATATTTTGGGCCTCCCCCACCCCTTTAAAGAATCCTGTCCAAAATGCAAGGATGCTCCCATATGGCTACAGATAAAGTCACCTAAAACGAATGCAGGTAAGAAGCAGGTAACTGAGGAAGGAGGCAGTGGATAATTTTGGGGGTCTCAAGTGAAAGACAATATGCAGAAGCCAGCCATCCAGCCAAGGAATTGTGCAGGGATATGGCCAAGTACGGGCCTCACAAGAAACACAGCTGAGGAAGTAAGCAGTTCCCTAATGAGGTAAGTTATCATATTTAAGAGTAAAGCTATCCTTTCATTCACAGTCCTTGAAGTAGTGGATGTTTAGATTTTGCAATATGTGGCTTTACTGTGCAACGAGCACCCTTTTTGACCAAATTACACAGCGAAAATGAGGGTGCACATTAGATTTGATGGCGCATTTACATTCAGCAGCAAATACTTCTTTGGTTTCAAGGTTTTGAAAATTGAGGTGCACATTAGATTCATGTAAATACAGTGTCTTACTTTAGTTAATTAGTCAAAAACAAGGCAATCCATCTAATAAAATTTTCTTTTTTTAATGTTGGTTGACAGCCACAATGATTATTTTTGTAAAGCGCTTAGAGGTTTCCTTACAATCAAGTGGTATGCAATTTTTGTTAAATAAAATATAACACAAGTCTTATACTTTCCCACTGTTCAGAAATATTATCAGGTGATAAACAACTTCCTTGGTTTATCTTATGATTAAATCATGCAATACTGTACAAATCTGTGTGGTAGATTTATCAGATAAATACATTAGATTATTTCTGCTCTGTTTAGGGTTCACTCCCTGTAACATCACTAGCTATAAGATAATGACTTCAATTCAAGACTGTCAGCATTTGGAGATCCATTATATTTTAAATAAACTATACAAATAAAAATGCATTTCTGTAATACTGACAAAAAACAAATACTCCAGCACTAGAGTTTCTCTTTAAGCTACTCTATGCAAACTAGGAAATATTTTAACTGTGGCAGCCTTGACACAGAAAATGATAGTTTTAGAATAATTATAAATGAAAGGCAAAATGCTATTAGAATGTATTAAAGAGCTCTGTTAATTTTCAGTTAAATTTTCTGTAAGAGACCAATTAGTTTAAGAAGCATGACAGCATTAATGGTGAACCATAAGATCTTGTGATTATTTTACTTTTAAAAGGGAGGGGGGATTTTACAAAGCAGGCCCCAAATAGTTGTGCTATTTCAAAAGAGTTTTGATGGAATGCAGAAAAAAGGGCTAGGTGGCACTGCAAGCTCAAATATAGAGACCTATCTTTTGCCCAGGTTATAGTAAGCCAGGGTTGTGCTTACCTTTGTCCCTCAAACTGGAACAATTGCAGATAGGCTCACATGATTATCTAGTTAGCAACTGTGGCTGCAAATTAAAAGGTCTTTACTCTTGATTGCTACACAGCCAACAGCAGGAATTTGGCCTAAAAGGATTGTGCTAAACTTAATCACCTTTCTAAATGCATTCAGATTTTTTTTCCTACTGCGAGTAGCAGATTCAGATTGCATCACCTCTTTCATGGATCGATCAGAAAATAGTTTTCTAGTTAATTTTTCCACATGGCCTTAATGTTTCATGTCCAAAGACCTTACTACATAGTAAAATGTTATTTAGAATGTTCTGAATCTTTTGGAGTTTGAAGCTGCCACAAGATTTTCCTCCATTATTTTAGTAGCAGTTGTGTTGTAAATAAAAATATGCCCTTTTCCCTTATGGGGTATCCAAGAGCCCATATAGAGTCCTTACATAGGTTCCCTATTGGTAGGAGAAAATAACAGAGGCCAACCAGAGAATATTGAGAAGCAAAGCAGCTAGTAAGCTTGATCTTTATTGATCTGTTGCAACAGGGTGCTCCCCTCACACGCAGGAGAGGAAGAGAACCCATAAAAATGCTGTGCAAGGGCTTATAAAGACTTTTGAAATTCCCATCCTCTAGATCAAGACCACCCCCAGAAACATTATGCATTCATCACAGAAGGGGTGTAACCTAAGACCACCCCTCAGATACATCCCAGAAAAGGTGGTCTGAAACAGAACATTTGCATGTTGTTTTTCTCCTGTCCCAGTTTATCTCCTGTCTGGCAAGTTACTTGATTGGATTGCCTGGGGAGCCTGGCCATTCTTTTGTAGTGGTAAAATACTTTTCCTGGGCCAGGTCACAGGCTCACACCTTAATCATATCTTAAATGTGTCCTTAAGACAGGATTTGTGAGGAAAGAGACAGTGGGGAGACTTTTCCAGTTTGACTTTGCAGAGAAAACATTTGGTCAGTTTAGGAATCAAAATGGTTCCAGGTTGGTCTTCCTGTGCTGACCTATGTATGTGCAGTTATGAACATTACCATATATCCAAGACCATAAAACTCCTCTCACAGTTGTAGTAATCTAAGAGCTAAAAATGATCTCCTACACCCTCAAAGAAAAAACAGGGTTACCAAACATATCCATTGAAATTCAGTCCATGCAATTCCAGGAATTTCAACAGATGCAACTTTTTCTACTTCTACCAACTATGAAATATGCAGGAGTCCAAGCCACAGTAGGATAAGTAGGAGGCATAGCTCTCTGGATATTAAAATACTCAACCTGGTTCTGGAAAGAGCATCTTTTCAGAACAGTGTGAGGTCTCTGTTATGCTAACGCTAATCCCTTCCTGTTGAAACTCAAACCAGCAACCATCTTCTTGGCCTAAAGCAGCAGCCTTGCTGTCCATAGTGCGACCAGAGGCCAAGAGGGAGGGGCTTCTGTATCTTTTACAGCAGGGTAGAAGGGGGGGTGGGTCTGGCAGGGATGCACACGGCCATTCAAAGGTGCAAGCGCCCCCCCTCTGTTGAATCTGGTTTCCCTAGCAACCACAGAAAGTGCTGAAACAAAAGCCATAGGACTGCAACAACAATATATTGATAATAATCAGGAGTTCACAATCAAGTAGATAAAATATCACAATTGCAAAATGAGCATTTCAGCAAGGCTTAAAACAACCCCAAAACTATATATCACAAAAATAATTATTTCACTGAAGAATGCTCTAAGCAGCTGACAACAGACAGGCTTCTAGATAAGGTCCTGTTTCAAAGATCTTTCTCAGATGGTAACACCTCAAAAATGTTTCAATGCCCTGATTGCAGTTTTTGTAACTGGGAGGATTCAGAAATGTTTATATCTCTAAAGATGTTTTTTGAATCTAAAAGGATGGTATTATCCAAGCCAGTGGAGTAGAGCTGTTAACAAAAATGTGCCTGCTAAGCACAATTGATTCTTCCCATATGAATAATTTGAGGGATGCTAAGGCACCATTAGGGACGTGGGTGGCGCTGTGGGTAAAACCTCAGCGCCTAGGACTTGCCGATCGTCAGGTCGGCGGTTCGAATCCCCGCGGCGGGGTGCGCTCCCGCTGCTCGGTCCCAGCGCCTGCCAACCTAGCAGTTTGAAAGCACCCCCGGGTGCAAGTAGATAAATAGGGACTGCTTACTAGCGGGAAGGTAAACGGCGTTTCCGTGTGCTGCGCTGGCTCGCCAGATGCAGCTTGTCACGCTGGCCATGTGACCCGGAAGTGTCTTCGGACAGCGCTGGCCCCCGGCCTCTTAAGTGAGATGGGCGCACAACCCTAGAGTCGGACACGACTGGCCCGTACGGGCAGGGGTACCTTTACCTTTAAGGCACCATTGATTTGCTTACTACTGAGCAGACATGTATAGGATTGTGCTGTAGAAGTTTTTCCTGGGTTGCCATTCAATTTTTCCTGAAGCAAAATTTGAAGCAATTGCCACATATGTGACCAATACAGCAGTCCTTGTTAGGATTAGAGATAATCCTCTTTAAAAATAAAATAAAATACTGTCCTCCACCAGCCATAGATTGCAGCTACTTAAGGAAGCCTCTTGCAACCCGACATGTGCACTTTTAAATGAACTTCCTTCCGCTGGCGTCTAATTAATATTTAAAATGCCCATTGTTTTGCCTGAGAGACCAGAGTAGCTACTGATGCTGGCAAAATGTCACTGTGGAGAAAATCTTCCCTAATAAACTACACTTACCCCATACCCTAGAGTTTTTTAAAAGGACCAGCAGGACCCTAAACTCATCATACATTTATCTGGAATGAACTCAAAATGTTTAATTGATACATGCTTGTGTCTGAACACTGTCAAGTCTCGTAATAAGATGTTTAGTACAATACAGCGGGAAGACAGCTCGAGTCCAGCAACAGTAATAAGTAATGACACCCGAAGCACAGAGGCGGCTCCCCAATGGATTGGTGACAAGTATAAAAAGGCAATCTAGCCTGTGTAAGCTTTAAATGTGGTCTGGATTTTTACAATTACATGTCCTAAAGGCTGTTATTAGACATGAAGGCAATGAGAAGGAAGGCAGTCATTGCTTCACCACTAACACCAATTATAGGAAACATAAATGATTTACATTTTTGTTCTTTAATAAAAATCAGTCCTGAGTTGGATTTTTAAAAAATAAAATAAAAAGGGGGGGTCGAGCAAAAGCCTAATGGGACAGAAGAAAATAGAGTAATTGGGGGCTGCTGTCTTTTCACTTCCGATGAGAAATTATTTGAAGAGACAAGCCAAGAACTTTAAACAGCAGAAACCCAGAAAAGTTGTAATTTGGATGTCTTCAGTTGTGACTTTAATGGTGTTTGCTTGAAGAGCTTTCTTTTATCTCTGCAGACATACTTCAATGACAATATTCTCACGCTGATACGTACGCTGGTAACAGGAGGAGCCACGCCAGAGCTGGAGTCGCTGATTGCGGAGGAGAACGCGCTGAGAGGCGGCTACAGCACACCCCAGACACTCGCAAACAGGGACAGGTGTCGGGTGGCGCAGCTGGCATTGCTCGATGGGCCATTTGCAGACCTCGGGGTAAGACCAGGACAGCAAAAGGAAAAGTCCGGGAGCTATTCTGTAGCTGCCTTTGTCTTGTCCTCAACAGAGAAGATACGTAATCTCTAGAGGCAGTGTTGCCTTTCTTTGAGTATCCCACTCAGAGCTGTTGAATTTGGGGGTTGTTTGCTGCAGTGATCTGAGAATTGGCAGCTGGAAGACTTAACCCACCTCCCAGATATTTTCCAGCTGTCCCCTGACATAATCACAATTCCTCCTCCCCCCACCCCTGGCAAACCTTCTTCTGCATTAGATCTGCATTGCACTCTGCCCCTCATACCAGTCCTGGGCGATATATTGGCCAGGACTGGTATGAGGGGGCTGAGTGCGATGGCAGTTTCACTCAGGGATATATTGCTCGTGAAACCGCCACTGCATCCCTCTGCCTCCAGCACCCAGCTGAGGAAGAAACAAGTGGAGCCAGGTGCCGGAGGCAAAGGAAGTCAGGAATGGTGGTGGTTTCACCAGCGATATACTGCTGAGTGAAACTGCCACCGCACTCTGCCCTCATACCGCCGCAGTGGGCCCTCGCCTCAGCCAAGCTGTTTTACAGAGCGCCTGACCAGCCACTGGCTCACATGATCCAGCAGCGCAGTGGGGTCTCCATTAATGTGCTCCCCTTTCCGACTCCTGCTCATACACAAGTAGGAACGAGATTGTGGTTGTTTAGCTGGGGAGGTGCAGGCTCTGTCACACTTTTCCACTGAGGGGGGGCACAGCTGCACGACCCTCAATGGAGACGTTTACACCTCCGGCTTGTGCAGAAGCAGCCTAACTTGGCTACGGCCTGCCTGGCTTTGTCCGGGAGGGTGGGCTGCATCTTTCCTCCCACAAAAAATGGAGCCCATCATCCTGCCCTAAGACAGCCCTGCCTTGCAGACTTCACCCAGGAGGATGGACTTCGTCTTTCCTCCTGGGGTGAACAACCACCCCGGGGAAAGAGGCAGCATGCTTGTATGGGTGAAGGCAGTTAAACACTACTGTCGTCTGGTCCATATTTGGGGAGTGGAAGGCGAGCGGGCAGCCCCCCCCCCGCCAAGGAGCCCCTGCCACTAACACACAAGTGGCAGGGGGTAGGAGCCTTTCCGCCCCCTCCCCAACTCAGCTGTAGTCTGGGGGCAGCTGCACTGGCCCCAGCCCACAAAGCACATGAGTGAAAGCACCTCAGCTCCCGCAGTGAGAGCTGCAGCAATTTCACCTAGTGCCTCGCCAGCTGGGGCCAATGCAGCTTGAAAGTGTATCGCCATTGCAATGTATTGGCAAACATCACGGTTTGGCAATATATCGCAATGTTGAAAAAACAAGCTGCACTGGCCTCTGCCCACGAGGCACTAGGTGAAATTGCTGCAGCTCTCACTGTGGGAGCTGAGGCGCTTTCCCCCAGGCACTCACGGGCTGGGACAACACAGCTTAGCTGAGGAAGAGGAAGGTGCTAACATATAGAATAAGAGAAAAAGAAGAACATATATTTAAAGGAGATTGGAAAATGTTTATTGAATAAATGGAGGAAAATTCAGTTTGAAAACGTGGGCAGCATTAAGATAAATTCAACAGTGTGAATAAGTTTTGATGGATGTAAATAAAGATATGCAGGGATTTATATTGTGCAAAATGAACCATGGAAAGAGAGGAAGGGAAGTCATTGATATCTTAAGGTTGTTCAAAACAGAAATTTAATAGAATTGTATTTAAAAAAAGGAAGGTTCCCCCTCCCTAGGTGAGACAGCCCTGGTGCTCTCCCACGAGCATCAGGGCTCCTTTAACTGCTCAGCTGAGGCAAGGCAGCTGCACACTCCTCAGTTGAGCAGTTTAAAGATGCAGAGGGAAGAACAAGCTGCATCAGCACCTCACCGATACAGCTTGTTTCTCCCTCTGCGTCATATGAGGGCAGAGTGGGATGGCAGTATCTCTTAGTGGTATATCGCTGGTGAAACCGCCACCACTCCTTAGTCCCACTGATAGGAGAACCCGCTGGAGGAGGGAACTCTTGACTGCCTCCAGCGGACACTGCTGGCAGAGGGACTCAGTCAGGAGCAGTGGTGGTTTCACCAGCGATATACCACTGAGAGATACTGACATCGTGGTCTGCTCCTCATACCAGGCCTACTGGTGATACACTGCAATGCTGAAAACCCAACATCATCCAGCCCTATTCTGCATCACAGGAAATGTTGTCCAAATTAGCTGGAACCTGGGCAAAATACCCAAACAACCCCCTTCCAACTGTTAATGGCAGCAAAGAAGAGCTCTTCACTTATGTACCTTGGCTGCTGGCTTCCAAGTGCAACCCAAGACATAGCAAGGGAATAGTGGAGTAGCGCGCACACACCACATGGTTCTGTGGAGAAGTTTCTAGTTGTTGGCTTCTTCCCATCTGCTCTGGCTTGGGTAAATTCCTATTTTTCTATTGCTGTTTGCTATATTGCTGCTGTTACAATTTGCCATATCCAAGTGCGAGATTTTTATAGAATCATAGCGTTGGAAGATGGGACACGGGTGGTGCTGTGGGTTAAACCACAGAGCCTAGGGCTTGCTGATCAGAAGGTTCGAATCCCCACGGCAGGGTGAGCTCCCGTTGCTCGGTCCCTGCTTCTGCCAACCTAGCAGTTCGAAAGCACGTCAAAGTGCAAGTAGATAAATAGGTACCGCTCTGGCGGGAAGGTAAACGGCGTTTCCGTGCCTGCTCTGGTTCGCCAGAAGCGGCTTAGTCATGCTGGCCACATGACCCGGAAGCTGTACGCCGGCTCCCTCGGCCAATAAAGCGAGATGAGCGCTGCAACCCCAGAGTTGGTCACGACTAGACCTAATGGTCAGGGGCCCCTTTACCTTTACCTTAGAGTTGGAAGGGACCATGATGGTCATGTATTCCAACCCCCGCAGTGCTGGAATCTTTTGCCCAATGTGGGGCTCAAACCTACAACCCTCAGATTAAGAGTCTTGTCCTTTACTGACCGAGCTATTATTTTCTTCCTAGAATGGATGCCTCCTACTAGAGGCATCAGGCAGGTTCCTCTCCATCCTTTGGCCTTCTCTTCAAGGGGAAGGAGTCATCCCTCTAACCAGACTAGCCCTCCCTGTGGTCAAAGAAATTTAAACTGGAACTAGGGTTGGCAGTGGTAATAAACTTGAACTGGGCTGTAACCGTGCCAGTAGCTCAATGAGACTGAATGGCCCTTTATATAAAAAACAGAAAACAAATGTTGAGGAGAAAGGACTCACTGACCTGTCAATTCTTTATGTGCTTTATACATGGCTTTATATTCTTCCATAAGAGCTCCCCATCTGTATCTGGTGTGGTTCAAACCTGACCTCCGTGAGAATTAGGCATCTCCATCTTCTTCAAGATTTGTTTACCCAGGCAGGCTGTAAATATGAACAAGCACAGCATAATCTTAGACATAGGGTTTCTCCATCAGTTCAAACATTGAACTACCAGCCATGAAATGTAGAAAATGAAGTCATGTACATATAGAATAACATCAAACAGATTAAGTATGTCTAACTGCAATGGGCATGCACTTGATTCTCCCTCCCCTTATTGTTCTGACCCATCTTAATCAGGTACCCACAAGGCAGGCCAGTGGCTGGAGCACCACAAGTCACTCCATACTTGGTTCAACCAAGGCCAGAGGTGAACTTAGGCCTGCTAGGTCTCTTCCACCACCAGTTGGACAGATGGGGTAGCATGGGAAGTGCTTGATTGCTCTGACAAGTCAAGCACTGTTGGCTCTGAAACCCCAACATCAAGAGCCTGATCAAATTCCCCAGTTGGTAGCATAGCAGCTCTGGACTTGGCTGACTCCTCCTCCGAGTTTGAGGCGATGACACCTAATTTGTAGAAGGGATAATCCCGCAAATGAGAATACACAAATGCCCATGTACTTACTTAAACAAAGGTTACATCCTATGTGAGATGTGAAGCACATGCGCAACCCTGCTGCCCCTTTGCACAAATTGGATCCTTGTGCAATACCAGTTTTGACTACCCCCATGGTTCTCGCAGTATGTGGGGGTCACATACTGCTGTTGCTTATGCAGATGATACTGAAGCTGGAAGTTTGATTTGTCATATATATGAACCAGTTTCTGTATCTGCCATACTGAATGCCAGTTGAGTCCCCTAATCAAAACAAATGCTTGGCTTGGAGACAAAAGACAATTTTGATAGGTGGCAACTTCAGTTACAGACAAACACATCCTCCCCTTCTCTAATTTCCATTTTTTTCAGGGCTAAAGAAAGCAGGGGGATTCTTACCTACTAAGTGTTAATCTCCCCAGTGAAATCCAAACTATCTTGGTGAAAATTGACAACATAGTTAAATAAACTGAGCCATATGACACAGTAATTTGCAAGACCGGAGCAAGTTAGGAAAAGTCACACCTTCTTAATCATCCAGTAGTTCAGACTACATTGCTCTTAATTTGTGGAATAGCTGTTCTCTGGGCCCCAAGCTTACATGTTCAATTAAAATAAGAGTCAGTCACTGTTCCCAGTCCAGGTTGGGGTTTTTGTGAGGGTTTTTTTTTGGGGGGGGGGATACAATCACTGGGATCGGACACATTCCCATGCACACATTTATTAGCTGGTTTCAAGATTAAATATTTAAATTAGACAGCTCCTTGACTAATTGTTTCTCACTCGTGACAAGTAAACAACAGATTGCCTCACACCTTGTCCCCTTGGCATAGAACTACGGACTTAAAATATACCCCCCTCCATACATCCTTTCATTATCACTGTTGCAACGGAGGCTGAAGGGTGGGGGGTGGGAAGGAAGTGGAGAACAACCTCTTAATTCCTTTCTTCTCCTTTTTGTCTCCTAGGACGGTGGTTGTTATGGAGATTTGTTTTGTAAAGCTTTGAAAACATACAATATGCTTTGCTTTGGAATATACCGATTGAGAGATTTCAACCAAAGCACGCCTAGCCAATGCACTAAGCGGTATGTACAAAACTTAAGCCTCTTGGCCAGCCGTTATTGTTATTGCTGTTTTTCACTGTCCCTGTAAACTTCACCACAGCACCAAGTGTTGGTTAATGGTAGTAAGGCAGGTACAAGCATTCACATTTTCCCAGAAAATCTATGGGGTTGGGAGGCTGGATGTTGAAGGAAAATGTTTTGAACACAACGGCTTTGCTCTGGAATATAGCTTTGCCTTATATCTCTGGGTTTTGTTTTCAGATAAGGTGGTAGAAGTATTTGTGCATATGCTACTGCATGTTTCTTTCAAAGTAGTAAGCTTCACTGAGTTTAAGCCCCTTTTGTAAGTATGAAGCATCCCATGGTTTTTTCGCTATATGAGTTCACTACCACTGATCATTTCCTGAATATAGTGAACTTCCCTGTTTATCAGGAGACTCCTAACGCATAGGATAGCCCTGCATAAAAGGACTCCTTCAGTCGTCTTAAGAGTGAAAAAAATATATGGGCAAAGACTAAAACACACTTTCTCCCCACCCCCCACATCAAACCTGAGGAAGTACACTGTATAACTTATTATTTTAGCAGCTCCATTTTTTCCTAATGTACTAGTAGAACAAGCTGATTTTGAACTACAAATAAATAACTAAAAAACTGTCACCAGTTGATCACAATGTACCAGAATACTTCACTACTGAGTTCATTGTTAATAAGCCATGTGTTTTTTTAAAAGATGTAGAAAATATATTCCCTTCCTCGCTCCACATAACCCCAAGCAATTAGTCCAAAGTTGCAAAGGTGACTGAGATATCTGAAGTGGTACCTTCTCTCATTTGAACCTGTCTGTGTGCTGAGAGTGTCATCAAAAGCCCAGTTTTAGATGCCCCCATTGTCAGAGGTGAGGCAACTAGGGACCAGGGGCAAGCATTTTCTGTGGTGATGCCCGATCTCTAGAATTCCCTCTCCCCCCTCCCCGAAGCTCATGTGTTTCTCCAGCAACAGGTAAAACTTATTTTGTTTCTCTGGGCTTTTGAAAGGGGAGGATAACTTTAAAAAAACTTACAACACACAATTATTACTGTTAAATTCCTGACATGGCTGTATCTGATATTCTCAACATTTGAATGTTGTACGTTTGTTGGGTAGAAACACGAGATATGGGTAGTTTAGATAGATAAAGTAAATGAACACACACCACTGGTGAGCAAACACAATCCAGATTTCCCCATTCTGTTTCCCTCTTAACAATTGTTTTGCCTCCAAAGTAGGCACAGGATTTAAAGCCCCTGCAATTCTCAGGTTAGCAAATGAGATATAGCAATAGGTTAAAACTCACAGTATGGAAAGAGGGTCAAGGAAGAGAAATGGGCGAAGGAAATTAGGGAGAAGGGAAGACTGAAGGTATGACTTACAGCAGATAGGATTCAGAGGCAAACAACAAAAAATATCTGAACTGAACTGATCAAAAGAGTCACAGATTGCAGGACAAGCTGTCTTCCCCAACCTGTCTACTGTGGCAGAGCATATTCCAGCAAGGGGGGCTACCACAAACATTAGTGTATTACAGGTAACTGCTTCCAAGACAAAATGACTTGTTCAGCCCACTTTTCTTACTTTATAACACTCTCCTCACCTGCCTATCAGCTTTTGGATCTGTTTCCTACAGACATGGCTGCAGGGATAGTAAGACACCTTTTCCCAAACCTGGCACCCTCCAGATGTTTAAGCCACCTCAGTGCTGCTTACCCTTTGAACTGAAAATGGCCTCAGCTGTTTTCTGTCTCTTGTGCTGATGCAAATATCCTTTCCCTGAATGCATTAAAATGGGAGGATGTTGCATTGTTTTGGTGGTGAGAGTTGTGCAGAAGGCTACAGAGAAATTACAACAGGTTCACTGAAAATCTTGGGCATCTCTTGAAGTACCTTACATGTCTTGCCTTGGGGAGGCTTCTCCGAACTTGCTTCAAATTCTAACTGACAAATATAACTCAGAGATTTGCTGAAACACCACCACCACTACCCTGAAAACGCTTGCTTTGTCTATGGATTCCACCAGCAGTACATTTCAAAGTCAAGGCCCTCACACATGTTGTTGGGAACCTTTACTGTAGTGCTGTGGGATGGATGCATGAAAAAGCAGCTCCTCACAACACTACTACAACCTGTACAATAGAAGCTCACTCCATTCCTTTCAGCGTGAAAATATCAAGCTGATGATATTACGATATACGATATCTTTATTGTCATTGTCCCATGCAGAACAATGAAATTGATATTATTTGTGTAGAGCATGGAAACCTCATGGAAAGGAAGTAAGACGGCTGTTCTTTTCTTTTTCAGTTTTGTTATAGCCAACCCACCTTATGAGTTTGAGCTTGTGCCGACAGACTGGATCTTCTGTTTGATGCAGTACGACCACAATGCTGGCCAGTCCCGGGCTAGTCTCTCCCATTCTTCCCATTCCTCCTATACGTCTAGCAAGAAAAGCTCATCGGTTCATTCTATCCCAGCAACCGCAAACCGACAGAATCGAACTAAGACCAGGGACTCCCGGGAAAAGCAGAAGTACGTGCAGGAAGATAGACTTTGATACGTGTACCCACTCCCACCGTGTGTGAAGCTGTATCCACCACCCATACCCTCCCAATTGGTGTGTCCAATAGTAGCTTTCCCTCTTCTCCCCAGCCCTCCCCTGTGGAGTTCCCATTTTTATACACATATTTTGCATATGTATAACAGTGTGCATGTGGTTGTCATTTTTTATTTCAATACCATAAAACCCTTAAGTACAACAGCAACGAAACAGACAGACCAAACATTATTTATGACGCAGAGCAGGTGGGGGGAAATGTTAAGAGCAGATGCGAAGAACCCCCCCACCATAACTGTTCTAACGGAGATTAAACCACATGAAGTGTGACTACTGACTTTGTGGTGTCAGCTACAGAAAGTTATCTAATGCAAGCCTGGTGTAGTAAAAGGGCACTTGCATAAAGTAATTCACACACATGAAATTCACCCCCAAAGTGGTTACTTTTCTAAGCATCAGATAAATGTGCTGTAGGGGTGGGGGGGGTCAGTCTTTTGTGCTGAAACAGCCTCACACTATTTTATAGAGTTTTGCTGCACCCGCTTTTATACCAAAGTAATATCAGGATGTTTCTTGCACATAGGACTTTTTAAAAATATAGAGAGAGTGCCTTTTTCACATTAATACAAAAATACTAAAAAAAAAATAACTAGGCCTGTAGTTCTTCAGTTCTAATTATTTAACCTCCCCAACTTTTTCAAACAATGTTCTAATTGCATAGTAATTTTTGTCTATACTGCCACATGAATAACTCTATTTTCTCTTACTTTTGACATTTGGGAAGAAAAGCCATGTGTATCATAAATATTGAATACAGCTTATTAGAATCTTCCTCCCTGAGACTTTTATATCTATTAAAAGGTGAATTAGTCACCTTATGTACAGAATAAATGGGGTATAAATCCTCCCCGCTATGGCAAAGGCTCACGCTCATTTTATTCAGAAAAGAGCAAGTAACTTTACGTATCAATAAACTCTTATTATCAGCGCACTCCCTTCCCATTCTGATAGCTTAATTGTATGCTATTAAAACCTCCAGAAAGAACTTGCATACACACGAACAGGAAAATCTGGGGCCATGCTTTAGTTGATGGGTTTAGCCAAGGTAAATAATAATATAGCTGTTGCATAGCACCTGCTGAACTTAATGGCAACATACCCTTTAAATCCTTGAAAGGATTTAAAGAACGCACAAAACAGATTGCCTTGCATTAGTGCCTATTGCTAACTCCTTCAATCGGGGTTGCAAGATTCCACTGCCTTAGAACTAGTAAGCCAGAGTTTCCCAAAGTAGTGAGGAACAATTGTTTCTGGATTGAAACTAGAAATTTGCTTCTCTCTTTCTCTCTCGCACTCCCTCAAAAATATATGCATTTTTTTTTATAAACAACAACAATCTGCTCCTAGAGCAGCAAACATGCTTATAACTGGGAATAGCCCTGTTAACATAGCCTTCCAGCAGCAAAAAAATTCTTTTGTCCATTCAGAGAAGGCTCCATGATGGTATCATCCCCATACTTTCTGGGCCTTGCTGAGGCGTCAGGGATTTCTTCTCACTTACCAGCTGTAATGCAGGCAGGGCTACGTAAGGGATTTGCGGTGTGTTCTCGCTTATGCCACTGCCCATAAATTGGCAGGTTGTATGTGGAGAAACAATCCTGCACAGAGCTGCCCCAATATACTAAGTCTGCTTTTGCACTCAGTGAACATTTTTGGGGAATCGCTGTACAGTCAGGAAGGTTTCTGAAATGACATCTTGCAACCCTCTGTGCTAATCAGTAGCTCATATCTAGTGCCTAACCCATTTACTTGTCAGTAAGACCTAGTCATTAGTTCCAGAAAAAAAACGTGCTTAAATAATGTAGTTCAGCAAGACACTGGCCAAGCTAACAACATTGCAGAGAATTAAATGTGGTCCGGAACGGAGTCAGGATTGAATGTTCACAGAACATGTTTCTAAACTATCAGGCTTGCACCTTGGAGCCCTGCACCACCTTATTTATCCATTGCAGAATTCTAGTTCCTTGCAACTGCACCTCCTTGCTCCCTACTTCCTCTGTCCTACCCCTTCCCTTTATAGAAATATTAGCTAGCTGGTTGCCTGGCATGTGCTTTATGTTTTAGAAAGTATATTGGGGATGCGGGGAGTTGCTATATAGATATTTCCCCTCCCCTCTCCTCCTCCAGAAAGCATGATGATTATAGAAGCTTGCTGTGTGAATTGACAATGAAGCCAAGCACTTTTACTGACAACCTCTGGTTTGGTGCAATGCCTAAAGCCTTTCCGCCTTACTTGTAATCCTGATTGGGAGTTCCCAGTCTTACATACTGAAGGGTGACTGCAAGTTGGCATTACTGGAAAATGTTTCAGACTATTATTGTCCCTACCCTCATCAACCACTCACCCTCTGCCCCGTAAGACCAAAGCAGTACTGCCAACTCATTGCGCTGGACCCTGAAGATAAATTTGCACAGTTTTGCAAAAGAAGGTGCTGATCTTTGCCACCAGGCATTCTCTAACACACACCAAGGATGTGCCAGTTAAAGTGCTCAATGGGACGCGTGACAGTTTAAAGGCGTTGTAAAACTTACATAGCTTACTTCTCTTTCTAAAGTGCGACAAGGATGAATAGAATGGGCCAAGGTATGACAATTGATGGTTCTGCATGAGCTAGAAAACTGCTGTGGGGTTTCCTTCTATAACTTTGTCCTTGTGGAAACTTGTGACACATTAAAAACCACGTTACCAAACTTGATTCAGTTTTTTTTTTTAATTTCAGATTTGTTGTAATGTCTATTTTAATTTTATTTATTTATTTGGCTTTGTTTCTAAACCCAAAGTAAACTGGCTGTTGTTGCTGCTGCTGTTGCTCAACTCTCATTTGCGATTTCTTTTTTCTACCCTATCACCTGCTTGCATTTCATTTCCAACTGCACGTGTCCCCCCCCCCAACTGAACAACTAGGTGCTCACTTGGTGAAACTGTTTTTTTGTTTTTTGTTTTTCCTGTGGTGCCATCTTGTCTTGTCACTCTATCTCCCCACTTCTGTCACCCAGTATACATTCACCACCATTCTTCCCCCTCTCCCCATTTCTAGTGGTGAATATTGACTTGATATTATGTTACTAATTTATTTAGACTCACTCTGGGGGTTGCGGGTGGGGATTCCATATGCTGCTTTGCCATCAGACCTGCTTTTCTGTTAATGCTACAACCTGGTTCCTCCAACAATGGAAGGGATGTCAATATGAAAGCAGTTGTCATGTGAATTTGACGCAGCAAAAAATGTGTCTGAGGAAATGCATAACTGAATATCTAAAATGGATACCATTGTAGATTATGTGTTTGTATTAGAGAAAGAAAGAAAAGGGGGGGGGGAGACCAGAAAATGTTCTTCTTGACACAAAATTATCAATGAAAGCCTTGCTTCAATTGGGCCTCTAAGGAGCTCAATTCAGCAAATACTGCTGCTGTAGGGCCTTTCCATTCTTTTAACAAGATCCAGCACAGGAACACCATACATTCACTGGAATAGTATTCGCCCACTTTGCTTGCTGAACTGTGCCCTAAATCACTACCCATTTTTACACTGCTTTCAATATACAAGTAGATTCACTTAGTAGAGATAGTGTGCATGGGGTTGTTTGTTGGTTTGTTTACTCATTTGGAAAACACTGTCTTTGAATAAAGGCCCAGGTGTTTATAAAGTGTTGAAGCACGTAAGGCTTTGTAACATAAAAACAGATGTGAAAATTATATGAGAAACACACACCAAATAATGTGCTCCTGTCCCTGCCATCTCCCATTTGAAATGGTACCACATCCTACAGGTATCCCTTCAATTAATTTGGACTATAATTCCAGGTGCCCTGGCTTAGCAAATTTGCAGGTTACGGTGTACAAATTACAAAGGGTATTAAGAATCTGCAGTGATACAGAGATGGGATTTGTGGCCGAGAGGGGGCATTTATTGAACCCCAGGTCACACTCTTTCCCATGACGTTAAACAAACAGTTTAGCACAGTCCCTGGTATCCTCCATAGTTATTTTTGGGGCTCAAAGGGGACAAAAACCACTTTCCATATAGGCTCCTCTCCCCAGGGAGGGTGGCAACTGGAAGCATCTTCACAGCCTTGATTAGCTGCTGCTACTGCAGCACCATTAAAAACTCCCATCACCAGCGAGCAAGCTAAGAAGCATTACCTTCGCCCTGAATTAACTTTTGTTTGCCCTCACTGATGTTGACTTGCTTGTTTTGTTGATGGCGAGGAGAGAAAGATTTTTTTAAAAAAATGAGTGGCACTGCAGCAGCAGACAGCTGACTCTATGAAGCTGCTCCAAACCAGTGGAAAAAGACAAATAAAAGGAACAGTAAGCATGCAAGAACATTTGGGGAACATTTTGGAAGTCCTCAAGCCTTTTTTCATGCTGAAAATGTTATGTGAATGTGCCTAACTTCTAATACTAGACACATTACACGCACACAAAAAATCCCTGGGCTTGATTCATGCAAGGAGGCAAGTGCAAGTGGTGGCCAAGGGCAGAGGTGGAGATGTGCTGAAAGATGGGGACATCCACAATGAAAGTTGCATCCAGCAATGTTCACTGAGGCCCAGATGATCAGTGCAGTGTGGTTGCAGGCACTGGCAGAGGAAGGGGGTGCGGTGCGCCCCGGGTGTCATCCCTGGGGGGAGGGTGACATTGCCGCCCCGCATCCCTGGGACGCTCGCCGCAGGCAGCGCCCCCCCAGATGCTCGCTACTCGCCGCAGGCGGTGACCCCCCGGGATGCTCCCCTGCCCCCCTGGGCGGCTAGCCCCGCCCCGTGGGCAGCAAGCCCTACCCCCAGGTGCACAGCATGTGTGCTGCTCTGGGTGCCGGTACAGCTAGCTCCGCCTCTGGTTGCAGGTGCACATCCAGGTCGGTGTCCACTGCCTGCTTATGCACATGGATCTCCCTTGCTGGATTGGGTGGGCATTTATGTTGAGATCAGAAATGGGCAACTTGCTCCCCACTGAAGGCAGAACTCTTCATGAGTCTGATGAGCACAGCTGTTTTGCATATTTTAGTAACACAAACATCTATTCCCACAATTTTTCTTTACATGAATGATGGCTAAACTGCGACTGGCAGATGTGTCGCCCAACTGCTTTTATTTTGAAACCATAATGGCACAAAATGCTAAGGGGCTGGCACCAAACATCTCCGAACTAAAACTGTAAGGACTGGACACGTACTTGGTTTCAAGATACAAAAGCAGGGATCCTATTGAGCTATTACATGCTTAAGTTATCCCCCTCTGAATTTAGAGGATTTAGGCCATTAATTGACTTTAATACATCACAAACAAGTGACGTCCTTTCACACTTTGTGCAAGTTGCTATTTCAACAAATATGTACACAAGTGAGCCCTGCAACATAATGTTGCTGTACGGAATGCTGCTGTTCAGAGGGTCGAGCCATTAACCCGGCTCCCTGGTTTCCCTCTGCACCGCAACAGTTAGTGAGCATTTTGTGTCCACTGAGTATGCATAGACCTCCCCAGCCTGTTTTGGTGGGGAGGAACACACTTGCGCTTTGTTTCAGCTAGATTAAAATTTCTGCTTTCCCTATTGATTTCATGAGCAGCTCTCACTTCCATCCCTCAGGACATTTTAAAATGGCTTTTCAGTGTGAACCAGAAATTGATCTATCCGGACAATGAGATGATTCTTTTTATCCTTTTTATAGCTAGGTCCACACATTCTATCCCAGACTCCCTTCCATCCAGTTCTGTTTCTCTCTCTCTCTCTCATTTCCTTCATTCAACATTTCATGCCACTGAGTTATCATGGGGCTGTTTGACAGGGATGGGTTCAACCTCTTAGGTTTTTCTGTAAAGTTTTTTTTGGGTATCAGCAAACCTTGGCGTTAACAAAGTCTGATACCTCTCTCGTGTAAGTGGGAGGTATAGCTCTGGCTCCAACACCACGATTGCAGGAAGATTAGAACTGATGTTAAAATGCATGGTGGTAATAAGAAAGTGTCCATTTGTAAGCTGCGTTTGGAAAACTTGTGAAGACAAAAAGTTGGTAAGCAGGGGACAACATTATTGGGCTGCACTGTTCACCTGACCTCTGGCCAGCCGAGTAGCTGCAGCAGACCAGGATGGGTGGGTGGTGGCGACTGCATGGCAGGTGCGATGCAAACCCACCAGTGGAGCCAATGTGGTGCTCCTGCCAGCGCATTTGCACTGCCCCAATGTTACTGCTGCCATGCCCCTCTATATCCTGGTATACTGCAGTACCTCTGACAGAGGTCAGGTCAAAGGCACAGTCCCAGTACACCAGTGGTTCTCAAAGGGTGTGGCGTGCCACACTTGTGTGACAGGAGAGGATGGCAAGTGTGGTGGGAAGATTCAAGGACAATCAAAGGAACATTTAAACAGTTCAGCATGGCATAGTATCGTATCTATCTATCTATATTATTTGCAGATTATGGATAGATATCTTTTCAAAACGAGAGCAAGAGCATCAAGTGATGCTGAGGACAAGCCTAGTTGTGTTTTCCAATGCATTTATTATCAATAAAAAATCAGTTTGGCACAAGTAAATTTTTATTCTGAAAGTGTGAAAAAAGTTTGAGAACCATTACACCATCCACTACTGAAAATGGTGGATGTGGATCCTGAGCTGACTGAGGCACCTTTACGTATACGGCCCTAATCTTGGACCAGAAAGTCCCCCAATTACAACTTGATGGTTTTCCCCAAGCTCAGGGCTAGACTAGTGGTGATGGTGGCAATCATGTCTGTTTACTTTGTAAAGCAGGACGTGATTTGATGTGATTTGAACATCCAAATGAGTGACCAGGGGAGGGGTTTTGAAACCTTCATCCCCTCCTTCTGTGTGGGACCAGCAAAGCATTCATTTTTTCTCAACCAGGATCACTTCCTATATGGAAGCTGGGTAAAGGGGAAGGTTTCAGCTCTCCTCACCCACACAATTCTTTAAAACTGAAGCTACACACCCTGCCTTATGCATGAATTAAGACGGACACATATAATTCAGGCAATGTGGCTTGCATGTTCACCTCATCTGGCCCACAGAAAACTCAAGAACATAAAACCTTACAAGTGAGATTGGAGTGCAGGAGGAGAAACAACCTAGAGCTGTGAAGCAATGTAGATGAAAACCTTAGCTGGGCATCTTCATTTATTTCAGCCTCTCATCGTTCATGCCATGAAACATGTTTTGCAGGGAAAACCAAGTCAGGAATTGTGAAAGCAGTTCAGATATAATGAGAGCACTCTGCCTTCCCAGCAAGCTGATTGGCACCTACTGCATATAAAATACTCCCTGCCAAATAAACAAGCATGGGGGTGGCAGAACTTTTAATATGCCATTTAGAGGGAGTGAAAAAAAGCATGCAAGGTAATCCACCCCACCACAAACACACACATTGCTTTTATCATTGTAAATATTCTGCTATGAAACTTGTTACTTGCAAGGTATTTGCAGCAGATTATATATTTTTCTCTCCCACACGAAAGTTTGTGCATCCAGTGGCATTCTGTACACACACGACCCCATCTAGCTATACATTCCTTTTTTTGAGGGGGGGGGCGTCACGTAGTTTTACTTAGGTCATTTTTATCAATACTAGTTGAACTACTCTATTAGGTCCATTAATTTCAATAGGTCTACTTAAGAGTAAAAGTTGAATACCACCCCAAGAGTACAATCTAGTCACAGTTAAGCACAGTAAAGTTCCAATGGTAGCCCATACTTAAATCTCCTCCAGTGACATCAAGGACTGAAGTGGGGGGACAAATTGGATTGTGTTTTGCTTTGGGCTGTACCCAGACTAAGACTGCAATCCTATACCAATTTTCTTGAGAGAGAGCTCTGCTGAACTCCGTGGGGCTTATTTCTGTGTAGACATGTATAGGATTGTACTGTAATTTCATCAAGTTTTAACCCCATTGAAATCAGTGAGGCAAATTAGTCATGATCACAACTAACTCAAGTCCCTTTGATTGCTGTGGGAATAAAGTGTAATTTACTCCAACCAATATCAGAAGCCTGAAAAGAAAGTTGCATGTAGGTTTTGCATGAACCACATTTGAACCCCAAACTAATGGGCAATTTCACAGCACAAGTCTAGAATGCAGAGCCTTCCAAAATAGTAGTCTAAGCTTCCCTACCTGAGCTTGATTATCTGTGCCCTTCTTCTTGCAGAAGTCTGGGAATGTAGTAGTGTTACTGCCGAACTTCGCTTCAACCAAAATGTGAGGTCAGGCTCTGGGAGAATATTTGAAGAACTGCAAAGGAAACAAACAGGAGTTTGACGCAACCAAAATGTCTCAGGAAAATTATGCACACATATCATATTTAGACATGAGAGCAACAACTCCTCTGTTTCCGGGCAGCTCATGCTGCACCAGTACATGGAAACACATGCCCAAATAGATGCTTCATACAAATTTCAAATTCCAGGAACTGATTGCCCCTTTGTGGGGAGCGGGTGGGAGCAGACTCAGATGACCAGAGCAATGGCCCCAGCTTTTCTCCCATCTGCAAAGTTTGTAAAGCAGCAGATCTGACGAAAAGTAATGACAAACGAGGGAGATAAAAAGTACACACACCTAACTTCTCTCAATATCATTTTAAATACCAAGTATTTGAAAAACTGTTAGTTTGAAATTGTTTATGTGATCTTGCAAGGCTTTTAAAACATGAGAACCAGTGCATTTTAACACCTCTCTGAAAGGTTAGTTTAATCGTAGATCATACAAAATTGGTTTCCACAAATGCATAATGGTTCATGTGTCACACTTGAACTAAATGGTTTTTAAATGGAGCTGAAATTATTTTGATGTGTACGCATTTCCCAGAATTCCACCCCTACAACCTTTCTGAAGCCAGCCCGTCAGAAACCCTTCCCTTAGAGCCTCATTAACAATTCAGATATTCTGATGACTTTAAAAGATCTATGGCTATATGTGTGTGTATAAAACCCAGCTTGACAAAAAAGATAAATGAATATAGAAAGAAGCTGTAGGAGTCTGGCAAGCTGTAGATCATCTGAGAACAGACTGTAACTTTATCATTTTGTCAGGAAGAATAATTTAAGGCACTCAATCAGTTAGCTTCACTGTGCAGGATTTAACATTATGAATTCCTATCAGCCAATCTGTTCACATCAGAGCAAACTTAATTAGAGAGTGAAGAACCTGGTTCAGAATCATACATACTTCTTTTTTAAAAAAAGAAGGAGGAAGCATACCCAACTCTTGAACACATATATGACAGAAAAGGCAAAATGTGCCTTTCCTTAAATAACAGGATATTTTCCGTTTTTAATCTGTTAAGTAAAAAAATTCTACAAGCAACATAAAGTTATACATAACAAGCCACTAGGCGAATAAAACCTCAGCGTGTCAGCTAATTTTCTAGCACATAAATTTAAGCTGGACACCTAACAAATATAACACACATTCTCTAGAAACTATGCTCAGTTCCAAAGTAATATCAATATGTATCCGCAGCAGTGTTCAGGAGTGACTTCGGTGGGCCTCACATACATAAATCACTAAACCGGGCTGACTACCATCATAGCAATTTATTCATGCACAATTCTTTGTGTAAAGTTTCCAAAGGAACCCAACAGGGGTTCCTCTAAATGGGAACAGTGTGGATACTCCCATATGGGTTAAATTTTGTTTTGGGGTTGGGTGCATTGGCAAGGACCATTGTAGCAACAATCCCCTTCTAGTGGAGGAGATAGAGGCACCCACCTCCTCACCAAAGTAGGGCTCACTTCCATCCTCCCACAGATTCTTAGCCATGCCTTCAAATAGTTGCTCCTACCATAACCACCCATTTCCCCAATTCCAGGAATTGAGAAAGCAGCCTATTTTTGGCCTTTGCCACTTGTGCATATGTTATCTCACAAACCCATTCCATTCCTTTTCCCACAGTAATCTGCCTCCCCCACTGACCCATAATGAAAAAAATTATTTTCTCAGAAAATATTCATTTTAACAGTCCAGTCTTTAGGGGTGTGGATGAATGACGTATGGCAGCTGAACCAACACCCTCTGCTGGACTCAAGCTGGCAGGGGAGAGGAATGCTTTTTTAAAAAATTCCTCCATCCGTCTCCAGGCTTCGAATAAAGTCTTCCTTAACTTCCTCTCTTTCCCTCCCACTGGAAACAATGGGAGGCAAAGGGAGCAGAGAGGAGACAGTCTCAGAAGCATTTCTCGATTTCCTCCTGGTTTGGGGGCGTTTAAGGGGCAGGAAACATTTGGGAATCTTCAGATCCAAGCTGCTTCCCAAATCGCCTCCAGAACATCCCCATTAGCTCTCCTCTGCTAATCTCCTTTTTCAATGTCAGAGCTCTCCAGAGTAGGGATCGTAAGATTGCACCCTAAAATGGGTTTCACTACTTTTTTGAGCCAATAATTTCAACAGAACATTCACAAAGTGGGTAGCTAAGTTCCAAGCTGCACATCAGCATTTAGTAAAATATGAAGTTGCAATATTATACAAAAGAGACCGCTGAAAAAGCAGAATTCCATATTGCATGGAATAAGCCCTCTGTATGCATCACTGTATGAGCAGAATCTCCTTCAAAACTGACAGAGATTTTAGAAACTTGTACTTATTTAGAGAATAGGTTATTTGACCAGGGTGGGGTGGGGTGTATCCTGATGGGTTTTGTCAGTGCTGAACAAGCTACTCATGACTGTATTCAGGGTAAACAAAGCCTGGGATGACTACCAAGGAGGTCATGTAGGAACAGACAGCAGCAACTATTTGTCAATAAACGCTGGGAAATACAGTAGCCCCAGCCCTGATTCCATTTAAATTTTGCATTTTCCAGTTTTGCCATTCAGATTCTGAGTTTGACATTTCGCATTTGAAATATAAACTGCATTTTGAATGCCAATTTTTAATCTCAAAATTCAAAATGTATGTGATTTGGACATGTTGGACATGTTAATTTGACTTTGGCAGACATGAAATAAAAGTCTCATGAATTGTCATCTATCTATTAAATTCCACTATACATTCTCTACCAGATGCTGTCAGATACTGATATTGTTGCACATCATCACTGTACTATGTCAGCTATCGGATATAGCCACCATGTGTTAATTCCCCAATAAACACTACATATTTCTCTAATGCCATTGAATAACATGTGTGTTGTCTAATACCGTATTTACTCGAATCTAATGCTCACCTTTACTGGCCAAATTACAATATGAAAATTAAGGTGTACATTAGATTCAATGCACATTCACCAGCAAATACTTTTTTTGTTTTGTTTCAAGGTTCTTAAAATTGAGGTGGTGCATTAGATTTGGTGGTACATTAGTCTCGAGTAAATACAGTACTAAAAATCATCTGTGAAATATTAAACACTGTTCAGATAATCAAGCACTCGTAAAGTATCTGACAAAGAAAGTCACAATGGGGACTCTTTGAGAGAAATGTATTGCGGCAAATTCATTTCAGTTCAAATTTAAACCAGGTAGTGCTTTTCTAAAAGCCAATCACTAGTCATTTCACTAATCACATTAAAACAGAGGGCAGCACTTCTGACACCACTTTGAAGGCTCTGGTCACCTTCCACAAATGAGTCAGTCACCTGCCAGTTCTTTTTAACCCTTTGCTTTCAAGCCTGCAAACGTTCCACCCTCTCTTCTAATCAGTGTTCTTGGGTTTATAAAATCTACAGCACTTCACTGCTAGCCATTATTCAAAGTCACTTTCTATTGATTGCTCCCCCGCCCGCACCCTGCACTTTTCTCAACTGCTTTTGGCATGGCACTAATTAAACTTTTCCTTTTCCTCCTCCCTTGTTCTGTCTCTCTATCCATTTTGCTCTTTAGCAGAAAAGAAATGGTTTACAGATGAGCCGGATAATGCCTATCCCAGAAACATTCAAATCAAGCCCATGAGTACACACATGGCCAATCAGATCAATCAGTATAAGTCTACAAGCAGCTTGATACCACCAATCAGAGAAGTTGAAGATGAATGTTGACTCACAGAAGGCCAGAACTATTTTTTTTTAAAACAACAACTTGACAGACTTCATGAATGGTGATGTGACATTTGTTCCTCTTTCATGCCGAACCACTGGTGGGAAAAGTTAAAGAAAGGCAAGTGTTTGCCAGAAAGCAAAGTAGACAGATCTTTGTTTGTCTGCCTTTAATATTTGCTTCCATGTATTTTGGAAACTATTTCATTTATAAAACAACATAATCAAAACAGTCATGTATAGCCTCTAGCGTTCTAAATTATTTTTATTTATTAGAAAGAAAATATATTTTTTTCTTTATTTCACTGTCAAGTATTTTCCCTTAACAAAACAGCTACAAATGTGGCCAGACTCCAGCAAAATATATATATTATATTCCTGCTCCTTTTCATGTCTTTCAGGAGAATGATGGTCACAAAACAAAGAAAAAAAATGTAATTAGAGAGAAAAATTATGTATTTTAAAAAGGTCCAACTTGTATTTTAGTAATTCAAAGAAGAAGTAACAAAGAGGAGCATACTAGAATGTTTCTTTCCTGGAAGATGTGTATTTTGTTTAGCATTGACACCAGCTCTTAATAAACTGAAGCATATTTATTTTGGAAAAAAAAGTGGAAACGTCATATTTTTGTAAAATTAACTTCATTCTGAAATTATCCATTAGATTACTACCATATGGCGCAATCCTGTACACCCTTACCTGGAAGTGATCCCCGCTGAACACAATGGGTCTTACTTCCGAGTAAATATGCATTGGATTGCTCCAATAGTTACTACAGATGTTCATACAGAGCATCTTCCTCACAGGTAAATAGAAAGTCCAATATCACATAAATGGCTAATAGTGGCAATAAAGTAGCGGACGTTAGCATAGCATAAAACAAGAATGCAGCAAATAAATGAGAGTCTAATGGGGACTACCCAGAAAGCGGTAGAAGAAATGCTGCTTCCCTTCATTGCTTCATGTTACCTATGATTAGCACATCTCGGTGCAAAGGGGTCAAGCATGGAAATTTCAAGTTTATCACCAAGATTCAGAGGCCTTTAATCCGAACCTATTTTGTTTTGATTTTTAAGGGGAGGGAGACAAGGAATCAGATCGTAATATATGCCAGGAACTGGGTTTAGCAAAAGATAAGCTGCAGTTCCGGTCTTGCAGCCCGAAAGGTGACAAAACTAATTTCCGTACCACAACTTGCCAATGGCCTCTCGTGCTTGCAAAAGCCGAATCCAGCCTCCCAATCGCAATACATCCAGATATTAGGTGAGCTCTAATTGTGATGTAAACATTGTAGTTCAGGCACTGCTCATGCTATACTGCAGCCACCTAATTTCTGTCTTCCTTTGTTAGGTGATAGAAATAAAACTTTTAATTTCCAAGCTTTTGGGACTCTGCCCCTAAAGGTAACAACAAAACAAGCATAACTGTAGTAACAAAGAATAATGAATGTATTCAATAGAATATTTAAAAAAAGGCCTGTAGGAAAGGTCGCCAGGAGTTTTTTCTACAAAACGGCCAACAAGCTTTCTAGCCGTCAGGCAAAATGGTGATGTTTCATATCTGCGCTGCAATATATGGTCACTCCAGCATTTGAGGCTCTAAATAATTTAGCAACTCTCTCCGGTTTAAATTACGAACTGCTGATCTAGGCTGAGCTGGGGCAGATGATCTCCTGAAGTGAAGGGGGACACAATCAGGCAGAGGCAAGAGATTGGCATCAGGTTCCACTACACAAGCTGATTTTAGGCTTTGTAATTGTGCAAAGTTGTAAAAAAACCAAACGCTGAGATTAAACATTCTGTGATATTGTTATCATTAGAGTAATATCAGTGAATCAAACGAGTACTGAGCAGATAAAGGTGTCCACTATATAACCCACTATTTTAAGCTAAAAACTATCTCAGCTTTAATGTTTGTCTACTGGCTGCAGTACAAATATATTCATACTCGCACCTAATAGACTTAATTCCGGAGTGACTTCTTGGACTGTGACTACTTTGTCATTATGTTTTGTAGAATTAGCTTTTCAAAAGAGAGAGGAAATTAAGAACTGTGAATATAATGTATGGGGAATTGGATTGCTTATCAAAAGTACTTATATCACCACTTTCCTCACAAAGAGCAAACGAACAGCAGTTTGTTTTATACCCATATCACAATACCCCAGACCAAGGTGGGTTTTAGCTTTGAGAAGTATAAGTCTACAGGCAGGCTGCAATTTGTATTCTGGATTTTGCTTTAGGTCATTTAAATCCACCCCCAAAGGGCACAATCCATCCACCCAGACCGTTTGCAAAGGCCAAACTGCAGCCTGTGTAGGTTGTGCAAACACATGTGGGTTGTGCCTGAGTCTGTACTCCTTTTTCATTCATGAACTGCAAGACACAAAAAAGCGAAATATGCCTCAATGCCAAGAGAATTCACTCAATTTGGGTCTAAGTGGTTGTTTGCTTTGAGAGCAAAGAACAGGAATTAAATCAGTTTAGATTACCTGTAAAGAAAAAAAGCTCACCGTTCTATTTCTTTGGCCACGTTACATAAAGCAGGAAGTTTTATAACAATGAAGTTGAAATAATAGAGAGTGGCACTCATAGCTCAGCTGTGCAATGCATCTTTATTAAGAATTGGGCAGGTCCAGGTGTAGACTGTAAATAAATACAACACATGGATAAGCCCATGCAAAGATGATCACAGATTGGAATTATAGTGGAAGCTTTCTTACGATTTCCTTCTTGTGACTGCTAATAGCTTTGAATGACTGGATATGGATAGGCAAGGACTTGTGTATGTACTCCAATTCAGTGGGTTGAGAAAAAGTACAAAATGTGGCCTTAGGTATAGATAGAATTTCTTGAGAATCTCAGCTCACTTTCTAGTATGTATGTATGTATGTATGTATGTATGTATGTATGTATGTATTATTTTAAACAAGTTTCTAGCCCTTATTGCTATGAAGGTATATTGAAAGTTTCTGAGTATAGGTAAGTTTGTTTAAATCTCACTCAACAGGGAGGATGGCTGAAACAGATTTTCAGAAATCAGCATGGGGCAGGGGGACTTTATTGGCCTTTAAGCACAGTTCCTTGCTCTTCTCCAGATCTTGCAAAATTAGAATGCATCACTCAATATAACAAACACTGCAAAATAACATATACAGAATGAGGGAAACAGTGGAAAAAGTACTGTACTTTGTTTGCACAATTTGTAAGAAGTTCAGGTTTTTGGTGCAGAATATGGACTGTCCTGAGTGAGTACAAAACTTTAATACATTTCATATAGAGGACACACAGACAGCCCTGGGGAAGAGGCAATTCAGCCTTCATTGGTAACAGTTTCCATGATAGCAGTAGCATTCCCAGTTGGCTGTGCCCGCCTGGATCACACACTACATTGTTCCACATTAATATGCAGCCTCAGAGAAGTGGATCTCTTCATATGAGGGCAGTTTCATGTGTGAACCAATCAGTTCCACAAGTCATATTTTACACCTATATTCCACCTTCCTTCCATAACAGAATTGAAGGCAGGGTACAATAAGTTTCCAGGCAGTCACTCAGAGAGGCATTGCCAAGAGCCAAACCTGCTTAGCTGCAGCAAAACTGCATCATCAAGTGCCTTCAGACTATGCCCCAGGATAGTATCCCCCCCCAAACACACACATCAAATACATCAGGCAATGATGACTTCTGTGTGACTGCAACCAGTTATACATGCAACACCTAGCCAATCCAGGGCTGAGCCTTTTTTGGGAGGGTCATCATTATGTCTGAACTCATGGCATGCTTCACTTCCGACAAACTATGAGCTGTAATCAAGGTTTATTCTTAGCATTACACGCAAACTGGGCCTACAAATCTAGATACAGTGGAGGCTGGTCCCTCAGCCATCCCGCATCTGCCTGCCTTTCTTGTTCACAACTGGTCCAAGAGGCAGCACTTGCCGTCATCCTCATCCTCCTTAGTCTCAGTGATGCTTTTGTAGAACTCACCAGGGAGGAAGATGGAAACGTCAGTTGTTGCCATTGGCTCTGCTGCTACCTATTGCTGGGCGCCCTGCCTTCCATCCCCACCAGCCCTTGTCTAGGCAACAGAGAAATTAAACAAAGTCAGATAGGTGGTGTCTGGCTAAAGAGATGCCCACAAATTTATATTCAACAGAGGGTGGTTTTTCTGCAGCTACCTTGTGGTGGCTCTCATACACGCAGAGCCTACAAGCACTGGCTACTGCACAGGCAGGACCACAAACACATGGCTATCCTGCAAACATGATCCCAGTTTCTTATCCCCCTGTGTCGTCAGTCACACACTGTGAATATTTGCACACACTAGCTCATGGGCTGCTTAGTGATAATGGTGTTTCCTGCTTGGCAGGGGGTTGGACTCGATGGCCCTTGTGGTCTCTTCCAACTCTATGATTCTATGATTCTAATTAGAGAGGAATAAAGCCAAGTCTAAAGATGTTTTTTCTGTGCTTTGAATTGAGGATGAAATGAAAAGCTAAATTTTGGAACTGGAAAATATTGGGAAAGGGTTTGCACATAGGTGAATTGCCTCTAGACAGTCAATCCTCCAGTTCTGGTGGTAGAAAATGACAATGAATGAAGGTAGAGCTGCAAGTCTCCCCCAATCCCATTGAATTATGCATCTGTAATTTCAGAAGTTGTCTGGATTAGCAGCCACATAGCAAAATTCAAGAGACAACCTCTTAATGGTCTTGCACCATAAGGTGTGATGACTCCAAGAGCCACACATTCTATAATTCAACATTATACCAATGCATATAAGACAAGTCTGTCAGTGGCTGATAACCCATGATAGTTAAAACATGGAAGATCTATATTCAGATACAGCATACTTCTAATTAGTAGATGCCAGAGATGAAACAATGTCAGATGGTTATCTTCACTGTGCCCTGCTTGTTTTTGTATTGTGTATACCGTAGGGGTTTGGTCACTGCTGGAGAAAGAAGGCTGGATTAAATGGACTACAAAGAGATTCTTGCATTTTTAAGTGCATACTGTGCAATTAGCTGCTTCTTTCACTTTAATTGTTGCACTGTGTCATTCACAGCTGAGTTGAATTGAATTGAATTGAATTGAATTGAAGAAGAGTCTTTTCTTCATTTGTTTCAGCTCCCTCTAAGCACTACGTAGTAAGAATCACTGGGGAAGAAACTGCTATGGGATCTCTCTCCATCCAGGGTATATCAAAGAGTTAGCCATTCTAGATCTAGAGAAAGAGGCCACAGTAACAGGGAACCAAGTACCCAGTTGCCTTGAGGAACTAGTAGGAGCAACACAAGTAAGGGGGGAGTTATGTCGTTTCCCCTCAGCCCCTGCCAATGCAGACTTTTTCTTTGTGCATTTTTCTTTCTTTCTTGAGACTCAGCTAAGGATAAAGAGTTAAGCAAGCAGAAGCAGGCGAGAATGCAAGGATGAAAGGTATTTCCTCAAGCACACTATTTAGCAGTGATGCAGAAGGCAACCACAGAAAGCTTTCACTATATTTTTAAAGGAAATTCAGAAAACAGTATTAGCGTCTAACTATTAATCTGGTGTGGTGGTTGCCACTGAGAGGCAAGCAAAATGGGTAAACTTGAGGGCTTTATTTGCAGAAACACGTGCTTAAGGTACTTTGCAATAATAAGCTGCAGAACTCGCCACATAACAACAGCAATAACTTACGTGGGTTAATGATCCATGCTTTCAAAATTGAGCATTCATGACAATGTCCACAGCCAAGTCGGCCACCTCCTCCTTTTAAATACCTTATAGGGTCTTCAAAGATTTAAGTACACCACACATAAGTAGCAGCAGTTTAAGGGCTCCATTTGTGGCATGCACCTGCCAGGGTCACCAGTTGTCCTACACTTTAAAGCATCGCCCCTTTTTGTAGAATCGTACCATTCCATCTACATGGGGAAGAAAGACCAATCTCACCCGTGACCAACGTGGCCAGATGTGCGTGATGCAGCTGTGCAAGGGGCAGTCTGCTGCCATGCTGCATCAGGGTAACTGGTTTTTCCTTACTTCCATGTGTCCCATTTCCACAAACTCCACAAAGAAATACCCTCATCTCAGATACTACTAGTCCCAAGCACGCCTTGTTTCCTGAAAAATTGACCTGGCCAACATACATACATATGACCCTCGAGAACTGACCAGTGAAGCACTCTTAAGCCTGCCTAGTTGCATTCACTTTGGCAGGCTCCCTCACCCTCGAGTGCTATGCCCATGCTAAAGTGCCTCCCAAGAGCAGGCATAAGCATTAAACCCTGGCAGCAATGCGCTCTCTATGCACTGATCACCCAAACATGCTTCCCAGTGGGTTTGTGAGGCAAGCAAATTTTCGTATTGTTTTGTGGCAGCTATTGTTGCATGTTCCATTTCACCCAGGTTCATTCCCAATTAATTTACGGTCTGGAGGCCTTCAAATGAGAAAAGAAAACTGCACAAATGCATCTAATTGAAATTGAAGGAGAAACACTAGTTTGGTACCTTAATGCAGATTAGGAAGATAAACTAGAACAAGAACAAAAAATCATTAGAGAAAAGTCATCAGATGTTTCCAAGGTGAGGTTTAGTAGACTTGTGTTACATTTTCAAAGCAATCTTTTTGAAAAATTAACTTCTCCTTTGGGATACTGTCCATGACATACATGTGTAGTAAGAAGTGGCAAATTTTAAACGGCTTGTCATGAAAACCTTGCAGTCAAGATTTAGAAATCTTGTGAATTATCAAAGGTGGCCTACCCATTCTCCCCACGGCCCAGCAATGAAGCAAATATGGGACAATGACTTACAGAGGCATCTGTCTTAGCCAGCTGTTTCTCCCAAAGGGACAACAGGGGGGAAAACAGGGGTGTTAACTCAAAGTTCATCAAGAAAAAGGAGTGTGGCTTCATCATTTGTTTTGTTTGTTTGTTTGAGTAAGGATTGGAGGGAGAGAAAGAGAGTGCGCAAATGCTGGTGCTCAGAAATGATCTACCTGACTTTGTCATATGTAATATCCAGTGATAAATATATTGTCTTGTAAAAAGGGTTTGTACATAACTTGTACATGGTTTCATTTTGTATTTTTCTCAGATTAAAAATTTATGTATTTGTGTTCTAAAAACCAAGGAGCTATACTTGTGTGGCTTTTTTCTTCCTTCTTTCCCCCATGATATAATGCATATTTAGGTTGGGGGTCATATGCATATAGAAGCAGACGTGTGCACACACCACCACAGCTTACCAAGGAATTATGTGTGCAAACAAGTAGCACACGTGATTTCCAGCCCAATCTACCAGCAGGAGCTTGTGCACATAACCATGTAAAACAAGGTACAATTGTGCTAATCATCTATTTAGAAGCTGTAGCAGGGAGCTATGTGCAATTGCACCTTATTTCATAGGACTACGTGAACATAGATCTGACTGTTCTGCACTTGTGCAGTGTTAAATCAGAGCCCTAAACCATCATCTTGCAATTGAACGATTCATGGCATCTCAGTCAACTAAAAGTCTCATCCAAAAGTAACCCTTTGAGAGTTTGAAGTACAGTACTCACATATATTGCCCCAGTAATGCTTACAATAACCTTGGAAAGGGAATCAGCAGTATTATTGTCTCTTGCACCTTTGGAAACCCTTTTTCTTTCCTGCCCCGGAGGAAATGAATTAGGAAGAGAAGGCCTGAGTTTCAACTTGCCAACAGACAACACACATTCACCAGAGATCCCTTAAATGCTGAAGTGTCTCATCTGATTCAAGGACCCCTAGACTCCTACTGCCAAGCATCTTGAGACACAACTTGAAAGAATGTGTATTTAGCATGGGGCGATTATAGGAAATGAAATTTAGGGAGATTATGTATCTCACTCAATGAAAAGCCAGCCAGTCTCAACACCATGTGCTACAAACCAGCTTTTTGTGGGTGTTGGCTTTTTTTAACACCACCACCACAATGTTCCTGGGCTGAAGGGACAATGGAATAAATCTGTTTCCTTTAATCTTCCAAGCTAATATCTAATATCTTCTAATATCAGCTTGTTCCAGGAACCTTGGAGGTGGACCCTGACTGACCAAAACCAACTGTCCGCTGGCCACAATGCACATGGCCAGGTCTTGGAGAGTCTGTTCCCTGATCGGCTTTCTTAATCGGGTTCTGGATTTCAGGTTCAGAACTTTAAGACCCCAGAGATGGCGTCTAGTGGGATAGGGGCAGAGGATGGTGCTTAGTGGATTATGGGAGAACCCTTTTGACCTTTGCACCTCCAAGAACAATCCCAATGTTGATGATGCAACTAAAATGTCCTGATACAGCTAAAATGGCTCCATAGGGTCAGACAGGCTGTTTGTTGACTCTTTATACCAATTACAATAGCTGCATGTTATAACAGACAAAACTATTAGCATATTCCTCTGCAGGGTTACCGTGGTGCATCTGTGCATTCATTTAAAACAATGTATTGCAACGTGCCCTACAAATAGTCAAGGCACATAGACCATTCAAGACCAGATCTTCTGATCCACCACAGACTTATTCTCCCTTTAGGGAGTGAGAGGCCCAGTTGCCAAGAAACATCAGCTGAAGGCCACAGAAATTTGACACAGCATGGCTGCTCTTTTCAGCTTCCTGCCTTGACATGATCAGTTTCTCACATAATCCACTTTGTCAAGGACTTTTTTAATATTTCAAAAACAGGAACAACACCATGTCTGTTACACATTTCCCCTCTCAAAACAAGGGCACTTCCAGACTATCACTATTTTGGGTGGGATTCAGTCACATACTGGCAAATTCACGATGTGTAATTATAGTCCATTGGGAGGTGCTGTGCAACAAATCCATCCCACTGCCCCAAAACAGACTTTTTGTGATAAGGGATGGGAAAATGCACTGGAAAGTGGCGGATAATGATTGCTTGACCCAATGTCATAACATCCTTCAACTGCATCAGAATGAATGTTCAGTAAATACCTGACATCGCCTAAGTCCCCTGCAAACAAATCAGGATGGATGCTCAATAAAGAGGCCATCTGGAAGCAACCTAACCTGCCTACTTCATTTTCAGGGGTAAATGGTTTATTGGAATACTGGCACAAAAATAATAAATGCTTGCAGAAAGATGCTCAATTCTGTGTTTTAAAGATCACCTGCATGAAATATGTTTAGAATAACAAAGGAGCTTGAGGTGGCCTACTTGTGATCATTCTCTCACAGTAACTCAAGTCAGTTAGGCTGAGAGGCAGTGACATGTCCAAGGCCAGCTTCACAGCTTAGCAGAAGTTTGACTCTCTCTTCATCAGACTGCTTTTCACACAGCAGTGTAATAAGGTGTGTGTTTGTGTGTGCTCCCTGCACCCTACCTTGTGCTGCTTGAATAAAGGGCAGGATTTAAATATAATAATAAATATTATATCCCTGATTTGTATTTTTTAGAATGAAAGTTGAGTATTTCCTGAAGTGAGCCTTTGCTACCAATAACCCTTGTAAATTCACTAAGCTGGTTTGCATAACACGGTCCGCCAAACCATTGCTTTCTGAAACAATGTGGACAGTTAGGCTTCGGAGATTAGTTCTCACCTACTTTGGTATTTTTTGCTGCCACATTGCACTGACTTAAGCCAAGTACTGTACTGGTGAGTACTGTAATAAAAGAAAAATCCTGAGCCCCAGACCACCATCAAATTAGAGTATCTATAGACTGCACAGTAAAGATTAAAGACCCATCACTTCACACGGCTGCCATTGGACATAAAAATGGATCCAGGGCACAGCTCCTTATGGGACCCCAGGATTTTGGGTTTGTGGTGGCGCCCATGGCACTTTATCAACAATCCAAATCAGCCAGTGGGCCTCAAGATGCTGGGAGACCAGGGGGCAGTTCTGAAATCTCTTGATATTGCTTTGTGGCCGGCACTTGCCTGAGGCAGAATCATTTTCTCTTTCAACTTCACATAATCATCCGGACTTCCAAGAATCAATTTTTATCAACATGCACTTGAAAGCCAAGTTGGTGGGCATTTTGCCCGGAAATCTGCAGGGTTAGCAGCATAAATGTCTTTATATTTCCAGACCTTGCTATGCTATGATAGCCATCCTGGAAAAAAGAGCACTGTCCATTCTTCCCCTTTTGGTGCTCCAGAAGCAGCCTCTCTTTTGAAGACATAATAAGCCCCAAACTGGATTTACCATAATGACCCATACCCATGAAAATAGAGGGTCATTCATCTCTTTCACTCAGAATGGTTGCATTTGAAGCCCAAAGACTAGTCAGAGGCATGCAGAAAGAATTAAAACTCTAAGAAGAGAACTGATGCAGATCCCAGACGGCATGTTTTAAAGCTGAGCAATCACGTTCCATCTGTCAGATGATGTGGCTGACACAAGGCACAGTCAATGTGTGAACTCAAACAGGCGCTTTCTGAGCCAAGTTATACGGGGAATTTACCAAACAAAACTGCCAAAGAACCAGATGAAATGGTAGCACAAAACATATTATAATAAAACTGCCACTTGTTTCTATTACAATGCCATGGTTGTGGTGTGTCCAGAAATACGGACTCATTGTTAAAACCGTATTTATGGAAGACAATCTTACTCGGCTACGAGTGTTCACCAAAGAAGAAGAAGTGTGTCATTGCATGAAAGTGCTTTAAGTGACCAAATACTGATCAGACATGGTTCCGACTAAAACAACAACAACAACAAAACACAAATGCAATCTTAAATAGTGTGTGGTTCTGGGTGGCAGCTGAATACTGCCCACCATACGCAAATTACACAGAACCGGAGACCTGCAACCCAACTTTTGTAAGTACAGGTAAAAGTAAAGGACCCCTAACAGTTAAGTCCAGCTGCAAACGACTCTGGGGCTGCGGTGCTCATCTCGCTTTACTGGCCGAGGGAGCCAGCGTTTCTCTGCAGACAGTTTTTCTGGGTCAGTTTTTCTGACAAAGCCGCTTCTGGCGAAACCAGAGCAGTGCATGGAAATGCCGTTTACCTTCCTGCCGGAGTGGTGCCTATTTATCTACTTGCACTTTAATGTGCTTTCAAACTGCTAGGTTGGCAGGAGCAGGGACCGAGCAATGGGAGCCCCGTCGCAGGGTTTCGAACCGCCTACCTTCTGATTGGAAAGCCCAAGGCTCTGTGGTTTAGACCACGGTGCAACCTGCGTCCCCTTACAGTACATTAGACCAGCACAATTCATACATGAAATGCAGCACATTCCACTTTTTTCTTCTGTGGTTCACAAAGTTCCAGATGGCTGGTCTTATCATCGTAACTGCCCATCACACTCTTCAAAGAGTTCAGAGTGGTATATGTGGTTTTCTGCCATATTATCTGCACAACCATCCTAGGTTAGGTAGAGAAACGTAACTAGTCCAAGGTCATCTAGGGAGCTTGATTTGAACCTTGCTCCAAGTCCAGGACTCTATTCACTAAACTACACTATCTCTCTTGCCAACAATCCACTCTACCTTCCATCCCAAGACCCTGTGCAAGCTGTCATCTAACGGCATTTTCTAGCCCCTCCTCAGTCTCTGGGCAAGAATATAAAAGAGCAGGGGAAGATAAACACAGCACAACTCCTGGCTGCTCTAAATTCACTTTTCCTGAGCCTTCAGTGGACACTGCCCACCAATTCTGAAGTTTTATATTGCAAATGAAAGGGCTGGGGATTTCTCTATGTGTTAAAAAAAGGTACAAAAAACAGATGGCAGAAGTCCCCCTCCTCTACTTCTGATACACAGCAACTATCAGAGGTTAACATGCACACCACTGATAAATTGATCTCATCCGCAACCAGTTCACTGTGTGTGTGGGGGGGTGCATTTTCCATCTGCTACTTACATTTATAAAGTTATGTCTAAGTCAGCTGTCAGAGAGATGCCTCATTCTGCATGAACTTGCAGCTCCACAGAATACAGACAGCCCTTTATAATCTATTATGTATGCCTTTGGACAGATTAATGCAAAGACATGTTGGAGCAGCTGGACTGGGCCCCAGATCAGAATGGGCTTCTTGTGCCAAAACTGCTAATATAGTAAGAAGGAGAAGCAGATACTAAAATATCAGCCCAGAGAGACCCAAACACAAACTTTAGCAGGCCAGAGCTGCAGCAAGAGGACTTGCTTTGAGAGCCAGGGCTCAACTCTGGAACTTTCGAAGCCTGAGCTCAGCTTTTAATAACAAATGAGAGAATATATCTTCATTTGTGCAGAGTACATTTTCTTCACCAGAGAGTAATAACAAACATTAGTCAAGGAGCAGAGAGTATGAATCAGAAATCCAGAGGTGTCGCTTTCAACAGGTGAAGCTTTCACCAGAATGCAAAGGTGGCAACAGAGGTGGGGAAGTTTTGCTTGCTGTTTAAAAGTAGGACCCCTGCCAGAAAGAAAGAAAAAAGGCAAATCTTGCTATATAAATAGAACTTCAACGCCACGCCATCTGTTTTGGCTCCTGAGCTGAAACAGGAATGTGCCACCCCTGTGCCCCCGCCCCTGCCTGGAAAGGCAAAGATATGGTGCCCCCATTGGTGCCTCACCTGCCCCATCACAACAGAGAAGTGGCAATGCTGCCAGTCATGGAGAGGGTGGGGTGAGAACAGGGGCTCTGCCTCTTCAGCTTCTGCCGCCCAAGGCAGTTCCTTCATCCTGCCTCATAAGCGGGTTGGCCATGAAAAAACCGCTTCAACTGAGATACTTCAAGCATAGAAGGAAGTAGGATTATGCTGTATTGGGCCCTGCGATTGGCAAACTATCCAGAGCTCCTGGATTGGTCAGGTCTGCTCAGAATACTTGGCAACAGAAGAATGCCTGGTGCACTTCTGGCTCATACCAAGAGCCCTCAGGAACCCTGGAATGGAGAAGACACCTTCCACATCTAGATCTGGAGAAAGCTGCCCAGGACTCCAGCTTGGCATCCACACCAGATCAACACACCTGAGATTTCAGTGAAGGGTTTTTATATCATTGGGTGCACTATCTAGCCAGATGCAACAGTTGACACCTCTTCTCACACATTACCTACTGTCAGGTAGAATGCCTTTCAATGGATGACTTTGCCTATTTAGGCTTTTGTTTCCTATTTATAATGGTCTTGTAATGCAAGGGAGGTATCACTGACCCTAAATCAATGGTTTTAACTCCAGTATTTTTAAGCTATTCAAATGTATTATAGCTAGTTGCTGGAGAAGATTCTCTTTGAGTATCATTTAACACTGAAGTAGCTAAAGTGTTTAATATTGCTATGCAATTTTGAGTCTTCACAGTGTGGCTAACAGAATTAATATTGCTTGATGAAGCTTCCACGATGTACAATTCTGATTTGGGAAGCAAGACAGAATATGATAAACACGTCCCTTATAAAGACAGATTGAAACCATCAGTTCCAATTTTAAAATGAGGGATGCGGATGAGACAAATCAGCAGACACAAGCCATTTTGTTTTTCATATTGTATAGATTGAAAAATATTGTATTTCCCTCCCAAAAGAAATACAACTTTTCTAGTATCTCTCCTCTATGAATAGAAATTCTGGACATTCCTGCTATTTGGCCAACCACCCTCTGCTTAAGAACCTCTGCTGAAGGAGAGTCCACCACTAATGAAGGAGAGTCCCTCAAAAATGGAAGACTTGTCCAAATGAAGAGAGCGAAAAGGAACAAAACTTTGGCAAAGTAAGTGCAGGCATATAGTAAGGGAAACCAAAGGAGCAGCACATAGCTAAAAATATTACCAACAACAAGAAGTTATTTGAAGACCTCAGTAGCAAGAAACTAGCTAGAGAAGCTGTTGGTCCCTTGGATGACAAGGGTATGACCCTCCACAACAGCAAGTCTCATTAACTTATCTGGGTTCTTTGAGAGCATGTGCAGAGAGGTGATCCCATTGGCAGAGTGTAGCTTCAAAAAGCTTTCAACTAGGCATCGCACCAAAGATTCCTGAGTAAGCTTAGCAGTCATGGAATAAGAGGAGAGGTCCTCTTGTTGATCAGGAACTTACTGTTAGGAATTTTTTCTTAATGTTTCTTAAAAACAAAACACTATTCGTTATTTGAACCCATTGAAAACAAACTTGCGCCTTCAAATTTGGCTGTTATATCACCTCTTAATCATCTCTTCTCCAGTCCAGCCTAAGCATACCTGACTCCTTCAACCTTTCTCCTTAGGGCTTAGTAACCTCCAGGCTGGTCCATTAGGGCAAATGGGGCATTCCACCACTAACCTCAGGTAGACCCCACCTACTTGCCTTCTACAGTTTTGGTGTGGAACTGTTATCTTTCTCCTCCTTAGTCTCAGTATTGCCATTACAGAAGCCAGCAGGGAGGAGAGTGGGGGTAAAAATAGAATTAATGGCTCTGTCTCCACCTACTGTTGGCCTCTCTGGTCTTCGTCTCTACCAATTTCAATAGGTACCAGCCACCAGTGGTGGCTCCTCACTACCTTTGTTGCACTCCTTCCTCTTCATCGATCTGCTTCTTAAACTGTGGTGCACAGAACAGGATACAGTACTCCAGGTAAAGTCAGAGCAAAGCCAAATAGAGTGGGACCAATTACTTTTCATGATATGGACACTCACTATGTTGATGCAGTCTACAACTGCATTAGCTATGCAATACAGCAGCTAAAAATGCTAACTGGTGATTAGCTTGTGGTCTACTAAACCTCTTAAGATTGGGGTGGCTAAACCAAGTTGCATCAAGGGTTGGCCAACCCACCAAGGTTCCTATTCTAGCTGTGGACGTTGCCCAAGTAGCCAATGTCCACACTGTATGTACAGTATGCACACACAAACATATTCAGAGAGCCCCCCTCTCCTGCTGATCCACAGTGGGGTCTATCTTGCTGCATCACTGGGCTGGGCTAGGGTTGGTGGAGATTGTAGTTCAGCAACATCTGGGAACCCATGGTTCTTCTAAGAGAAGTAGCTGCACCTTCCAGTTTGGTGTCCTCTGCAAATCTAATCAGCATCTCCTCTACTCCATCATCCAAGTGATTAAGAAACAGGTTGAGCAGTGCTGGGCTGTTCAGAGCTTACTATCAGAACTAGCTGGTAATTCTGCCATTTTTCAAGGTTGTGCACACAGTGTATAATTTAATGGATATTATAAGGAAAGGTGGGCTGGGCTTGCTATGGCTATTCTGATATGGCCCTTAATGGCTAAGACACTCAGAAGAACACAATAAAAAATAAGACTGGTGTCCAAAATGCTAGAAAGCAAACCTGACTGGCCCAAGGTCATCCAAAGAGACAGAAAGTCACACCTTAAATACAGCTTAGAAAGAACAGCACAAGAAATATAGGGGGACAGAACCGACTCTCAAATCTAATATGCTTTTATCAGCCTGGTGTGTTTTGTTTATTTATTTTTTAAAAAAATACCCAAATAAATAAAATCAACAGATCTACCACATTTCTGCAATGAATGGAGGTTCCCCCACCCTCCCTCTCTTCCCTCCCTGCAAGCCGGATGACTTCTTATCAGATGTGTCACTTGGCAAAATAATTGCCAGCAATAATGGTTGCAATAGCAGCATACTCTGAGCACAATTTATCTATGTCTGTTCTATCTTTCAACTTCAAAGCTTCGGCTGCCTCACAGATCACATCAAAATGACACCCCTGTCGTTAATGACAGTGGTCTAATGCAATACAGAGAAGTCAAATCACTCCTCCAGATAGGCGAGAAATGCTCATACGAAAAACTAAGCATGTGCAGGGTCCTGACATTCATATTCAGATCGGTATTTGAAGCAGTAAGGGGGAGCTCGGTTTGACATTCAGATTTATTCATATTTGGAAACAGCCTGCTCTTAGGGGAACAAGGAGCTAGAGAGAAGGGAAGAATATGAGAGGACAGCATACAGCTATAATTAATGTAAGGCTAACTCACGGACACAAAGGAAGGCCAGAGTCCACTCAATACGTCAAGCTTCAGCCACAAAGCTGAGAAATCCGACAAAGGCCAACAGGATTGCATGAAGCAAATGAGCAACACACAAATCTCCACGTTTCTCAAAGCTGATGCATACTGCTGGATTGTCCAAGCTCTTGTCAGCTGTTCAAGAAAGCGTTGTTGCGGGAGGATGCCAAACTGCAAAACATACTCACATCCTCCGTCTTTATCTAACATCTATCAAGTTTTGTTCTGTCTGTCAGTGTGTGTGTATCAAATCGATACAATGAACCTACCCAAACAAAACACTTATCCACATACATATATTGGCTTGTTTGGTTGATGCAATGCAGTCTGTCAGGTGGGAAGTGGTTCTTGCCAGTTTGCTGGGGAGCACTGAAAATGATGATGATGATGATGATAAATATCACACTAGGCAGAAGGAAAACTTGAAGGCAGATTGAAATACATGCAACTTTACTGAGAACACCTCACATTTAGGAAGGCAGTACACAAGCAAACACTTGTAAGTTATTGCCTCCTAGCACAGCTGGCTCCATGGACAGCGGGCCTGGACAATCCAACTGGTACATCCTTTTTGTGCAGGAAGCCTTTGTCCCCTAAGCAGAACTTTTGTTCAGCACCTCTTCTTCCATGGGAAAGTTGTGAGGCAGTGTGCTTCTGACTAGGTCACCCTGTGCACTGTTGGTTAGTCATGTCAATCATAACTGATGCCTACTTCTCCCAGGGATTTACTAGAGCTGGGCAATCCACTCGTTACCTAATTTCCGGGCATTGTTCACCATTAAATGAGGTGGCATTCTGGTCATGAGGTGGATTTTTGAGGGGGTGGAGCAAAACCTACTGAAGCTCCTCAAAACTGGTGGTTGTCATTTATAGGTTTCCAGAAGGCCCTAATCTCTTCAGGGATAGAGAGAGGTAGCCCTCCCAACAACTTTTTTGGGGCAGTTATCATTCCTCAGTCCAGGAATCTCAGGGCATTCAGAGAAATCCAAAATGGTGGCCACCAGCCTGATGAACCATTAAAGAGATCTAGCAAGTTTCATCTTCAAAAACTGAACCCCAAGTTTCAAAAAAGAAAGAAAATAAGATGCTTCACCCCCTCCTCTGTCACCAAATTCACCCCAAAAATTCAGGTAAACCTGATGGTCCTTCAACTTGGTTCAAGTCAGCTTGTTTTTCTATATGGAATAGATTTTTTGTTGATTTATATGGCACATTCATTTAATGTAAGCCCCCACAGGCAATCTGAAACTCAGACACAGGTCTGCCACCTCAATGAGAGCATGCCTTTCACGTCAGGTCATGGGTAGAAAACAGGGACGTGCGTATTCCAGGACATGCTCCCCCAGGAGTCATGCGACCTGCACAAGATCATGGTGCCTCAAAACATCAAGTCAAACCGTTGGAAGGTTACAACACCTGCTACGGCTGTAGCTGCTGCATTTGCAGAACTGAAGTGACATGAAGTAAACATTTATAGTCAAACTATAGTGTGAGAGCAATTGGCCTCTCAGCAATGCTGAATGTCCTTGTTGAGGGTTCAGAGATGATGGGGGGGGGGGAACCTTCCTGATGCAGTGGAGAAAGCTGGTTTTGGTCTGGGACTAAAGTTGCCACTTACCGGTACTTGAAGTGAAATCTTAATATGAATTTGGCACTTCCTACTATAAAGTTTTGTCGAGAAAAATCAATTTCCTCAAAGCGCCTTTGCACCTTCTTATAGTTAGCTCATCAATTTTTGTCGGGGCAAACTCCCCCCCCCCCCCCCGGATACGTCTCTTGCCTTAAGGAACCCCCTCACAGAAGTAAAATTTTAAAAAAAGCAATTGCTTTTCTTAAACCTCTGTCCAAATACTCCTTGGAGACTGAACTATTAAATAATCTAGATATTCCAAAAATAACAGTCCCTGGATGAGCTTGTCCCTGTAATTCCATATGAGCCATATGGGAACTTATCACTGAAGCCACATTAGTCTTGATTTAAGGTCTTTTGACACATTATTACAGCACTCCAGCATCACTTCACACCTGCCATCCTGTCAATCAGATGGGGAGGGGGGGAACCCATTTCGATGTCAATCAAGAAATCCTGAGGGAAGTGTAACCTGTTAAGAAGTATTACCCTTTGCCCGCAACGATTCTTCAGCTTTGAATTTAAAGGACATATGCCAGAAATAATTAAAGACCATTCTTTTGTATCCTCATATATAAATGAAGGCATTTAGCGCCAGCAGATTTATACTGTCTGGGCTGAGAAGCTAGTTCATGTTCCACAGCTGTTTTTGCTGCAATTAATAGACTGTGCTTGTCCACGACAATGTCCTGCCAATTTGCCCTTGTAGTCACTCTCGAGGCTATCCTCTCAGTTTACTGATGTACAAGGAGTATTGTTTTTGCAGTAGGAAGAAGAGGTTGTGTCAACCTCGAATAACATGACAATGAAAGCACAAACCTGGCTTATACCCTTCATGGCTGAAACAGCAATCTCCCTCTAGAATTACAGTTTACACAGCTTAGCTACTATTTCTTAGGGGAGTGGGTGGGTGTAGACCAGGGGTTGTCAACCTGGTCCCTACCGCCCACTAGTGGGCATTTCAGGATTCTAGGTGGGTGGTAGGGGGTTCTACGGCACAAGCTGAATCCTACTTCTATCGAGAACTGGTGGGCGGTAAGAAAATTTTACCATCAAGAAAGATGCATTAGTGGGCAGTAGGTATAAAGAGGTTGACTACCCCTGGTGTAGACAGACAGTCCCTCTGGTGAGAGACACAGCATCCTCCTTGTGTGGTAGTTTGCCCACCTTTGGCTCCACCCTGCATTCAGCTCTCTCCTGTGCCTCCTAGAAGGTGTCAGCATGAGACAGAGGTCACACCCCAGAAACAGCTTTGGCCAGCCATACCGTGCGACGGTAGTCAATGTGTCTCAAACCCTTGTTGAATTTGGAACTTCCCCTACATGCAAAGACAGGCTCCAGCAGATTGAGCAGACGGGACCAATAATGGGTCCAATGGTCAAGAAGGCTGTTTCTGCACATGCTGTAGAGGGAAGCGAGGGGCAGATGGGGCTCATCCACCTGGGAAGGTAGCCCATCTAGAAGGAAAACTCTGATGCTAAACTTCTGCTGCTTTGCAGGATATCTTTGGAGAAACAAAAGCCTAAGGAGAAACCCTACACACTCCTTGCAGAGTGGAGTTCCTAAGACGGCAGGATGGTACATTGTACACCTCCTTCCAGTAACGCTTGCAGCCAAGTCAGTGTCAAATGTATTGCCCTGCTTTCCTTTGGCCCACATCAGCGGGGCCAAGAGAGGGGTATTTTTGTCTAGGCAGCCCAGGTCACTTTGGTGCTGCTAACACAGCAGTTTGACCTCACCCCTGGAGGTGCATTCCATCATCTCTCGAGGCAGATGGATGCCAACAACAAATCATTTATTAGTATTCAGTTTAGAATTCAAAATGCTAAAAAAATGTAGTTTTGGTGTTCTCTCTTTTTCTTTTACAAATGTAATTTTACTTCAGCATATTTTAATACCAGGAAAGGGGGACTTGGTGGTGGACTCCAACTCCCGTCAGCCCCAGCCCTAATGCAACAACACCTGGAGAGCCACAGCTTCCCCATCTCTATGCCCTTATAACAGCAAGAGTCATTGTCAATTTCCACTGAGCGCTGGAGAACTAGGAAGGGACTGAGAAAATTCTGCATGAAGGGACAATGAAACGACCACAACTGGCTGCTGCTCACTACTCCAAGAAAACTACCTACCCTCCAATTTACTTAAAATTTTCTTCCAAAGTGGGCTTAAAATTTGGCTCCTGTTTTATGACCTATTCACAATGTTTATGGCCTATTCACAGTATTGCCTTAAAATTTCTTTTAGAAGCTTGATAGGTGCTGAGCTGAGCTTACCTTAGCCTTGCAAGGTGCCTGAAGGTCACTTGTGTGTTTTTTATGTCCATTGAATATTTCTCCAGCACTCTCCTGGCTCCCCCAGCTGCTCACACTTCCCCACCTGAAAAATATCAATGGGAGGAGCTACCTCATGACCTATTCCCTTTCAGCTTTAATTGAAATACAGGAGGCTGGAGAAGCTGGTTAATGAGCACCTGAGACTGAAGAGAGCTTGCTGATTTCCTTTTAAAGGAAAATCCTTCCTTTTGAATTAAAACAAAACAAAACTGTACTTATTTAAAAGAAGTAATGAACTATAACTATAACATCATGGGGCTTTCAGGAAGTGTGGGCACCCAAGAGGTCTGCAGAAAGCAGACCACAAAAATACAGGGCTCTCAGAAAACCCCTTGGCCACCTTGAAAGTAAGGCAAGTGCAACAAAAAAGCTCCATAACCCACCCATAAAAACGTCACTGCAATTTCTCTTCCCTTTGATCATTTCTGAATGGAATTTCTTTTCTCATTAACTGATGATGGATACGTAAAAAACTGCAGAAGTCACTTTTGAGAGCAGGAGTGCTGAAAAGCCTATGGTGTAGTTATTACTAGCAGAAAGTCCACAAATGTATGTGGATATGTGGTAGTAGTTTTGGCTGTGTTCCTTCCCAACTAGCTTCGCTCGTCTTTTGTTTTATCTTGTTTCTGCCTTACCTTCTTAAGCCTAATCCTCCTTCCTCTCATGTTTTCCTGCATTAAGAAATTCAGAGTCAAGTTGGGGGCAGCCTGATGATCTAAGAAAACAGCACAAAGGCTTAGTAAAGTCAGGCTGGAATGGAATAGAATATGCAGCAATAACTGCAGTGTTTCCCCAACCATCTCTTACAGCTTACTCCTACAGAGCTTTAAGGAAGCTGGGGTTTATTCTGAGTAAGTGTGTTGGTTACTAGGCTTGTGGAAGAAGTGCCTTTGTGACATCAGCAGCCATTTTACCAATCCCATGTCTTGTTCCATACCTCTTGGTAGGCATTCACATAGATGACAGTGGATTGGTGTAACAGATACTGATGTAACAGTGGAAGATGAAAACTACGCATTCCCTCTAGTTTCTAATGGTGGAGGAACATTTCATTGGCTATGCTGAACAGACCAATACTTGCTCTTCCTTGATAATGATTACAGTGAAGAGATGGGGAAAAGAACTTTTGTTTGCCTCTCCTCAAGTTGCATTTCCTTGATTATCATATACTCAGAGTAACCCTAACTGGTATATTTGTTTTTTGCCTATTCAAATTTCCTTTCTCTTTCCTCTTTGGTAGAAGTAGGTAACTAGAATGTGAGCTCTTCAGCTTTTTGGACCAGACTAAACATTACATGGATTGCATTAATGTGTTTTTGTCCAAAAGACAAGTATCAAATGGGATCAATTTACACAGCAAATGCTTTACTAAGAGAACCAAAAGTTCAATCTTCAGCTACATCCACTTAGCATACTGTCCTGGCTTGTATAGCACTAAGTTCAAAATGCCAACAACAGCCTTCCAATTTTCTGCCCTAGCATTTTATCTGTTTCAGCTCTGGTCAGCAATTACTTTTGCGGGCGGGCTGCATTGAGAAGGGACTGAAAAATGGTAAGAGGGCAAGGCCCATCTTCAAAGCAGCATCCCTGCAAGTGTCATTCCCATAGCTGTGCATTGAGCATAGATTTCAACTTGGAACTGTGCCTTCAACAGCAGCTTGGCCCACATGCAGCAGGTAGAAAGTGAGGACAAGGCTTGCCATCAGAATCTGCTGAAGGTCAGTTGCTACAGCAGGTGTTGAGATGGGGGGAGGGGCAGTGCATGAATGCATTGGGCTGAGGAATCCGCAGAGGAGCCCTTGGATATTTCTTGCCTAAGCTGGGCATAAAACTTTCTGCTATTGGATGCCATACAGGACCTTGAAGGTTTCCAATATGTGAGTACACATGCAAGATACCAACCACACAGGGCACCTCCTGGAGAGGAATTTGAAAGCTCCCACTAACCAAACCTTCTTCCTAGTTACTGCCACTTTGTCTGCAGGATTATTATTTTTAGAGCATATCTGTTTTTCGGGGATGGATCCCTTTCTGTTGCACTAGAGGAAGTGGAAAGAGTGACTGAGAGGAAGGCCAGGGGGGATTTAAGCAGATCCTAGAAGGGCTCCAATGTTTTTGAACCCTCTCTGATGTATCGATGTGCTGCTGCTTTTATTGTATATTAACTGTGATCATAAGGTGTTATTTTTTAAACTTTTTGTTTAGTGGTTGTTGTTATTTTACTTTTTTAATATAGCCCTGGGACCTTTGGGTGAAGAGTGGGCAATACATTTAATTAATAAATGCATAAAATTAACTTCAGCCTGCATTTCAGTGGCAGCTGTAACATAAGAAGAGTGCAGGGTCGGGTTCTTCTTGTGCAGACAGAATGAAATAAATCCCACCACAGTCTAGGAAATGGCCCAATGCACTGTGACATTTAATCAACTGTTTGACTGGGGCCTCACCTCCTGTATCTTTTTTCTGAAGAGAACATGATTCTCTGCACATCACTTTTCCGGCGCACAGTTTCTCAAAGCCAGGTTATAGGCCTTTAAAAAAGAAAGAGAGAGGAGCCCAGTAAGAGAGGTCAGCTACAATCATGAATTTTATGACAGGTTTGCTGGGAAACCACATTAAATGGCAACATCGGTGCACATCAGTTCTGCTGTGCTTCTGCAGCCCAAATGATTTGTGATATGCTTGCACTTCAGAGACATCATTGCAAAGCAGTGTCGCTCGCCTCAGTATCAGGACACTCCTTCAAATGCTTCACAATGCACCAGCCTCTTCCTATGATAAACTACCAGTCAGGGACATGTTTGGGCCAGAAAAAGTTAATTCCTCCATAAAACTCTCCAAAGCCAAACAGCCTTCATCCCTGGATCTGAAGCTTGCAGCTCTGGAATTAGCCTTAAAGCTATGTGCCACACACCTTTGCTCTAAGAGGCTGGGGAAGCTTGATGCATCTGAAATTCTATTCATTTGAATACCTCACCAAATACTGGATATTATCTTTTCCTTCTTTCTTTTTCCCCTCAACGTAGCAGATGCATTAGGGACCCTTTATCATTATATATAATTTAAAAATTGTACAAAGCATAGCACATGATCAATTTCCATTGTTCCTCTCAGATTTCAGTTCCTCCCACCCGCATAAACAGAGTGTCACTGCTCCCTGAGTTTGTTTGGGTTTGGGGTTTTTTTTTGTTCTCATAATGCAAAACTTCTATCTTGAAATGCTTCTACTTATTATCAATATTCTTCTTGTGCAGTGCTTTACCAGCATGTATATGCAGCTGTGCATAGTGATCAGATGCTATAAGAAAGCAAATTACAGTCCAGGTTTTATCACTATCATTTTGAATGGGGCACAGGAACATATGTGTGTGTTTTAGTGAAACACTGCACAAAAAGAACATACACATGATTGCATCTAAAATCAGCCACATCAAGATAAATTGTAACAGTATTTTTACTATTTTCCATCGGCAATGTGGCAGGGAGCAGAATATGCAAAACAAGTAAAGGACTTAAAGCAGTAAGAAACTATGCATCTTCAATTCTGAAATTAATTTTACAAATCCTGTTAATGAAGGGGGTGGGGGAATCTTCCTATCTCTAATTGAGTATATTTTGGTAAGGTGAAGTAAAGCAATGTGGAATATTATAGCTCATTCAAATATGGAAGTCATCACTTGATATTGCAGCTATAAAGTGTTGACCCATCCAAAGTGGTGAAAATGATCCCCCCCCCCTTTTCTGCTACAGGTGGTGGCCATTTTGCATGGGGGCTCCACTCCTGGCCCCTGTGCACATTGGCAGAGCATGCATAAGCCTGTCCTGCCCCATTACACCCGTTATGCCCTATTCCGAAAGAATGCACACAAAATGCTCACCGCCATTATTTATCTCATCTATGCCTATCAACTTTATAGCTGTTTTCCGTATCTGGCATGACTGGGAATACACATATACACACACACACAGAGAGAGAGAGAGAGAGAGAGAGAGAGAGAGAGAGAGAGAGAAGAACAGCTGAAACTGTTGAGAAACAATTATTAAGCATTTGCATTTATGTAATGGGGGCGGGCTGGTGTGGAGGACTCCCTGGTCCTGAATGGGGTAATTGTGGCCCTGAAGGACCAGGTGCGCAGCCAGGGAGTCATTTTGGACTCACAGCTGTCCATGGAGGCACAGGTCAATTCTGTATCCAGGGCAGCTGTCTACCAACTCCACCTGGTACGCAGGCTGAGACCCTACCTGCCCGTGGACTGTCTCGCCAGAGTGGTGCATGCTCTAGTTATCTCCCGCTTGGACTACTGCAATGCACTCTACGTGGGGCTACCTTTGAAGGTGACTCGGAAACTACAACTAATCCAGAATGCGGCAGCTAGACTGGTGACTGGGGGCGGCTGCCGAGACCACATAACACCGGTCTTGAAAGACCTACATTGGCTCCCAGTACGTTTCCGAGCACAATTCAAAGTGCTGGTGTTGACCTTTAAAGCCCTAAACGGCCTCGGCCCAGTATACCTGAAGGAGCGTCTCCACCCCCATCGTTCTGCCCGGATGCTGAGGTCCAGTGCCGAGGGCCTTCTGGCGGTTCCCTCATTGCGAGAAGCAAAGCTACAGGGAACCAGGCAGAGGGCCTTCTCGGTAGTGGCGCCCGCCCTGTGGAACGCCCTCCCATCAGATGTCAAAGTGATAAATAACTACCTGACATTTAGAAGACATCTTAAGGCAGCCCTGTTTAGGGAAGTTTTTAATCTGTGATATTTTACTGTATTTTTGGTTTCTATGGAAGCCGCCCAGAGTGGCTGGGGAAACCCAGCCAGATGGGCGGGGTACAAATAATAAATTATTATTATTATTATTATTATTATTATTATTTAAGGAGTAACATAGGCAGAAAAAGAGAACTGACAATGAATTCATTTTTATGAATTTAGAGGCAGGGAAGCAGGCTGTATGCCGAGACCCTTGTAACCTCTGGATCCAGCAAGTGTTAAAAATTAAGCCAGGCTAGCATCCTGATGGGGCGATAGCCTAGGTCAGGCACGTCCAACTCCCAAGAGACTGTGATCTACTCACAGTATAAAAAGACTGGCTGTGATCTACCCATTGTAGATGGGGGAAGATTGACCAAAGTTGTAGAGCTTTGGGGGGGGGGCACTGACCAAAGTTGATACCGCAATCGACCTGGGACACCCCCGCGATCAATCAGCCAATAGCGATCGACCTGTTGGACATGCCTGGCCTAGGTAATGGGTCATTAAAGGAACAAATGAAGTGGATCTGTGCCAGGCAGCAAACTGGTTGGTAGTTAGAAAGAAAAATGGTGAGAGTTGAACTAGAAGCTAGAAATGGGAAAGCGACAGGCTAGGAAGCCAGAGAGACAGAGTGATGCTTGATTTCTGGTTGAATCCAAGGCTGTGGCTACAGGGGAAGCAAGGCCCCTCTGGTGTGTCAATGCTGCAAACCCCTCCATTGTAGGCTCAGGTTGTATATATGTGTAAATAAACCATATATCATAAAGACACCACAGTCTCCTCTGTGCCTCATTCCAAAGGAAACACGAACCCTGGCCTGGAACCCCCGTAACCTTGCACTGCTCAGAGACTGGGGTGGCGTGCAACAATATTTTTAAAGCACAAAGTATGTCCAGCCATAGCATGGGGCATCTTCTTCTTGCACAAAATAAAATACAGCCCTGAAGAGTCATGTCTCTCCCTGCCCCCTGCCCCCCACCTTTTGGTTGCTTGATGTATGACTCGGCCCTGCCTCATCATTCTAGTATGATTCAAACAAACAGAGGGAATTTTTCTACTTAAATTCTTCACTGCAAGAGAAGTAAATATCTTACTTTTCTAAAACACCATTTCTTAAAGATAAAATAGAATTCTACAACACTCTCTCAGATAGATTTGCCATAAGTCAGATACCCTTGTTCAAATAATGAACTATGAACACCATCCATCTTGTGCCTTCAGCTCGTTGTGAACTAGCTCTTGTTAAGGTGCTCCTGTAGGAGACTCTGTTGACTGATAACAATGAATGGGGTTTTTTGCACCACACTGCAGTTGCCGCTATACGTCTCTGGCTTGAATGGAAAGGCAATTAAGGAGGAAAGTATCGAGCAAGGAGGGACCAATGACAGGGTACTGTTTTTTAAGACAAAGCAGGATTATAAAGCTGCAACAAAAGTGACCTGCTTAACTGACTGAAGAGAAAGGGGTAGAAATGGGGGGAAGTGTTCTTGTTCCAAAATCGTTGGATCAAAGATGTCTTTAATGTAAAGGCACATGTCACACCGCCACCACCCAAAAGTTGAAGAGGAAGCCTGCAACAGAAGAAAAACTACCAGCCTGGTTCTTGAGAAGCCTGAGGTCAATTCCACTCGCTGATATAGGTTTTCTGTGATGTTGCAAGTTACTTGCAGCACAACCCTAAGCACATTCACACAGAAGTCTTACTTATTTCAATGCAACTTACTTCCTAGCAAGCTTATCCATCAGAGGCGGCTCACCAAAAAACACAGACTGGGCAGCTTGTTTCTTTTCCACGTGGCCCAATACTGCATTTTTAATGGAAACTGCATAAACATATCTTAGCCAATCTCTGTTCTTGTAGTTTAGGGCCAAGTGCAGTATGGATCAGAGCTAGTTGGGTAGTGTAACATATTTGGCTAACTCCCTACTGTGCTGTGACCCCATGTTAACTTGATGTCAAGTGAATACTTCCTCTGCCAATGGTCAGAGAAAGTGAGCTATCACGGACATGCTATTTTTCATGCTAGCAGAAGTTTTTATATTTGAGACTGACATTTGCATGCTGCTGGCTATAGCATTTGGACAGGTTGTCATGGGCATCCTGGGTTGCCTGCCAGTGGAAATAACTCTATAGGTATGACAAAAACTCTGTGTAAGTACCAATCCACCCACACCCACCTCCAAATCGTAAATGTTTATGTGATTGATGATGTTGTTTCCAATATCTGATCAATATTTAAGGACATGTGACATCTCCCCACATCCACCCACCCTCTGCAGCAAATATTTTTTGGATCAAATGGGTAGCATAAGCATAGAATGCTTTTTATGTGCCCTTATTAACAAAAGGATAAATTTGTAATGAGTTTAATTATTGAAAGGACATAACACGTTGATATGGTGATCTTTTTTTAAAGCTTAAACCGTTAAATGGCAGAAGCCAAAATGCAACTCAGAGTTTCCAAAGCAATCCTACTGCTTGCAGGATTCATAAACCAAGTAAACCTTCTGACATAACTATAAAATGTGGCATAAACCCTTGGAAAAAATAGCCTTCTTGGAAAGGGTAACAGCACTTTTATGAGGATTTCAACTGCACCATGGCAACATCAACCTGTCAAAGCAAATGAAGGGCAGTAAAACTAAAATTAAAAATGATGAAGGGGACCCCAGCTTGCTAACAGCTTTCCAAGCTGTAAAGCTTTCAAATGTTATCTCTTCATTGGTTTGTTCAATCACACATGTCTTTGCTACCAAGCTTTATCATATTATGTATCTTTCCCATCACAGCAGGCTGCTGAATTTGATCGACTTATGCATGAAAAATATATTTTCCCCAACTTCCTCATCTTGCTAAATTCCTTTCCCTATCCTTATTGGTTCATTTTTATTGGTGCTTGCATTGACACCTGCAGGCTACAAGAATAGCAGTGACACGGACTGGCAATCATGCCGCGTTCTGGGATGTCTGAGGCCTCTGGCATCAAAGTCACTGCTGGGGCCCTCCTACCAGGATTGGAGAGGAAATCCATTTTAAGGGGATTTGTACGCAGAATTTGGTGCTTCTGGCATGAACAAGCTTTCACTGCATTGCACAGCCTCTTGCATTTGAAACCACATGCAGAAGCCATTTATACATCACCAATGTTGCAAGACTAATTACAGTGGTACCTTGGTTTATGAACTTCATCCGTTCTGGAAGTCCATTCTTAAACCAAAGCGTTCTTAAACCAAGGCATGCTTTCCCATAGCAGCAGTACTCAATTTACAAACGGAACACACTCGACAGGAAGCGGAACATGTTCTGCTTCCAAGGCAAAGTTCACAAACCAAAACACCTACTTCCAAATTTGTAGCGTTCTTAATCCAAGTTGTTGATAAACTAAGCTGTTCTTAAACCAAGGTACCACTGCATATGCTAGTTTCTGAGATTGTTTGGGAGATGTCACAACAATTAAAGTGGCATGTAACAGCTGCTTTAAATGTATGGTGTGGGTGCAACTTGGGAATCCGAAGCAGATTCAGTCCTACCTCTGATCTGCATTAACAACAGCGCAGGGTTTCTGTATCTCAGCACAGCCCTCCAAACTGAGTAAAATAGAAGAAGATTCTATTTTGTAACCCTCTTGGCTTCAGCATATCCCTTAACTTGCAGGAACTCTTTTCTTTGCTGCTCTATTTTTGGTATTTTCGTTAGGTTAGGATGTACTAATGCCCAATCCTAACTTAATTTCTCCATTGGTTTCTATAGGCAACTCTCACTTCCTTCTATGGAGACGATTAAAAATAGCATCTCAAAGTAAACCAGGGAATGACATATCAAAACAATGAGAAGGTTCTTACACACACACACACACACACACACACACACACACACACTTATTTCACTTGGAGAAAAAGACAGAAATGGAGTAAAGGGCAAAGGAGGAATAAATATACAGAAACTTCCCAGTTTCCACTCTCCTCTTTACACCCTCTGCACTCATTGCCTTCTCTATGGGCTGGTCCACTGGTCTTCAGCTGGTGGGTCGGGACCCACGTGGGTCTCAGCCAGATCCAAGGCGGGTCGCAACAAGAACATTACCACCATGCAAATGTATGGTAAAAGAATAAGAAATGGGTTCCCCAATGCATGTGTGTTAAAAATGGGTCCTGGCCTGAAAAGGTTGAAGATACCTGAGCTAGTCCTATCCTGCCAACTTGTTTTGAAGCCTCCTAGACTACTGCGGCCATACCCTCCCCTTCTCCAGCCAATTCCATTTCCCCTTCTCCATGGGCCCCACCTGTTTTTACTAGCAATTCCAGTGGCTAATTAGCATGCTTTGTTTCCATTGGGTTCTCTTTGGTGTATGACCATTTAGTGGGTGGTACTCAGAGTAGACCCACTGAAATGGATTATGTTCATTAATGTCATGGATCTAGTCTAAGTAAAACTTAGTTGACTACCACCCTCTGGATTTCCCCCTCCCCGCTAAATAATGTTTGTATTTTCGTAACATGAATGGTGCTATTTTGGCTACATAAGATTCAACACTTACCTCATATATTGCAAATTCAGAACTCCAACAAAGAATTCACTGGACTAACAATGCTAAGATCAAACTCAGCCTCTTATATGGACAGGATTTGAAGTTAACTGGCAAGGAGTGCGTGTGTGTCCCAATATGCTACTTTTAAGACACTACACACCTAATCCTGCCACCATCCCATGATGCAGTCCTTGGAGCTTCATTTTAACACCAGTTCCTTTCAACATCTCTATTTTACTGTTTTCAGACCTTGTCGGAGCATGTCATCTGGGCTCTCACTGTGTCACAGATAATAACTAGGTCTATTTGTCCTTTATGTCAGTATATGGCAAGGCAGTCTCCATGCTGTCTAGATGTATGAATAAAAACCACAGTCTGGTGTCCAGAAATTGGCTTTAATTTCCCTAGGACTGATGTGCGGCTGCTAGATGTTAGACACCAGTGCCAGTGCCTAGGGGCTAGTCTTTGAAGGACACCCTCGCTGCTGGTTAGGGTGGCCATCTCGTGGTTATGGTGGCAAGATTAAACTGGACAGACTCTGAAATATTTTCCCCAACAAGCAAAGTACTTCCTCTTGCTGTTTCAAATTTTAAAACTAATATTCATGGTAAATGTACAGAAATGAAAAGAAAAAAAAGTCTCACAAAAAATATAATCAAATATGACAGTTTTCATGGTATCGCAGCATGCATGCAAACTCCAGAGAAAATGTATCAAATAAGGAGGAGCACTGATAAGAATTCAGAGCTGGTTTGAAGTACATCCGCTAATGACTATCAAGTAACAGTTTGCATCTGTAAACTGGGTATCTCAAGTCAGACACTAGAAACAAGAGAATTCATCTCTCCCTCACACGTTTTTCAGCTGAAGTCACTCACACATAATCACGGGATGATAATATTGAATCTCAAGAGGGGGTGAGGCTAAGGCTGGGGCTGGTAGACGAGCTTGGGTGGAGTTGGAATCCTGAGCACTCTGATTTTCATGGGTACCAGCTGCCACTCGTGACTCGAACCCTGAGCTGGGCTACAATTATGGCTGGGGTGGTGTGTGTGTGTGTGTGTGTGTGTGTGAGAGAGAGAGAGAGAGAGAGAATATGAGAATTCATGGAGTATGAATATATGTATGGTGGTGGTATTTATCATTGTCACAGAATGACTAAAGTTAGGAAAACTGTCGGGCTGCCCACTGCAGCTTAACCATCACTGGGAGTGGCAGCAAAGATTTTGTTGTTGTTCCAGAAAGGAAGAAAAAGTAGAAATCCTTATAAACAATTGCAAGCCTCCCTCCCCATAAGGAATAGAAGACACCAGTCTCCATTAAATGCCCTCCTTTCATGGGGGACAAATGACTTTCAAAAGAGGAAAGGGATATTCCGGATGTTTGTTTGATTGATAAAGAAATAACTCTCCCATTCCTCCTTCTTCTCTTCATCTCAAGCTGATAATATGCCATTCAGGGTTCAACTCGGGATTCCATTCGACTCCCAAAACCGTTTGAAAAGGCACGGCTTCTGATTGGCTGCAGGAGCTTCCTGCACTCAACTGGAAGCTGTGAAAGCTGCGTCGGACATTCGGCTTCCAAAAAAACATTCACAAACCAAAATACTTCCAGGTTTGCGGCGTTTGGGAGCAGATCTGTTTGACAACTAAGCAGTTCGGGTACCAAGGTGCCACTGTAGCTCCTTACACATACCTTCTCCCACTAGTCTAGGCCAACTCTCCCAAGTCTTGTTAGTTAGCCCTTTGCATATTATTTGTATTACCTTCCTTTCTCTTTGTCCCTCCTCTAGCAATTCACTAGGGTTCTGTGGCGATTCTTCTTCCTCCTTGGCACACAACAAGAAAATATAGCAAAGCTGTGTACAGTATCTCTCTGCTATCCATTCTATGGATAAAAATTCTGTATCAAGCAAAGCCACATCCTGGAATAAAACGTGTTAGAACTGTCGGAATTAAATGCAAAATTCTCAGCGATTCATAGGCTGCCATTACTGAATAACGTCTGAGGTAAAACAGAAATCCTTCTTCAGAGTGCAGGAAAAAAAGAGAAGGGAAATAATGGCAAGTGTGTGCACATGCACACAAAACTATGGGGAAGAAACTGCTCTGATATCACAATGCAAGTTGACATGTGAAGATTTTGTCAAGGACCATCTGGCTGCAGACACAACACCGGAGCATTTATGGAAACACTGGCAGCTGGTGGGGGACTTGCAGATCATTTTGGCTGGGAATGTAGCGGCTTGATATGGGATAGTGGGATCCAGTTGGATTTTTTTTATTTTTAACAGGACAGGCTCAAGAAATAGACTTGGCATATGAAGAATTATGGCTCCATGACAGTCCTAAAGACCTACAGAAGACTGCCTTCTAAGAAATGCATGGATTTCAATTTGCAAGCCCTTGAGACCCTCACATTCCAGAATGTGTATCTTAGCATGATAATAGCTTCTGTATAGTGTAAGTCAAGCTCTCCAGTATTCTTTACAGTACTTGTGTAACAGAGGCCAGTTTTATTGACCTCATATTGCAGAGGATGGAGGGGACAGAAACTGGAAGAACACCTGCCTGTCTAAGGTCCCCTAATGAATTAATAGTTGAGATTACACTTGAACTGAGGGGCTTCTCACTTTTTAGCCTCTATACAACAGCTTGCATAGGTTACCTCTTATTCCAGATTACCTTCTTGGGTTGCTGCCTTTTCTCCTGTGTAGGAGGGTTCCTATGCTTTTAAAAGCTGTGCTATCAACTCTGCTGGTCAGACAACCCTCAAAAATACATGAAACCCACCCAAAAAGGAAGTAGCAATCCCATTTTCTTCCTGCCAATGGTCATAGACCCTTCCTAGCTCTGAGTGCAGTAAGTAGAAATGACCAGACAATTGCCTCTTGAGGTTTATGATACTATGCTATAGTCAGCTAGGAAGAAAACAAGGTCATTTATTACCTTCCATGCACTAAATGGAAGATCAGATCTCTTCCTCAGTAGACATCAAGCTACACATTATCCGGTGCCAAGGTGATACCTGAGGACATGACAGAGTGAGGAATAGGATGCAGGAGAAGGAACATGGATCCAGAAAGACAGACAGCTTCCAATGGTTCCATATAGAAAGCATAGGAAGCACAGACTGGATCCTTGTGGATCCCCACAGCCCAAAAGCTATTTTCTAGTACAGTTGTACCTTGGTTTTCAAACAGCTTAGTTTTCGAACGTTTTGGCTCCTGAACGCCACAAACCCGGAAGTGACTGTTCCAGTTTGTGAACTATTTTTGGAAGCCGAACGTCCGACAGGGCTTCCGCAGCTTCTGATTGGTTCCTGCAGCCAATCAGAAGCTGCGCTTTGGTTTCCAAATGTTTTGGAAGTCGAACGGACTTCCGGAACAGATTCCGTTTGACACTGAAGGTAGGAGCAGAACTGCTGTAGTACAGTGCCTTCTTGAGTTGTTGCAGAAGAACACCATGGTCTATGGTGCCAAGAGCCACTTGGAGATTAAGGGGAACCAACAGGCTCATATTTCCCCATCTCTCTCCCAAAACCAGGTATGAAACCAGACCGGATATTTTATCATCATCAGACTTACTTTACTTGTGGAAATGACTCAAAGCGACTTACAGATACCATAAACATACTAAAACCAATATGTCTATGTTTACTCTGATGTAAGTCCCACTGAAACAGTTCAGATCCCTCAGCCAAATAATAAACAGGGCTTGGGTTCCATTTGAGCCTGTGAATCCTTCTCTGTCCTATCGAGGACTCTGCCTACATCTCTTTCCTTACAAACGGAGGGTGAAAGTCATTGAGACAGAAAATACAAAGCATTTGGTGTCGCTTTTCGGCATTGAGCCTCCATAATTCCAGCCTAGAATGAAAGTGAGTTATAGCAAAAGGCATTCCAAGGATCAGTTGGCAGGACAAGTATAGGCTAAAGAAACCATTTATTTTTTCGCTGGACTTTCAGCATTTCTGAAGAATGGGCTGACTACAGTGGTAATAAAGTAGAACCAAGAGAGGGGACATGAGAAGGACTGTCAAGTTCTTGCTTCAGTTTCTGGGAGCGGAGGAACGGCATGTAATGGGTGGTGTCCTCTCTCACATTTTGAGCAGCAGCAATTATAAATTAAGTTATCCTGGTAAATGTGCACATTCTTACTTTATTATGTGACAATCTTCTTTGGCTTTTGTATTTCAAGAGATGGAGAAATCAGCCACTGTATGCCTCTCCTTCCCAAAAGGGCTTGGTGAAACTTGCATTGCAACTACAGATCCTCATAGACCTGTATTGTGCCTCCTCTATTCCCACATTCCCTCTTAAGAGTCTTACAAGATGCAAAGTCTGCTGCCTTTCCCCTCACACCTGTTTTGTTATATTAGTAAAAGCAGACAAACTTGCGTGGTGATTCCCGCCTCCCCACCAGTTGGAATAAATGAAGACACAGGACACCATAATTTAGGTTAATGGGCGAAAAATGACCACAACTTTATTGGTTACAGGTAAGAGCGGTATTGGTATTGGCTTTAGGCATTGGCCCTATCAGACTATCCGGCATGAGAACCGGAAAGGGTTAACACCAGCAGGGGGAGCCCCTGAGATGCACATCCCTAGGCGCTCCCCGAGGGGTCACTGCTCGGGGGCGTGCTCTAGGTCCTAGCCTCCATAGGTTTCGGACGAGGCAACGCCCCCCGGAATCCTTTACCGGACTACCCTGAATATTTGGGGGAGGTGATGGCGCTCCCCCCCATCTCATCAGCATAATAATACCCCTACCAATGCCTAACCGCCAAAACCAAAGGCGTTGTGACGATTTGTTACGAGGTAGGCAAAAAAACCAAATGGCTTTAAATCAATGCCAGTTAGCCAAGTGGAAAAATTCCTACCAGGCCCCTTGCGGCGACCGAGGTCCATAGCAAAATCAGAGGGAAAACCTAGAGGGTGGGTGGGTGGGAAACCGCAGCTGGGGGCGAGGACGTAAAGGGGAGATCCCAGGCCACGCTGGCCTTAAATGACCCAGGCCAAGCCCCCGCGGCCAGCCGATTGGCCAATCATCTCCAGCTGCACAAGAGTGTTGGACATGTTCTGGGTCATGTTCTCAGACTTATCCATCTGTTGAGCAAATGAGTGCACAATTCACCCTGGAACATCACAGAATCATCTGCAATGCGCTGGGGTTCTGTGACACATGTGGAGGAGCTCTTTAGCAAATGCATTGATTTGGAAAGAGTTCTGTGACAGTAAGACATTTTAAAGTCACCAAGTTCTTCCTAAAAAACTCCTTCACACAGGACATAGTTACACTATGGAACTTGCTCTTACAGGAGACAATGATGGGCACCAGCTTAAAGGTAAAGATAAAGGGATCCCTGACCATTAGGTCTAGTCGTGACCAACTCTGGGGTTGTGACGCTCATCTCGCTTTATTGGCCGAGGGAGCCGGCTTCTGGGTCATGTGGCCAGCATGACTAAGCCGCTTCTGGCAAACCAGAGCAGTGCACGGAAACGGTTACCTTCCCGCTGAAGCAGTACCTATTTATCTACTTCCACTTTGACGTGCTTTTGAACTGCTAGGCTGGCAGGAGCAGGGACCAAGCAACGGGAGCTCACCCCGTTGCGGGGATTCAAACCGCCAACCTTCTGATTGGCAAATCCTAGGCTCTGTGGTTTAACCCACAGCGCCACCCTCGTCCCTTTTGGGCACCAACTTAGATGGCTTTAAAAGAAGATTCATGAAAAGGAGGCTATCTATAGATGGCTACTAGCCATGATGACTACGCTCTGCCTCCACAGTCAGAGGCAGAATGGTTTCCAAATACCAGTTGCTGGAGACAACAGGAGAAAAGAGTGCGTGTGTGCTCAGATTCAACCTGGCGGTTTCCCACAGGCATCTGGTTGGCCACAGGATGCTGAACGAGATGGTCATTGGCCTGATCCAACAGGTTCTTCTTATGCTTTTAAGTTAGGGTTTGAATGAAATATTTTCCCTAGCCTTTTTTCTTCTTCTTGAGCTGTGGTGTTATGCAGCTTGTATGACAGAGTATCACATTTTTATAGCCAACCATAACCTGTCTCAAAAAGCACACTTTGGCAATGCAATCGCATTATCTCAGCTAGCATACCCAGCCTGGCATCAGAGCTTAAAGCAGTACATATCCCCGCACCCATCCCTCCTGCATCTATTTGGAAGAGTCTTACACTCTTGAGATACTAAACACAACACAGAGCTTCCAAAATTATTCTCACACTTTAGTATTGACATAAATGAAATGCCCAGACATGCCAATTAAAAAAGAAAGAAAAAGAAAGGGCAGAAAACTAGAACATAGCTTTTTCATTCTCTTTTATTTAGGATAGTTTGAACTATCTTAAAGGAAAAGTTGAAAGACCAAACCATATATCTGTGCATCCCTCCTAAGGCAGATTCTCCAACCACTGCCAGTTGGATGAGCCACTATCCCGCAAGGCCAAAATTTAGCAATTCATCATGTCAAAGAAAGAGGAGAACTTCTCTGACTTCTAGGATTGATCTTTATACCCTAGGGGATCAAGGGCAGGACATAAAGCTTCTGAGTTCCTGCTAACATTGGCTTTTAGTAATAAAGGCTAACTGCCCCATCTGTTTGTTAAAATTCTGAACATGTTTTCTTTCTCATGCACATACCAAAAGCTCTTTCTATTGCGATAGCTGGAAACTGCCCCCTCCCCAAATAAGATTTTAAAAACAAACATGATACAGCAACATATATTGCTACAGGTGCCTCTTAAGAAGAGGAAAAATAAACTGTGTAAACTTGCCCATAATTTTTGAATAAATGTTTGTTGCACTCCTAATTGGCAGTGTGCTCCAGACAGACAGGTCAAATTGATGGCTTGTTAGTGAGGACTGGCCCCTTTGTGAGTTGTTTTCAGAATGATTGATTTACAATAAAGTGGCTCCTGGTGGGAGCATGCAGGTGGAACTGATTCAGATCGATTCCACAGAAGCTGACTAATCAGCTGTTTAAACTGGCAGAGTGCTCAATGACGGAAACAGTCGAGCCATCATTTTCTATCTGGGATTACAAATTAGCTTGTTCTATTTATCCTGTTCCCCATCAATATGGATGCAAGCAGCTGAAGGCGAGAAGTGGGATTCTGGAATGACAAGATAAAAAGAAAAGAAAAAGAGACCCTCCCTTCTTGCAGATCTTTCTGTTGTGATGCTGACAATGGAGGCACCAGGAGGGAGGAGGGACAGCTGCTTTACAGGTTTGTAAAACTTCGCTGACAGTGCAATCCTACACATAGCTCCTCAGTAACAAGCCCCATTGAGTGCAGTGAGGCTTATTCCCAGGGAGGTGGGTATAGGACTCCACTCGAAACATCGCTTCTGAGGCTGTGACCTGAAGCACACTTAACAGAGGGTAAGTCACAGGGGAGATGTACTTCTGCATAAACATGAGTAAGATTGTGGTGCATTTTAATGAAGTATAAGGGATGTTGGCACTGTGACCAGTTCAGATAGGTTAAACCAATGGCAACAGAAGCCAGAAATAACCATACCCAGCCCTTCTTTACACTCTACCCATGCTCTTCACACACACACACACACACACACACACACACACACACACACACTATATAGAATGTTGAATATATGTGCTTCTTTCAGTGATTGTTACATTTGTGGCTGGCCAGTACAGCCTTTGAAATGTCACCCAGGAAGGATTTGGTGAAATACATCCATACGTCACAATTTTATGGGCTTCATTCTGATGTGCAGCTGTCAGGCCATAAACAGAACAAAACATATATGTGTGTGTGTGTGTATAGGAGCCATTTGAAAACAAGGGCCTTGCCTAACCTATATTGACTTTGGTGTCCAAAAATGCAGGTGCAAGTTGTCTTGTAGTATTTTGTGTTTACTTACAAATAGATAGGTTGCATGGAGCATAGCTATATGCTTCAACAGACTATTAAGAGGGCATCAAGGTATTTCCCTAGGCAACTTACACCAATAGTCCTACTCACAGACATCTGAAATAGAAGCCCATAACAACACATACTTATCACAGTGGCTTGGTTTATTTGATTATAAAAGCTGACACCTCTGGACAGATTTTGTTATGGGGTGGGTAGAAGGGTTCCAGCTAAATAACCAGGGACCAACTAAGAGGAGGAATTGCAAATCAACAAACCAAAGGAGGGAAGGGATAATACAAGTTCAAAAATGTTCTGGTAGAGGGCCAAGGACCTACGCAGGCCATGGAAGCCCCAGTGAAAATGCATTTTAACCATTCCTCAGGCTTCTGTTTTCAGAAATCATTGTCCACAGTTTCAACATGCATGTGTTCCTGACCATAAGGGCTAGAAACTTGCTTTAAAAATTGTTGAAACGCAATTTTGTTTTCAATTCTGTTTCTACATTCTCATGGAATTACGGCAAAACACAGTCCTGAGCATTGATAGTGATGTGCCTGGCAATTCTTAGGGTTGGCATATAAATGGTCAGTGTGTTTAAACTAACTTTAGCTATGAAGGATTTTTGAGCAGCTTCTTACTAGTTTTAGGAATGAATATAAGAATTGTTTCCCCTAACAATGATCACATTGAATATAAAGATCAATCAATACAGCTGCTTCCTGTGTTGAATTATAAATTTAACTGATAACATATGCATTGTATTTAATTGCTTCTGCAAAATTTTGTCGAATGTTAACCTCAGCCTCCATTATAGTTTGGTCTGCACTGAGCATCCACATTTCAAAATATTTGTTGTTACAAATACAAGCTTAAGCTTCCTTTAGTGTCCTCAAATCCTGACCTGCAGGGCTCAGATTCTGTCTCAAGTTGATATAATTCAGTGTCCCTGGCAGTGTGATTCTAGCCTTCCTTTTAGCAATCTGCCAAAACCAACTGAATTATGTGTTGGTATCGAGATGCGGGTTGCTCACTGCAAATTGAGCCGATAGCTGGCGAAGTCATTTCACTTCACACCCTCACGTTGATGGGCAGCCTCTGGAGGTGAGATAAGCAACCTGGTTCGGATACAGAACAAGATGTGTTTCTTCAAGATAAGATGGGTGATTTAAAAGAAGCAACGGCTCAGGCAAGCGGGGTGTGAGGGTTAGGAGCCATTCGTCATGCAGAACTCTGACTTGTACACACACAGCTTTCTGCGACTGCCTTAGATGCATTAGAAAAGGTTGTAACAAGTGCAGAGGTTGCATCTTTGACAGGTGCCACTCTCAGGCAGTTGCTCCCAGGAAGACGCTTCTGGGGCACACCTAGCTTGAGAGCCAATGTGGTGTAGTGGTTAAGAGCAGAGGACTCGTAATCTGGGGAACCGGGTTCGAGTCTCCGCTCCTCCACATGCAGCTGCTGGGTGACCTTGGGCTAGTCACACTTCTTTGAAGTCTCTCAGCCCCACTCACCTCACAGAGTGTTTGTTGTGGGGGAGGAAGGGAAAGGAGAATGTTAGCCGCTTTGAGACTCTTTCAGGTAGTGATAAAGCGGGATATCAAATCCAAACTCTTCTTCTTCTTCTTGAACAAAGGGATGGAGGCGGGCCCTGTATGCTTTGGATCAAGTTTCCATCTCTGCTGTAGTCACACTTAAAGACCTTCCTTAGCCTTGATTTCTCCTCTGCAAACAGGAACAGCAGCCTACCTTCTCATAGGGTGGTTGTGCAAATAAATGCTTTGTGTTTGTAACAAACTGTAGTCCATTGGAAGACCAACTCTGCATTACAAAGATGTCTGCAAACTTGACACAAAGGCTGTCAACATTAACCCCATGTGGGAATTCCTTGCAGACGACTGCAGTGCCTGGAGACAGACAGACAGGTCATGTATCCATAGCAGTGACTAGAGAAGGAATGACCACTGGGAGGAGCGCAGAGAAGAAACACCTTGGTGCATTTGCAGCAGAACAACTGGATGCCTTCATCTGTCCAATTTGCAACCAAATATGTCAAAGTGCAAGTAGATAAATAGGTACCACTCCGGTGGGAAGGTAAACGGCATTTCCGTGTGCTGCTCTGGTTCACCAGAAGTGGCTTAGTCATGCTGGCCACATGACCCGGAAGCTGTACACCGGCTCCCTCGGCCAATAAAGCAAGATGAGCGCTGCAATCCCAGAGTCGTCCACGACTGGATCTAATGGTCAGGGGCCCCTTTACTTTACCTTTATGTCTTCCATATTGGTCTCTACAGCCACAGCAGGCGCTGTAACCTTCCAACAGTTTAACTTCACCCCCAAAGGCACACTTCTTCCATTGTCTCCCGAGACAGACAGATGCCAACAACAGAGAGTTTATAACAAACTGTAGTCCATAGGATGGGAAACATGCAACAGGGTTTTGAAGAATAATTTTTGACTCCAAAGTTGGGTTTTACAAGCCCTATTATCTAGCAATGTGAAGGTTTAGAGTTAACCCTTACTCCCGCCCATTTTTTGGGTCTTTTCCCTTTATCCCAGCAGAAATATTGGTACATTGCATTTTTCTAAAAGAAGAAAAACCTTTTAGAATGATGATTGAAATACTTTTAGAAGTAGCACGTTAAAATAAATTACTGCCAATTTCACAGATGCAAAACTCCTATATCCTGTATTGAAAGGTAATAAGACTGGTAATTATAGCATTGCTACCGTATCTGTCTGCATCAGTAAATACATAAGCCTCTTAGCACTAAACTAGGAATCTGCCAGTCATCCTTCTTTTGCCGCATGGTGACAAGGCCTTTGGACAACTGGGCCTCTGACATTTCTGCTTTCTCATTCCTCAGGTCACTGCATCAAACAAAACAATTTGATAGAACTTTGAAAATATATACCTACACACAAGGAACAAGCAAGCACGTACAAGAATTGAGGAGCTTCACTGAATTCATGCAAGCTCAAAGCGAAAGTTCAGGACCAGAAAATATGTATCTTTAGGACACCAATTTGAGAACTCAGAAATATATATTAGTATTCTTAAGGATATTTCATTTACAGGGATGGAGCAAGATATGAATATATGGGTTCACGATAGCTATGTTTCTCTGCAGTTAGTATGATACTTGCAGCCTACTCCTGTCCACGCTTACTCAAGAAGCCAACTCTACTACGTTCAACCCGGTTCCCTTCCCATTTCATGTGAATGGTACTGTAGCCTTGTGATGCATATTAATGATGATATGCTATACTATTACAAAGTTTTACTGGGTATCTATACATATTGCCATTCCTTAACAACAGTATACAAATGTTTATTTTCTGAACTTGTCTTAAAAAGGTGAGGGTTTTTTCTGTTTCTGCATGATTAATGCAGAGGTCTATACAGGGCATTCAGGTGGCAAAAGTTGGGGAGGACCTTTGAGGGGGGTTGAGGGGAAAGTCACTGGCCTCAACAATGGTTTTCTTGGCAGTCACCTTTTAAAAATATATACATACATATATATATCATAAGACTACTGTGAGAAGCACTGATGATACTAGTAAGTTCCACCCTAACCCCAATTTTGTTCTCCCCCTCCAGAAAAAAAACACCACCACCACTTGATAGGGGTTTTGCCTTAAAGTTATTAAATGAGAATTCCTATAGCAACATATTGTTTCTAAGCCCAGATAATAAAACTTTCCTCCTTTTACTACAATATTTATGGTTTCAATTTTCACTGTATTTTTTTTCTTATTTTCCCAACTGGCAAAATCTAAGATATACTTAGGTACCCTTATGGTGCAACAGCTTGCATCTCCATATCTAACAAAACGTATATTGTAACTGAATTGGAACAAAGCATTTATACTTCATGTTTTTATAAATATATATTAAGAATGGAGGTTGCAAAAGGAAAGGGTTAATGCATCCAGAAGGAGGAGTTGAAACTTATGGAATAGTCAGTGGCAAAGTTGTGATGCACATCTTTTGTTAGGATACTTGCAGGCAAATGGCCCACAAAGACCAGGAAATAGGCACACATGTTGGCAAAAGACATACAATTCTCTCCTCTCCATCTAATGATGATATAAGCAAGGTGATGTCTATGGGCACCTCAAGACAGGTCTTTTACTGCAGGTATATGAAGCAGCAACCCACAGATGTGATCAAAGTGTATTCGTAATGGATTTGAAGTAGACTGCATTACCTCCCACTTCATAAATTGCTCTGCAATGTTCCCACATCATTGCCTCCACACTAGTTTTGCTTCCCCACAACTCGAGACAATATTTGCAACTCCCATCACTGTTACCAACACTGACCCCTACCACTGCTTCCCTACCTTGCCAGAGTTGGGGAGCGGAAGGAGTGGCTAGGTGAGGAGAAAATTGTTACGCGTTACTCTTACTGCCCTGGCAGTATTAATTGCTGGCAGGGAAGGATGCCTCACAATACTCAACCCCCCCCCCCAAAAAAAATAGGTAGCACCCGGCCTGTAAGAAGGAAGGCACACAGGAAGTACCTACAGGTTGGGTGGGTGCTAGAACTGAAGGAGGAAGGGAGCATTGAGGAAGCCTGCCAAGCAATGCCCTAGGAAAGAAGGTGGGGTGAGTGGAACAATACCAATCAGTACTACTTTATGTGCTAAGTTATACACAAAACATTCCACAATCCTAAACTGGTAAGTTTACATTTAGCAAGAAAATTATAGTAAGTATAGTAAGAAAGTAAGGTTTTCATGCATTTTTGATTTTGGGAGGTGCTGGTTGTTGTTGTTTTTAGATGGGGAAACAAGGTTTTCATGGCTTCAAAAACTATAAAGTGAATTTTACCTGAAGCCAAATTTTGTGGTAAGTTAGGTGGGTCCTAATCAGATGAAGAGGGACGTGGGTGGCGCTGTGGGTAAAAGCCTAGGACTTACCGATCGTCAGGTCGGTGGTTCGAATCCCCGCGGCGGGGTGCGCTCCCGTTGCTCGGTCCCAGCGCCTGCCAACCTAGCAGTTCGAAAGCACCCCTGGGTGCAAGTAGATAAATAGGGACCGCTTACTAGCGGGAAGGTAAACAGCGTTTCCGTGTGCTGCGCTGGCTCGCCAGATGCAGCTTGTCACGCTGCCCACGTGACCCGGAAGTGTCTGCGGACAGCGTTGGCCCCCGGCCTCTTAAGTGAGATGGGCGCACAACCCTAGAGTCGGACACGACTGGCCCGTACGGGCAGAGGTACCTTAATCAGATGAAACCTGTGTAGAATTTTCAAATAAAGTTGAGATAGGAGATCACATTGAAGAATGCTTCCCCATATGAGGAAATCCATGCACATACAACACTTATGATGACATGGAGAAGGCAACGCTAAAACCCCTCACCTCGAGCCTGAAGTGGTATTGTCCAGGAACTGTTCTGATGAACCTCTAGTGGAAGCTCTCCCATTATATAAAACTAGCAGCACCCCAATTATATTCCAGGGTTTCATGGCATCACTATTCTTCTAATATTTATGCCCTGTGAAGCTACGATTGTACAAGCGAAGCCATGCTAATATGGTATGTGGATGTCAGAGCTTATCTGCCATCAATATTTTGAAAGCTCATTTGAGGAATTAATCACTTAACAACTGAGGCAAATTGATCTCTGCCCATCAAAGATGGAAAGCTTTTGAGTGAATACTATGAAAACATTTTAAGAGGGTAAAAAGATCATTATAAAGTCACTGTAGATACAATTCTTCCCCCACCCCCCATGTGTAGAAGATGAGAAGCAGGCAAAGCAAAGGCCAAGGTTAGGGTGGCATGGAAGGTTTGGTGGTGGGAAGACTGGCCAGCCCAGATTATTGTTCCTTCTCCAGGCATTCTATTCCCTCTCTCTCTCCTTTTGTCCAGGCACCAGATGAGAGCTCTGAATGAGAAGTAGGAGGAAGAATAAGCTGGACCAGCCAATCCTCTTCCTCCCTGAATCATCACCTCTCCATTATCTTGCATCTTGCTCTGTCAGCAAGGGATGGACTGAAACCTATTTATGGAACAAAAGATAAATTCTTTCATCAACAGTATCTGGCTGTCTCGGCAAAAGCTCTTCCTGTTTTCTGCTTGATTAGAAGAGTGTTTAGAAGTCATACTGCATTTCAACTTCCAGAGCCCTCTTTTTAGATTCTTCCCCACACTGATGAAAATCCTGTCAGGTGGATTCAAGAAGCCATAGACTCCTAAACCATTTCCTGTAGCGATGCAATGAAGAACAGAATTATGGTGTGAGAATCCTCTAAGGGCTAATATAGTAGGGCCCTTCTGGGTGGCTTGCGTGTGCAGCACAAAAACAAAACAAAACTCAATTGTTAGCATCATGGACAGCAGAGTGTGTGCTGGATGACTGAATCATGCCCTGTAAATGGTGATGCATATGCTTCCATCGCCCCTCATCTTAATTAAGGGTCAGCACTGAAAAGTATTCCCTCCCCCCAAGTATTTATTAAATTGCTTTATTTTCAACTTCACCTAATGTATATTTGTTATTAATCACAAATAAAGCACCCTCAAAGAGTAATATTTTTTTTATAAGACCTTGCACAGCTAAGTAGGCATATCTGCTAAGCGAAGGACCAACCTTACCTGCATATCTTTATAGAAAACCTTCTTTGTGTCTTCCAAATCAAATTAATAGTCTGGACAGGTAAAACCACCCTTGAGTGAAAGAACACATTTAGCCCATGGAAGAATGATTTGACTTGCAATAACAGTAGCTGGACACATGTGGAAGAAGCATACAGAACCAGAGGTTCCAATCTTATTTCTAGTGACTCCTGACATGTGCCTGGCTAGCATTCATCTGATTTGGTATCAGAGGTTGTGTACGCACTCCTGTTAACTCTGCATCCAATGTACTCCCCTCACCCCCAGTTTATGAAGTGGAGTACACACACCACTAGCCACAATCCATATCTATCCTGTACCCATCTTGTCGTTCCTTTAATGTATTTTGATCCATTCCCCCTCAAACCAGCTCCTATCCAAACTGAGAAAAAGAACAACGTAGCTGTGTTTTAAGACGATAAATGCCAGAGACATAAACACTAGGCTGACCTAGTGTTTGGAAGCAGTGCGGCAATGTAAGAGGTTACCAAAGGCATATTTTGGTACCTGAAAACCTTTCCATAAATACATCCCAAGCAGACACTACTCTAAAAAGATCTAATCTGAGTAAAAGGGTAACAAAAAGCCAGGTGAAATACACTAAGTGTAAAGTGATGCACACTGTGGGGAAATGTTAGGTTCAACTATAACCTGTCAGAGTCTGCATTACCTGTGACTATGTAGCCAAGAGAACTGGGCTGTGGGGGGTGGGTGCTGTTGCACTGAAGACCTTCAGCTCAGTGTGCTCCAGAAATGGAAACTAAAGAGGTACTGCGGAACAAAAAATAAGCAGCAGGTAACATACTGGTGCTGGGGAGAATTCATCCTTGCACTGTTATAAACAGTCCATCTACACAAACATTGCATTTTGCAAGATAGAGCTATCCTCCTTCCTGCCCACTGTGTGCTGTTCAGATGGTTCTCATAACCTCTCCAGAGCCATTTTGGGGGGAGGCAGGGGAGGGGAAAAGAGGCAAAAAGTCTCACTGCACAAGTGGAAATCTACTGGCTCTAACTGGAGATGCCGGAGGTTGAATTTGGGATTTTCTGCATGCAGAGCAGATTCTCTACCACTAAGGCCTAAGCCAACAGAGAACGAGCCAATGTTCTCTAAAAATCGCTGTCAAATATATTCAGGGAGCTTGTAAATATGCCTGTGCCACTTATGGCCATTTTCAGGTAATGAAGATGTACGCCTTAATTAAAGTAACTGAAAATCAGTGCTCTTTTCATTGATATTTAATTAACATACAATAAATGTCTCACTGCACTCACCATGTGAAAAGCATCCTGGCTTTGATTCTTCAGAATTCTGAAGGCTCCCACCTGAGGAATGTTGGAGGGCCTTACTTTGAAGTTGAGGAGGGGAATGCCAGGGACCCATTCTGTTTTCCTAGTTAGCTTACTCAACTCATCTTCCCTAGCAGTTAGGACGGACAGGGTGGATGATTACTTCAAAAAGATAACTAGAGAAATAACAGGGCAAATAAACCAGAGTTGTGGACCGATGACACCTCATTTATTCTCTGTAGGATGTCAAGCTCCTCTGGCTTTCCCCACACCTCTTGGGAGGAAGCCTCCAGAAGCCCAAGATCAAAGCTTGGGCAGAGCAGGATTCTCCCGCCATATTCTAATATGTAGAATAAATCTAAGAGCCACCAGATTCAATGAGACTTACTTCTGATAAAACTTATCTAGAAGCTGTCTGTATGAGCTGCTCATCTACTCCTCTTAAAACAAACTTAGATGGTTTGAAAGTAAACCAGGACTATTCAAAATCAATATGGCGGCTTCTGGATGTAGCTGGGATGCATCACCCCAGCTTTACAGAACTATCTGTAAATGAACAAGAAAAAGTATGTTTCTCTCTCACACATAAAGTCTGACAAGTACTTTTGAGCTTCTAGGATGTACGCAATGTGAAGGTAACAGCTGAGAGAAAGGAAAAAGAAAGGAGGTGAAAGGTTTTAAAACAAAGAGGGCCTTGGCCTGTTCAAGTCCATTCTAGAAAGTATCTTGAAAAGGAGGGGGGATTAGGATTGGGGAGATTTTTTTTTCTGATGCCCCCTCACAAAAGCAGTTTACATAAGATTATTATAACAGAAAGCATTACAAATATGCCACAACGAAAGTAAAAGACTTGTTCTCACTCCCCTCAGATCCAGATGGTCCTTTGGGCACCTCTGAGGTGGCCGTTGGGGGAAGGAGGGACCACTATGGGAGCTGGGATGTTTACAGGAATATTTCGGGAGGAAGGCAAGGGACAAAGGATACCCACTCTCAACCACCCCATCCCACTGCACAGCTATAAAACACTCAGATTTGTGGGCTAGCAGCCCCTACCCTAAGCTCTCTAGCACTAAATATCACAGAAAGGGAAGCTCTCAAGGGATGGGAAAGGGGGGAAATGCTAATTTCCCACTCCTCACACTTTCATGCCTCCACACGACTATAAGGCTCCAGTTCCTGGCTAGAGTTGTAAACAGAGAGCTCCTCTGAAGGAGTGGGGCTACACTGCAACACTTTGTTTCAGGTGCCACTTATGACTATATGACCAGCCCCATTCCTTCAAAGACTATGTATTTTTATGGATATGAATCATGAATTATTTCATTAGGGTGATGCCGTAATTTTCACACGATCTTGAAACCACATAATACTTTCCCCCATCTTGTTGTAATGAAGCACTGCAGTTTTTTGTTTTTTTTTAGTTTAACTAAGAGCCTTGTCACTCCAAAAGATCTTGAATCTTATTGTTTCACTAGCAATTATTTCAAATCATTTCCAGCAATATAGTCTAAATAATTGACATGAATCATAGAGTTGCCAGAATGTGGTGATTAATTCATCAGTTAAACTACTTATCAATATTATTACCCACTATAGTGGGGTGGGGGCACATACTTGTGAGTGTGTGTGTAGGGGGGGGGGAACATGCTATAATATTTTTTTTAACTGAACTTGAGGGAAAATATATTTCCTAAAAACAGCTCCACACTTCCCCCCTCAATCAGCCAAACTTTAGCCTTATTATCTGTGTATTTTTATACAGTCATACAACGATGACAGACCCTTATTATTATTATTATTTATACCCCACCATCTGGCTGGGTTTCCCCAGTCACCCAATGAAACAATATTATTTCCACATTAAAAAATAGACATTTTATTTACAGAAACCCAGACTACTTTTAAAGTACATTATAGTCTATCAGGAATGTCTAAAAGCTCAACCAAAGCATATGACAATGTCCTTTTTGAGTGTATAGCTTCAGAATGAAAGTCAGCTATTGTATCTTAATGGTTTTCCAGCTAAAACCAAACCAAACCAAACCAAAAAACCTCTGGATATAGAAAAGTAACATATCAGGGTGGAGGGCAGATTAGAGAATATTTTGGAGCATTTCTGAAGAACTTTTAATATGCACATTGTGGCCGGCATCTAATGATGCCATAGTGCATGGTTTCAAAGAGAGCCAGCGTGGGGTAGTGGTTAAGAGCGGCGGACTCATAATCTGGTGAACCGGGTTCGCTTCCCCGCTCCTCCACATGTAGCTGCTGGGTGACCTTGGGCCAGTCACACTTCTCTGAAGTCTCTCAGCCTCACTCACCTCACAGAGTGCTTGTTGGGAGGGAGGAAGGGAAAGGAGATTGTTAGCCGCTTTGGGACTCCTTAAGGGGAGTGAAAGGCAGGATATCAAGTCCAAACTCCTCCTCCTCCTCCTCCTCTTCAAAGTCAGAGCACTCTTTAAATCTCACACACCTTCAGCATAGTGCCATGTTTCTCAAACTTGAGTCTCCAGTTGTTGTTGGACTACAACTCCCATCATCCCTAGCTAGGAGGACTGACAACATGGTGAGCGTTGTAGTGCAACAACAGCTGGAGACCCAAGTTTGAGAAACACTGGCATAGTGGTTACAGCAGTGACAATTCTCAACACTCCTACAGCAGCACTTCGATTTGGCCGAGTTATTGCAGCCTCACTGCAATTGTTGCTACCCTTAAACGGCAATACCTTGTCATCTTGCTGCCTATCTTGTGGTTCACCATTCAGAGTTCCTGCCCTCCGAGTATGGTACCCGACACATAATGGGCATAGAAGTGGCAACGTAGAAACCCTCATTTCTCAGACATATATTAAACATGAATGTATTATCCATCCAACAAATGGTAAGGTATATTTACCCCACTTCCCCACGTGATGAGAAGCTCCAGGGGCTGTACTACATTGTTTAGTTTCCACTGCATGAAATAGCACTGGACACTCATGGCATTTTTGCAATGTTTGCTTTAATTACAAATATAGAGGCAGAATCTATTGGAATGAAATCAACCGTCTTACTGCAGGCAGCAGATCCACCAACCCAGCATCGGGTCTCCGAAGTGAGCATTTGAACCTAATATATACCCCCATTTTGAGCCCACAGCTATTTGCTTCTCTGTCTCCATCTCCGTCCAAATTGCAATTCTAATTCCAACTCACAACAGGATTTTAGAAGAATTCCCCACCATCTGAATCCCCACCACTATTCCTTGTGTTTTGACGCTGTGAGATCCTTCTGTATTGCAGCCGCTGCTGGTGTAACGAAATAGATGCAGATAGTTTCACGTTTTTAACTTAAACATTATGATTAATGTGTTCGAGAGGGGATGATATTTCAGGTGAAGGTTTTAAAACAGGAACCGTTTTAATTTATACAATTCCCACTATGTTAAAGTGTTTCCAGGTTGTTGGTTTGTCTGTCAAAAGATAGTGCCACTTGACTACTAGGTAGCAAATACCCCTTGCAACAAATAAGCAGCAGTCACATTTAATTGGGCCACGATGCATTATTCATAAAGTATGTTTTCGTGATGATTTTGGCACTCATTAAGGGAGAAGAAGGGCAGTAAACTTTCTTGGTCGAAGGAAAGTGAGTTTTAAAACTTAAGACACAGCCACCTTCTAAAAGTGAGCAATTAAGAGCTGTACTGATAAAAGCAGAGGAATTAGAAGGAAGGGAAATAAATTATTCTTGGCCACCTAAAGAAATAAACATGTTGGAAAAGGACAGCAGTATCTGTTCAAAATTAACCCTATTGTCTGCGTGTGGCTTGGGGGTGGGTGGGATAAATACAAGGTTTTCATTATAGATATTATCAAACACTACCCTGGGATCTGCTCAGAAGAAAGACAGTATATAAATTTAAAAACTAACAAACCAACAAGTTTAACTCTAAGGGCTGCTACCTACATTCTTAGACCTACACATGAGCCACAGGGCTTTTCCAGGGACTGCACACTGGCAAGCCCAGGCTTCCTACTGTATGTACACGCAGTACAGAAATGTAGGCAACTATGACTCCTTGACAAGGGTATCTGTACAAAACTTTTTTTTCAATACCCTGGTCAATTTAGTTAGTAAATCTTGCTAATCTTATACCATTTAAATGGGACGATGCGGGTGGCGCTGTGGTCTAAACCACTGAGCCTCTTGGGCTTGCTGATCGGAAGGTCGGCGGTTTGAATCCCTGCGATGGGATGAGCTCCCGTTGCTCAGTCCCAGCTCCTGCCAACCTAGCAGTTCGAAAGTACGCCAAAAAGTGCAAGTAGATAAATAGGTACCACTCCGGCAGGAAGGTAATTCTCCTCCAGCCACTTCTTCCACATGTCCAATGTTACTACAATATTTCATTCCCACTTTTTCACTTACATTTTTATGTTTTATACTTCCACTCTATTCTTTCTCCCCCATCAATTTACATATGGTTGCAGGTAGTTTCCCACTCTGGCAGCTTACATAGTGAGACCTTCTGAACAGCTTTAGCAGAAGAACTGCATTGTGTGCCTTTGAACCATTATCTGGGATAAACATTATCTGCTTGGGAAACACTGAGGACTAAATGGTCTTTGGTTCACCTCAAAACATATATGCAGAATAAAGACTGCTGACATTTCCATAATAGTGCAATTTATTGTTTAAATAGCATTTTTTCTTTGCAAAAGGTTGCATTGCCATTAGCAGTTGTCTTTTTTCTTCCACTAAACAACCAAAGATGACATTTGTGTCCAAAACCAATTAAATAAAAAATTACTTTTCGTATTTCCTCGGGCTGTCATTATTCATTCTTGCTCTTATAAAAAGAAACTACTGAAAGTGTGTGTAAGTAAGAGAGAAATTAGAGGTGAAACAAATATAGCCCTGGGCTGTCTCTGCTGCAGCTGATTTTGGCAGAACTGCTAAACAACATATTCAATAGAGCTAAATTTAATCTGGTTCAGAAAATCAGATTTCCAATTCTAAAACTCCTAATCTAAATTTAGAGATTGAAAATGATCATATTTGGCAATTTTCAGTACAAATTATAGCTCCTGGTAGGGTGTGAAGGACGCCTTTCCCAACACAAGCCAATACTTGTCCACTCTATTACTACCACCACATAAGTTCCAATGACTTCGGTGGTGCTTACTCCCAGGGAAGTGTGTATAGAACTGCACCCTGGCTGAGTAACCTTACAGGGGTTGATGGTGGGGAGAGTCTGTGATGAAGGAGCCACCACTTCAAAAGCCCTGCTGGACACACAGCACCCCTGACAGAAGTTGTGTGAGTTGGGGCAAGTGGCTCTTTACCCGTGTTTAACCCATTTTTCCTTACCAGTTCCTCTTTCTTAAAAAATGAAAATCTAACAATGCCAGGGCTGATTTAGCCTTCCCCTCTGATTTGAAGGTGTGTCTGGAGAATGAGGCTTCTTTGAATCCGGCTGATCCAAAGCTTTCCCCGGTCTACCTTCTTTTTGCCGTGCTGCCCTCAGAACACTGACAATGATGGTGAAGCTCTCTGCTAAGGAGACGTGAGGGAGGCCTCCAACCTTGGAACTCTCCCTCCAACTGTGAATGTGGAAGAGTAAACTCTACAGTATCCAAGTGTGTCCCATCCACTCTTAGAACTGCTCTCTTCACAAGCTTCATCATGAAGAGCAGAAGGGATTTCAGGGTGGGTGAAGTTGTAAGTCAAAGCAAATTGCCAATACAGTGGTACCTCGAGTTACATACGCTTCAGGTTACATACGCTTCAGGTTACAGACTCCGCTAACCCAGAAACAGTACCTCAGGTTAAGAACTTTGCTTCAGGATGAGAACAGAAATCGTGCAGTGGCAGCGGGAGGCCCCATTAAAAGCGGTACCTCAGGTTAAGAACAGTTTCAGGTTAAGAATGGACCTCCGGAACGAATTAAGTACTTAACCCGAGGTACCACTGTACGTTTAAAGTATGCAAAATGCTAATAAAAGTAAAAATTAGTAAGATTTAAAAGTGTCAAGTGCCCAACAGCTCGTCAGCCATCTCAGTCAACCTCTGTGACCATTCCACCTGGTCATTAAATACTTTTATATCTTCATGAAGTCAGTGTGGGGATTGGCTTACGTTCCTGTTTCATCCCGTCTTTTTTAAAAAACAACAACAACAACAAACATTGTCTATATGTTTATTAAACCATGAGCTGCAGACAGGGATTGACTTGGTTATATATATATACTGTGTATTTATATATATACTGCGTGTATGTGTATGTGTGTGTGTGTGTGTGTGTATATATATATATATATATATATATATATATATATATATATATTTGCTTAATGCAAAGAAATCTTGAGGTGGAAAGGAAATACATTTTTTTCCTTACAAGGAATTTGTAATTTGGCCCAGAGTTGTGACTATAACCTAATTAAGCCTGCAATTAAAAAAAATATGCTTGCTTTTGAGTAGAAAGGCACATTAGTAAATAAAATATATGAGTTTTACTCAATTAGTTATTTGATGAAATCTGATGAATAAAATAGTTTTGAAGGAAAAGGCATTATTATTCACATCATTATTACATGTACTTCTAAAAACAGGGTACCAGAGAAGGTATCTAAATTGAAAAGGTACTACCTCCTGGGTGAGAGAGAGTTTGGAATCAGACCTGGACCAAACCCTTGAAAGGCAAATTAGTTCACACTAATAATTTGGGGGGGGGGGGCTTGATAGCAAAAAAGGGGAGATTTCTTCTCCTTTTTCATGATTTGGAGGGGCATAATTTTCACAAGGGGTGGACACAATTTACCAGAGCTCTTTGAAGCACTGTCCAACTGACAGTTGCCATTTCTAATTTCCCAGAATGTTCTGTACCATGGTGCGTTTGGGTAAACAAATGGCAACACTCACAAAAAACGGTTCCATTATTTTCTAGTGGCTGTTATTGGCCCCTTCCAATATCCACTGGAATGAGGCCTTCTAGGAAATAAAAAATGTTAGTTGCCTGGTTGACATAGTTCCTGAGACCTCTGTTAAATTACATTTGCACCCTGAAAACTGCTGAAATGCCTGCCTCCCCAATTTTATAGTGATTAGAGCTAGGGAACTGGGGTTGGAGGATTTTGACCTGCTTTATCTATGTTGATGTCTGTGTTTCTGATCACAAATGCATATTATAAAAAAGGTCTGCTGACCAATTAAGTGGGCCATGTTTTTAATTGATTAAGCAAAATGAGCATTCCTCTCAGAATCACTACTGGAAGGCAGGGAATGCAGTGAGTGGGAATCTGAGTCTGTTGGTGACAACTGAACATTAACTTTAAGAATGCAGGTAACTGAACAATTAAGCATTTTGTGAGGGAACGGAGAGTCACAGATTGAATCACACACAAATTTCTGGGACCAATGGGGAAAATATAGAAGAGTGATACATGACTGCTGATAGTCTATGGGGAAGAATTATAAACCATATGAACAGAAAAAGGGAATACAGGGCATAATTATTAAAAGGAGTAAAGATGAAAACATTGTACATCCACAGAAAGACGGGAATATAATAAGGAAGTTAGAATGCCATAGACAGATGTCCGAGTTAGGAAAGGAGCATTTTTTAAAGACAGAAAGTGAACTGTAGGAACACAAGAAAGGACAAATGAAAGATGAATGGGCACAAAAATAGAAATTTATGAGGATAAAATGTTGACAGTAGTGCCTCTAATTAAAAAAGGCACCACCAATTTAGAAAGCTAATAGAATATACTCAAGGAAGTGGGTGCAGGGAGAGAATTCTATAAAAAAGGTGCTTGCATAAAAGGGGTAACTTATATTAAAAAGTGGAAGTACAAAGAGGGGGGTCAATTTTATGTGCCAGACACTAGTAACCTTTTTAAAAAACCCAGCAAGATAAAGAAGTATGGAAAAAACACAGGTGGGGGGAGAATATTTCTAGAACAGAATGGCAACTGGGTTGTAACTGTCAATACTGTATTGCCCGATCATTACATATTATAATAGAAAGGTCACTGTTCCTTTAGTACATCCTTTCCCAACCTGGGGCTCTCAAAACAATGCTGTACTACAACTCCCCAAATCCCTGCCCACTGGTCATGCTGGCTGAGGCTGATGGGTGCTGTGGTCCCAAAAATCTGGAGGATACCAGGGTGGAAATGGATGTTTTAGTAGAATAGCCAAATTCTAGTAACTGGTGAGCAGAGAATTATGTTTTGCTGAATTCCTAGATAATATTCATCAGCTTAACAACACTTTCTTTAAAGTTAAAACTGACATTGCCAGCCTATGAACAATTATGTATTTTAGATAATTCAAAAACAATTGAATTATGACTGTAGTTAGAAAGTTCACGTCTAAGTCAATAACTGCTACACAATTTTACCTTGCAAATAAAATAAAAAATCTCATACACAGACATTTATAGGCATCGATGAGTTCAGTATTACATTTAGGGGGAAACCTAGCAAAAAAAGGATACCCAATAAGGTTTTACCATGATCTCAACGAAGACAGAAGATGTTCTAACAAAGGACAAGTGAGAAGAAGTGTCTGATGGCTCAGGTCTTCCATAGCATCTCATAGAAGAGATAAGGGTGGACATCATTCTGCACACTGATGACACTGCATTCCCAGTCTCCCAGTGGGTTTGTGTAGATGTTGAACTGCACCTTTGTCTTTCCTTGTTTCCTGCTTCCTCCCTCTCTCCATCCCATGGGACTCTTGTGCCCACAACTCCTATTTCCTTCCCCTCTTCCTCTTCAACTGTAGCCCATCTCTGTTTCTGTGTTACTAGGAGATGACATCCGTACCTTTGTGATGCAAGCAGCTTTGGCAACAATCCCCACTGTTGGCTCAGATGTCTGCCTCTTTCCTTAGGTGTGTTGGTTTCTACCCACATCCAGGTCTGGGCTGAAGGCTGGGGATGGGAACTGATGAAAGTCACATGGGGCCATATTTCAAAGTGGGACGGACCCAGTTTGAACATGCCCCTGCTGCATTCTGAGACATTTGTTCTCAGAGCAGAAAATGTAGATTCCAACCACTTCTACAATACTTAGAATGTCTGGCTTCCCTTCATGTATTACCCACATGAACAGAGTCCGTAGAGAAAAGAGCAGTAGAACATCATTGCTGTTAAGGTTGCCCTTAAGGTTGCACAGCTTAATCTGACTGACACCAGTATTAGGGATGGGATGTCTGAGCTGGGGAAGCCAGTGCGTGAAGGCTCCGACAACTTAGCCATACATGTCTAATGCATGGGCACCTGTGGAGAGGGAAACTGCCCCACTGCCCCCTTTTCTATGCATGGGCCCCCTTCACACAAGCAACACATGAATAGTGAGAACACAAAATACGTAATAAGAACAAGAACAAACCAATAACCCCCCTCCTACAAACACATTTAAAAGCGCATGGAATGTTAATCAGCCAAAGGCCTGGTTATAGAGAAACATTTTCACCTGGCATCTAAAGATATACAGTGGTACCTCGGGTTAAGAACTTAATTCGTTCTGGAGGTCTGTTCTTAACCTGAAATTGTTCTTAACCTGAGGTACCACTTTAGCTAATGGGGCCTCCCGCTGCTGCCACTGCACGATTTCTGTTCCCATCCTGAAGCAAAGTTCTTAACCCGAGGTACTATTTCTGGGTTAGCGGAGTCTGTAACCTGAAGCATCTGTAACCTGAGGTACCACTGTATAATGAAGGCACCAGGTGAGCTTCCCTGGGGAGAACATTCCACAAACAGGGAGCCAACTTAGAAAAGGCCCATTGTTGTGTTGCCAATCTCCAGACCTCTTGTGGAGGAGGCACACAAAGCAGGGCATCAGATGATGATTGTAGGGTCCTGACAAGTTCATATAGGGAGAGGCAGTCCTTGTGGTCCTGTGACCCTGAGCCACTTCAGCACTCATTTGCTGACTTAAAAACAAATGCCTCTAATGTAATAATGATGATGATGATGATGATGATGATGATGATATTTATTTCTATACCACTTTATATTTTTAAGGGGGGGAAATCGCAAAGTGGTTTACAATACATTAAATGCAGCACTTCCAGCACACTTTTGAATGTTGGACTGTCTTCAGGCAAAAACTAGCACTTTTACTGAAAGCTAGGAAAACTGGCCCTATTTCCTCAAGGAGTTTCGCATGTGAAAAAGTTTCAGGCTCCTTTCAACAGTGTCCTCAACACTGGACGCTGTATTCCTGTGAGGATAACAGGTTGAGGACACAAAAGTGAGTGTGACCTCTCTCTCCCTGCTTCCCCCATCTCTCTGACATGTTGGTATGAGGAATATATTATTCTCCAAAGAGTGAGACCACTCAAGGGAAGAGAGAAAGCATACCGGGCTCCAGTTTTCTAGGGTGTTCGCTCATGTTTCTTCTCTAGGGAGAACCTGTTATTCAGCTATTTGACCAGGGCTTCCTGCCCAGTGCTCAGATCATGACACCCCCCAAAAAATGCAGATGGCAAAAAAATTGATACCTGATATCTACCCATTGACCTAGCTTCTGATACCACTGACTATATCCTGAAAGTCACAATGTGAAACTTCAGAAATACCATTGGACATATGGTTGCATAAGCATGCCTTGAGTAGATTCCATTTTAGAAGAACCAGGCAAAGTTCAATTTAAATAGAAGGCAAGTAGCAAACAGAAAAGGACAGAACAAGGCAAGTAAAGGCTGTAGCGTGCATATTCCATGCTAGCCCTGAGGGCCTTCATTCAAGGAGCTAGTCAGGAGCTAGTCCCCTCCTAATTTGGATGCCATTTATTACTGTTTTTCTCTGTGTGCTGCATTTCTCGTGGCTAAATGTATTATAACAATAACATGCTGATGCTAGATAGGTAATCTTCCATTATGCCCATGTACATTGCCAAAATGCATTTCGATTTAAAGTGACGCACCATAATCCAGCATTGCTCCCTTCTTAATTTGAATCACTGGTAATGTACTATGGAGACAACAGACAACATACTGTCTATTAGCAGTTTTAGAGTGCATCGTGGTTGGAGTCTTGTCATCTTAATATAAATTTAGCCAAGTCCCTATATGATCTATTTGAACATAGCACATATTCCTGTCATTTCCTTTCTAGCATCATGCGTATCAGCACACATCTTGTGCTGTATATGAAATATGCACACAAAACATATTTTTAAATGCATGAGGTTAACCCCAGAAGAATCAGATGAATGCCACACAGTATTAATAATATTTATTTATGCATATTATTTTCCCCTTTGGCAACCCAAGGGCTGTATTTTTAATGAGCTGTTAAGTGCATAACGACAAAAGAGAAGCAAGGAACAGCAGCGTGGATTGGGGCAGAAGAGGTTACGGGTTTTTCACCAACTCAAAGCTTGAACCAGCAGCATATAGTGCTGGTGCCCAGCAGCAATAACTAGGATGAAATTAATGATGGCCATAACTTTATTGATTAAAGCCCACTGAGTTTAGCATGGTGTAAATCAACAATCCTCTCACTGGACAGCCTAAGTGCTGGTCAATATCACCGCCCCAGTCCATATGATCCCAGTCTGTAAGTACAGTGTAATGTGATCATGTGGGTCTATCCTGAAACCAGTACATTGGCTGATTGGCTCTTGGGACCTGAGATCTGTGCCCCACAATTCGAGACCAGGGAGAAGGGTCGATGGAAGAAGATTGGAAAAAATTCAAAATATATCTTCAAAAATATTGTAATATAAAAGACTGTTAGAAAGATGTTGGAAAAAGAAAATTAGGTCGTTTTGGTAGATATGATATAAAGGATTAAGCAAAAATGAGTTGATGAAATTGATGGATCAGAGGATGTTTAACTACATTATTTTAAATTAAAATATGCAAATGAAAATAAGGTTAGAAGGATTTGCTGGAAATACGATCTGAACTAGAATACAAAATTGGGAGGTGAGAGGAGGTCATGGAAATAAGTAAAGGGAAAAGGTTATGTAAAGGTTTAATCTGTTTTTGTTCTATTTTAACTCAATGCATTTTTATATTTTTTGTTTCGTCTTCTTTTTTATTGTTCACTTTTTTCTTGTCATTTTTCGCTTTGTTATGGTTAAATTTTTCTTTGTATTTTGTATTGTTTTTTTCTTCTTTTTTTGTAATTTTAAACTTGGAATAAATATCATTTAAAAAAAAAAGAGAGAGAGATCTGTGCCCCGCAGAGTTTGGCAAGCCAGCCATTCATGGAAATGAGAATCTTCCACAACACACAGAATTATAAAAGTGTTCCAGCCCAATAAAGTGATGATGCCATATCAGGTTGTGGCCTTGGATCCTCCTACCCAACAGTGTGCTATAACAAGACCTGATAATGTCACCCACAATTTCAGGGGTTCATTCACCCGCTCACCTTCCAATGGGACATATGATACGATCTGCCAGCAGTGGCATTTTGCATTCTACATAGCACAAGACCAGTTTTTATGCAAAATAATAAATGGATAGAAATCTGGCATCAGAAATGGCATTATAGAAAATCCAGTGGGGGGACATTTCAGCCTCCCAGGACACTATATAATGGATAGAGTGAAGACAGATTGTTGACTTAAAACACTGCTAGGTGTTCAATTGTGGCTTGATGGGAAATGTATCAAAATGCAGTATTTCTAAGAAATGACAGGATAGATACAGAGTAGATGTGTGTTGTTACTACCATGTGTACAACTGCTTCCCAAAACAGTGGTGGGTGCACACCGGATGCAGAGCAAATGGAAGTGTGTACACTGTCTATGATGTGAAACAGTTGCAATGCACAAAAATATTAAATGCTATCACAGGTATGCTGAATCAGCACAGCGGATTTTTCTCACTTTACTTGTGTTAATTGGCTAGCTAATGTCAGGATGTCTTTGTTATCAGCTGCTGGGTTTGTGTGTGTGAGTGAATGAATGGTGACTGTTATTAAGGTAATTATGACCATATGTAGTTTTCTGTGTTTTATTTCCTTCCGACATCAATGTTTACAATCCCCACCCCATCCCAAGTCATGTATATACGCACCTACAACACAGGATAACACTTCATGCATCTGATGAAGTAAGCTATGGTCCACTAAAGCTTCTTCCATAATAAATTTGGTAGCCTATAAGACTCTTTGCTGTATTATCTATATTCACTTATTAGTTGCAAAAAAGAAATCCATGCTTAAACTGAATGCATGTTCTAATCAATGACTCCTTATATAATTCAATTTGGAGATGAATATCAAAAATGAACGTTAAGGATCATTCGTGGAAATAAACCACCAAATAGCACTTATATACCTCCTCCTGGTTCAACCACAGGGAAAACTCCTTGTGGATTGTGTAAAGCCTGATTAATGGGGAGAGATTAGTGTTATTGAAGTGGCCTGAACTCCATTGAAATATTCAGTGTCTCATATCAATGTCACACACCACGGCGTTAATGGGATTGAGATGCAACAATAATAGTTTCCATGACAATGCGGTGCATTTAGTCCCAGGCACCTCCCTGGGTAAACAGTAATCCTTCAGAAAGAAGGGGGGGTGGGGAAGCAAGAAGGTCATTACAGCAACTTGTCAAATCAATGCAGAGAGTGTCTGAGGCGATTAAGGCATCTACTCTCAGCCCTGACATGGTGTCAATAGTACTGGACCGCTAGAGCTCAGTCAGATGATTGAAATGAAATGCCCATCAGTCAGGGAGCCGAGGTGGACTAATGATTCCCTGTGCTGCCTATTAGGACTACATGACAACTCAATCCTGTTTGCTAAAAAAAAGAGGGGGGGTAGTGACCTTGTTGCTTTGTTTGAAGCTGAATTAAATTGACAACAGCAGCTAATCTTTACCTAGGGCGATTAACAGAATTAAAGCGCAACAACAAAGACACACAAGGCATTGTTTTATCTTCTGGGTTTGATGTACGCTTCCCAACCTAGGGAGAGTGTATTTATTTCTAATCAGGTGCGAGGTAAAATGTATATTCAGCCAAGGGATCTATGCAAATATGAATGATTTTGGAAGCTATAAAACCCAAAATGAATGCTAAATTTAGGTTTGGGGAGCAATAATAGGAGAGACAG